GGTCGCTCTTGCCAAAAATCATAGCCAGGTCGCTCTTGCCAAAAATCATAGCCAGGTCGGTCGCTCTTGCCAAAAATCATAGCCAGGTCGCTCTTGCCAAAATCATAGCCAGGTCGTACTTGCCTTCAATGTAAGTAACTTAAGACTAAATCGAGAATAGTACTTAGTACTTCTATGTCCTTAAAGTAAAGTAGTGCCTCGTACTTGTCTTTAGGTAAGTATAGGTAGTTTTTGGGTACAGTACCTAGTAAGTACTTACCTAAGTAGAGTACCTAGTATAGTACCACCTCTTTAATTATTACTCGTTTCACCTGTATAGGTACCACTTAAGTACTAGATAGGTAGGTAGGTATGTACCAGTATCTCCTCCTTCCCACGTCCCTGGCACCTGCTGTAAGGGCTTAATCCAACTCGAGCAACCAAAGGTCGTCGAGTCTGTCATTGGACGGCGACAGTCCACCCTGCAGCAGAACACGACCAGCGACGACCACGTCGGCAGCGAACCAGCCACGTGGCGATGGGATCTTGCTGTCCTGTGTCCGGATCTCTTGCCAATGCTGGGATTCGATGTCGAAGGCCCATATATCTCCGAGCATTTTGCCAGCACCTTGATGTCCTAGATTACTGGGATCGCTTTCGCCGAACATAGTTAAGAGACTGTCGCGACCCCGCATCTTTAATGCTAGTAAACAGCAAACGCTCCGGGGTATAGGCCCCTCTTTTCCGTCGGCGGCGAATGGAATTGAAGTCCAACGGTCGTCGGCTGGGTCAAACACGTCGACAGCTCCTCCTTGCTCCTTAATCCCATCAAAGCCGTTCATGCGCCAGAGTTTCCCGCGGGCAAAGGCGATTGAGGTTCCTCCTCGCGGCGGGCCGGGGGCAGCAGCATGCTGCTGCCACTGCCTCTGGGAGAGACGAAATGACCATACATCGGCAAGTCTCCCTTTCTCTGGACACCCGGCGTGGAGATAGATGGTGTCATCCCCGTCGTTAGCCAGAGCATGATAGCTGCGCCCGGGCGGGAATGGAGCCTCGGTGTCGATCGGCGTGATAGCCGCCCAGGATTGAATTTGAGGGTCGAAACTCCAGAGCGTGCCTCGCTCCTCGATTGGAGCCATGGCTGTGCCGCTCCGACCCGAGAAGAGATAGAGCTTGCCCTTCAGAGACGTCGACGACGAACCTACCCGAGGCTGCGGTGCCCCTATTGCAGGGATTGTACTGATCTGGCTATCTTGGGAGCTTTGATCTGATTGGAGATACAACATTAGTTTCTAGATCCCATTGATATCAGCAGGACGAGACTCTCACCCTGACAAACCGTGCAACAGTAAATGGCTGCATCGACGGGTTCGCGAGGGCGCAACTCGCCCCCATAAATATAAGCTGTCTTGCCAATGACTGCCAGTGTTTGCGAAGAGCGGCGAATCAAGGAGCTTGTTGTACACTTTTTCCAGGTTGCCAGGGCCATATTGATTAATCTGGGAACGAATTCCGGATGAAAAGGACACTTCGCCCCTTCCATCCTATCCTGGCTTTCACCGTTTATATAACCTGCTCACATCATCAAGCTTAGGTACCTATTACGATGCAGCTACACTTGATGAGGGCGGGCGATATAGATGAGTGAATTGCCGGTATCGGGAGAGACACCCAGGCGTAAAATATTGCCCAAGACAGTTAAAGCGGACCCACATGCTCTGTATTGTATTGTATTCTTCTCCGCGTGAAGATTCAATTTGGCCCAACCTCAACATCATCAACATTTCTGATCGCAGGTTTGCTCAATTGCCACTTCACTGAACCAATGCCGGACCCCGGATCGCCTTCTGGCAAGATCCGTCGTGGACATACAGGTTGCAAGGCGTGCCGGCGCCGAGGCAAACGCGTGAGATGAAACCCCTTTCGTCATCAATCCACTCTCTGACCTTCCAGTGCGACGAGAGCAAGCCAGTGTGTCGAGGTTGCCAGAGACTCTCACAAAACTGCGAATATGGCACCAACTTTTCCTTTCGTCATTACGGCGCCTATCAAAACCACTCACGCAATGTGCGGCATACATCCATGCCTGGTCCAAAAGGATGCTCGGATTCTTTGCCTCAACAAAAATGGCCGGGAGCCGCGCCAGGACGAATTTTCGTAAAAGCAAGACCGAATGCAGCCCTTCCCTCGGCACCGTCTGCGGAAGACGACATTTACTTTAAGCACTTTGACAGTCATGTGCGAGCCGTATTGCCCGGTTCTCTTAAAGAAATCCCCCAGAGCAGCATCCTGTCTTCTGATTCCCTGCGCTACGCTGTCCTTTGCTTGTCTGCCTCCAACCTGTCCATGCTCGACACTCGCGTGGATTCCCGTCGGCTTCCATCCGATGACCGAATATCAGTCTTCAGCCCAATAGCCAACCGCACACACCACGATCAAGCACGAAAATACCACGACCTGGCGATGGCTGGTGTTGGCTCCTCGGAGAAGATCAACGAACCGATACATTATGCGGTGGTCTTGGCCACCAAGGTCCTTCTGGCCATATATCACCACGCGTCGACCGACCACTTGCACTTCCGACTGGGGATAGAGAGCACTCACCATTTCGTTTCCCGGCATAGCATGACCCTCTTGCAGACCGAACTCGGGCTTCAAGCCTTGCAAATGTGGCATCGCCTCTCCGCCTCCTCTCGGACATCGAGAGACCCCTCCCTCCTCCTGGAAGGTGAATCTAACCCATATCTCCAGTCCAAATATCCCTCGCCGCATACGATGGAGGGCCTGTCCCTGACTTGCATTTTGAGGATGAGTTCGGATGAATTGATTTATGACATTTTGATCAAAACCATCGGGATCCGAAGAAGGGCAGTCGTGTTCCGTGCCGTGGCCGGTGTGCACAATATCTCCAACGAATCCAAAAACCTTGGACCCCTGGCTCATGATCATCTGGAAAGATTGCTGGGCAACCATGGCAGGAAAGAAGAGCACGACGAAGCACAGACGACCTTTGTCAGAGGGTCTCACTTGATCGGGCTCCTACAAATTCAACGAGACAGACTGACCGTGTGGAAAACTCGGATTGACAGGGAATTCCAAAGTAGTCTGCATGATGGTCATGTGAGCTTGAGATATGACGATTTCCCTCCATTTTCTCGTCATCGAGATGCCATGAATGCGCTCTACTACCTCCTTTGCCTAGTGATGATCGAGACACTTCAAAGAGAGGACTCCGGAGTTGACTCGCCCAAGTCGACGTCTCAGACATACATTTCCCCCATTCAACGGACCGTGGACATTATGCTCGGTATCATTGACGTGCTCGACTTCGCCACGTCGAACACTTCAGACGTGTATACTTTTAGTTTGACGGAAGTTTTGCTACAGTTGGCGCTCGCATGGCATTCCACCTCGACCTTCCACCATATTCTTGATATCACCTGGCCTCTCCTCGAGACCCGAGGACGTGGGTTTGAACATTCACACTATCCCACTCACTTAGCGAAGCGCATCATCGCTCTCCTGGCCAGTAACTGGGCTCGAGGAAGATCCATCAACATTGCCTCTTTGGCTGTCGAGGAAAGCACCCCAAAACTACACTTGTTGGCGATTGGCAAGCCGGTTGATCTCGTGGTTTGCGGCCATGACATTCATGGAAGATACTTTGTCGACAGAGTACCATTGTCGTGAATCTCGAGGTTGAAGACACTCTTCCGATTTGCCCTTGATCCTGCAGGGTAAGTAGGTAGTCCCATCTGCGCCGGCTGTTGTCTTTAGGCCGTGCGAATGCTGTGCAAGGTACAAGGTCTCACCATGGCGAACGGGCATTGGTGCTGATGCTCGGTGAGTGGTCTGGGTGGCTCAGCGGTTACGTGGTGTGGTGTGGTGTGGTGTGGTGGAACGAGACGTGGCTAACGGCGACGGTAGGACTGCACCACGCTGATGAGGGCCGGGGCCACGACCGAAGAGACCTTTGATTCTAATTTAACCACTACTGGGAGGCTATGGCCAGCAGCAGAAAGCGAGTAGGCCGACCGATACCGTGACCATTGAGGCTCTCTTCTGTCTCCTATCGGTGCTCTTCAAGTGCAAGGTCTCCCGTCCTCAACGAAATACTTCAAGTGATATAACTACCGTCAATTGAATGACGCTGGGTGGAAATATCTTGTAGGTTTCGACACTCTTTTTGATGGGTTTTGTGGATGGGCACATAGGTACTAGTACTTAGATGTTCACCCTTAGGTTCCAACTCGCACGCCATATCGCGTGATGAGTGTTTGCCTCGTTTGGTTCGCCAGATTCAACAACTCGCAACCCCATTCGGGACACGGCACTCCAGCGACTTTGAGAGCCCATTTCCCACATTCTTCGAGCCGACGGATCGCGGCGGTAATGGCTTCTGGCATTGTCACCACCAGAGAGTCGATGCATCGACATGGATTCCAGAAACATGTTCATCGACGGAGTCGCTAAGCCTGCGGACCGTGTCGGTATGAACGTGGACATCGATTTTATCCAAGTAGATGCTGACTGTAAAAGGACGGGAGAATTGAATCTGGAATCTTTCGGAGAACCGAGATTGGGTCAACTGCCTAGCCCATTAAATTCTTGGTCAATATTCAATCCAACCAACTGCTATGCTGCTTGTGCCTCAGACCTTCAAACCACTGTGCCTGGACAACCAACCCGGCTGTTTCAGGACCTCCTGAGGAGTTTCCGACTCCAATGGAATTTCTTGATCCCACGCATCAAGACTGACCCCTGTGGTACGTGTTTTGCCGATGACTTTGCCATACACGTCTAAGGCCTCCGCAAAGAACTGCACACTTTCTGAACTTGTGAGTATCGCCATGTTGTCGACCTTGAAACTCGTTTCAAAGGTTCTCCTCTTCGAGTGGCCTAGTACATGTGTTGAAATGAGATGGCCGGACTTCTCCTCAGAGTAGAAACGCCACGTGTCGGTCTCGGTATCGCCGTTCCAGGATACGTGAATGGAAATTGAAGATTCTCGTGTATCAGCCTTTAGAGCTACGATGGCCGGCTCCTCAGAAGCACTGCCCGTCCAATTGAATCTGAAGCCGCGATAGCTTTGGACCAACTTACCTGCCGGCTCGTAGTCCAGGTAGGCATGGAACAGAATTTCACCATCTTTGGCAAATTCGGTGATGGCTCCAGCCTCACCCCAATTGACAAATACATTCTTGTTCGGTAAAACCTGGACGTTGCCCTGGCTGCGAGTCAATAGACTATCTGGAGCTGGGTACGTTTGTATTTCTGAAGCCTCGCCGGTTGAGTGGTCCAGCAGCACAATGCGTGCGCGGGAGAACGGGCTGATCTCACGGTCGCGCTCTGAGTGTGCGGCGTTGTCGAAGAAAGAGATTATTTCGGTGTCGTCCTTATCTGACCGTGAATGAAAGCGTGCATCGTGCTGATAGGCAAATTCTAATGATTTCGGAATGATGAAATCGGACCCGTGGACGCCACCAAGCTGCCAAATGATTCTGCCAGTCTTGCCGTCGATCTTGAAGATGGCTCGGTAATTGCGAGCAGATATAAGGTAATTGCCCTGGTCGTCTTTGTCGACGCTGTTGATGTGGAAATAATTCCAAGCATCGGTCGAATTGCGCGAGTTAAAGGCACCCTGCTCAGCAAGAGGGAATGCAGAATCTGGGACTTTAGTTAGAATATTTCAGCTGTGAAAGGCTCGTTGGGGAAGATGGTCATACATTTTGGATCTACATGGTCGAGACTGTACCACTCAAAGATCAAGTCACCCGTCTCGATGTTGATTTCTTTTCACCTGTCAGCAAGGAGGCCTCTGCTGTGAAGGTGAGCTCTCATGTAGCTTACCCTGAAATCCGTTTGAAACGATCCAGTTCTGACCCTCTTGTCCTCCCCAGCGCGAGAGATCTGTTGGAACAGCAATGGGAGTCTCAATTAGGACATTTCCGTTGTCAAGGACACGGAACTCGTGACAGGAGACGAGTTTGTGCGCTGCGGGTCTAACTGTCTGGACGACTTGGTATCGGTCGTTCAGTATCGTGTGTTTTCCGTACATACGTCCATGAGATTGATCCAGAAGCCCTTCGAATGCTCTCAGGACCGGCTTACCCTGCCACACACTAGCTTGAAAATTGGCAACCCAACCGCCAAAATAGCCGATACTAGACCAAATCAAGTCTCCGTTGTCGCGGAAGATATACGCACCCGGCTGTTGGGGACCCCATGAGCCTTGGATAAACCCTTGGTAAGGTGCAATGAAGATGAACCCCGATTCCACCTTTGTAGAGGAAGCTGGGACGGTAATGTTTAGTCGAGGAACAGATAGCTCTGGACGAGATCGGAATTGCCAGTCCGCTGCAACCAGAGTACTTAGGCGAGTCACCGCAAGCACTAGCGATAGAGGCTTCATCTTCAATACGAAGAGAGCTATTCCCAAGTGCCACGACAAAAGAGATTACCGAGGGCTAGTTTTGCGCACCTGTTGAAAGAGAAGTAGCTGACCACTGACATTTTATAGCTGGATCTCCGGAATCGATTGTGTGCAAATGATGATGATGACGTGCTTGCAGCTAGGCTATCGAGCATTTCATCATTTGCAGATAGATAGTCGAAATGGTCGGCTAGGTCTGTGCCAAGTCGGAAATGGGGGGCGTACTGCCTGTATACAAGGTCTGTATCAAACATTCCATTCAACGCCGTCGGCATCTTGAGATCTAGACATGATATGGACGTTCAAAATTGGTGTGCATGCCATTCGTGAAAAAATTATGTAATATCGGTTGAGATTGAAGCCAAGTCTCAAAGTTGTGGCCATTGCCAAATGTGAGGAATGAGTTCTACGACCAGCTCTTCAGATAGAGGCCGCCTGAGAAAGGACGTAGCAAAGCCGTGATCATAATCATCTTTTCAATATCGGAGAAATTAGCACCCATGTTTCAAACTGGCGTTAACGAGAGTAAATTCGATATGTGTGAGAAGTCTGCTGACTGCCCAGGCTCCGATTGAGTGGACTAAATAAGAGGAAAGGAGACTGTTTAGGGAGTGAGTCTAGCTCGCCGTGCCTACGGAGTACTGCTACTGGCATAAGTCCAGGGTTATACAATGCCAGGCAGAATGAGAAAGGACTGTTTTGAAAAAAAGTAAAAAGGCAAAAACAATCAACAGCCAGGATTCCCAAATGGTCACCCACTTTAGTACTAACTGACCGGCATGTGGCTTAAGTATGGCTGAGCGAACGGGAAGCCCTGTTCTCCACATCCTATGGTCGATTGCGAAAGGAAAGTGTGCAGAAAATCATATATCGGACAGAATTTGTTGTTCGGCAGTGATGCCTTCCTTTGGGCCTAGCGTCTTGGCACGGTCACCTACTCCGTACTCGGTACTCCTAGCTCTATTCCTCCATCAGACCTCTCCTCTTCCATAGAGCTTTTTCTTAGCAATACAACACCCTGTCCTCCCTGACTAGCTCCCCACAACATACTGCCTAAGTACCTAGTATCCGTGTAAAATTGTTCGTGTTCCTGTGACCATGCTCCAGTCACAATCCCGATCGAGACTGTGTTGAAAGGTGCCCGGAAGCTACTGCTAGAAACCGCGATTGCAGCAACCCGGTGACAGTCTCTGAGGCGAGCTTCAAGGTGAAGGGCCAGTGGCTTATACCCTACGAAACAGCGGGGAGTAAGTAGAGCCGCAGCTTAAACAAATCGAGAAGTGAGTCTGGCTCGGTCAAGTTGTATCCCAAAAGTGCACGACAGTCATGTCAGTGCTTCTGATTCCTTCATGACACCTCACCCCTCTTCAGGATATATTAACTCTCCGATCACCATGCGAGGTATTCTGAAGCATGCAACTCAGGGCCCCTATGTCGCGCTCTTACCAGGTCCACCATCCTGAAGAGTCTCGATTTCCGCAAACAGCCCTTTGACATGCGCATCGACTAGCCACTTCCGAGGCATCAGCCAAGCCAACAAGTTTCGAAAGAAGTACTGCAGCCACGTGCGAGGTACATAGAAGGCTGCCAGGTCTCTCGATCGCCTCTGCAAGCGCTCAATGCCAGGTCGAAGCCGGCTCTCATGGGCGGCGAGCGCCTCCCCAACATCGTGTGTTCGACTCAGCTCCTGGCTCAGCATCTCTGCAGATACAAGCGCCATACCAGCGCCCTGGCCGGACATGAGAGTCAGACAATGTGCCGCATCGCCCAAGAGTACGACGCGGCCTTTTGACCAACGTGGTTGGACCACCAGATTGGCACTATCCATTACCAGAGACGTCCCAGACGCTTCCCCTAGACGAACAGCGTCCCTGACCACATCCTGACAGTCGGCAGTAAGTTCTCGCAACTTCTTGAATCCCTCGCCACGTGGCCCGGGAGGACCACGGCTCTCTGCCCAGATGTGGTACCCCGTCATGCCGCCGTTCTTGAGTGAGAATACCATGTCCAGCTGGCCTGGTCGAGTAAAGGATACGCAATTCTTGGAAGGCTCCTGATCGGTTTCGAAGTTGTACGCGGCGAAGTACAAGCCAATGAAGTCCAGTGCGTCCTTTTGTTCAAATATCATGTCTCTGACTTGCGACCGCATCCCATCGGCGCCAATGACGAGATCCGCATGCAATGTATGCCCATCGTCGAGCTGAATCTCGACCGTCTCCGTTTGGTCCTGGATCGAGACTACTCTCCGTGAGAATTTGATCTCCGAAGAACTGGGCAGGTGAGAAAGCAGGATTCTGGCCAGATCATTGCGTCGAACAGGCATGCTGTCCATCCCTCCGTGCACTTCACTGTATCGCAAGCGATATAGCTCGTATCCTGAATATGTTTTCACGGTGTTGTAGTCGAATTGTTCACTAATTGTGCCCAGCAACTGCTTGATACCCATCTTTTGAAGAGTTTCAAGGCATGGCCCGGAGAGAGTCATCACATACCCACCATCCTGTAAGTTGGGCGCTTTCTCGATTATGATGGCCTTCCAACCGATCTTATCAAGCCACCATGCAGCGGCAAGGCCAGCGATTCCAGCTCCGATGATCACAGCTAACGGTTTGTCCGGCATCTTGGGTATTTGTAGGTTAATGAGAAAGTCAGAAGTTTAGAAAACAAAGAGTCAGAGTGAGAGCGAGACCGTATGGTAGATATGGGGATGCTCCAAGTGGGTCGGTGGTCATTTTGATCTGATAAGATAAATTGCGATGCACCAATCAGCATCGGCAGGCCCTCCGGCCCGAAGTGGCTAAAAAAGGACCTGAAGGTGAACTCGACGACCTCGTACCCGGGTTTGAAGGTCCTCGAAAAACAAACTCCCGAAGCACGGCTCCGATATGCATGCCAATTCGCATAACAGAGTCCTTGTCCATCTGGAACGTGGCTAGCCGCTAACTCTTCGTACTGACTCTTGGTCATGGCAAGATGGCGCTGTGGTTGGGTCAGGAGCCACGCGAGGCGTTGTTCATCGCTAAGTAGTGCGGAAACAGAATCTAGCCGCGACATCGGCAGACATCAGATGATTCTAGCATGCGGACCACAGTGGAGATATCAAATATGGTCCTCATATCGAGGGTTTGCAATACAAAAACGTCTCTCGCTCTCTGTAAATCTCAGAAGGCCACTCAGAACTGGTACTCATTATGGCTATGGACAAAGCAGTCCTTGAATCTACCTTCGTGGAGAGCGGACAAGCACAGTCCGAAAAGATAGGATTCGCTTCTACGACCACCGAGAAGCCTCCTAATGAGTACACCGACGCTGCTTTACCGGCCGACCGGGTGCAAGCTGGAGATGTCCGGTATGCTCTACACCGCAAAGATCGGCTCATACTGCTCATTTGGTACGTACAGTTCCAATCTCTTCCAGTGCCGGTAGCTAACCCCCCAGCAGCATCTGGATCACTACCTTCGTGCTCGGCCTCTCGATGCAGACGATGTACCCTTTGCTGCCTTACGTATACAGCTCCTTCAAAGCACACTCTCTCATGCCAACGGCCTTCGTTGTCTCCAGCGTCGTTGGAGCAGTCATCAGGCTACCGCTGGCCAAAGTCCTTGATCTCTGGGGGCGTGCTCAAGGCCTAGCGATTGCGCTGGGGTTGTTCACCATCGGTTGCATCGCCATGGCAGCGTCCCAAAACGTCGTGACCTACGCCGCGGCGATGGTGTTGTATATCACCGGCTACGACGCGTTCTCCTACGTACTATTTGTCCTGATCGCCGACCACTGGAATCTAAAAGACCGAGGCCTCATTTTTGGCTTCTATCAGACTCCATGGATCGCGACAACATACATTGGACCCGTGCTGGCCGAGAGATTCTTGTCTTTCTCTACTGGTTGGAGATGGTCGTTTGGGGTATTTGCCATCGCAACCCCTCTGGTGGGAGCGGGTATGGTGGTTTTCTTGGCTAGGAAGCAGAAGCAAGCGATACGACAAAGCTCTCCTTCACGGGATGCCCCATTCTTGTCAAATTTGAAGCACTATTTGGTTCAAATCGATGGTAAGTGATTCCCTCTCCCCAACAGACACACCATGTCAACGAACACAACAGTTCTCGGTCTTTTCCTCCTCGCCTCCGGCTTCTCGCTTTTCCTCCTCTCACTCAGTTTGCACACCACCGCCGGCAAGGGCTTCGAGTCCCCATCCATCATCTCCATGCTTGTCATTGGCATCGTTCTCATGATCTGCTTTGGTATATGGGAGAGATACTTCGCATCCGTCACCCTCATCCCCTTTGCATTAGTGAAGGGCCGGACCATCATTGGCGCCTGTCTGGTGTACGCGACGACGTATTTGATGTACCAAGTCTGGTCACCTTACCTCTCTTCCTCCCTGCAAGTGGTGCAGGACCTCAACGTTGTCCAGGCCGGTTACATCTACAATATTCACAGCATCGGGTGGTGTATCGCGAGCTTTGCCGGTGGGGCGATCATCAAGTTCACCGGATGGTACAAAGGCCTGGCTCTGTTCTTCGCCATTCCTCTGCAGATCCTCAACACCGGACTCATGATCTATTTCTCAAAGACCACAACGGCCACCGGGCTAATAGTCATGAGTCAGATCTTCATTGCATTCGCCGACGGCTTGCTGTACGTCACGTCCGACGTCGCCTTATTGAGCAACGTCACCCCTCAGCACTTTGCCATCATACTTGCCGTCGTGAGTTTCCCCTATCAACCCTGACTTCTTTGGTCTCCAAATCTGCAAAAGGGACAGTCTGAAGCTAATCCAATCTTTTAAAATCCAGTACAACCTCACCGGCTCGTGCTTCCAAGCCATCGGTTCAACCATCTCCATCGGCCTGTGGACGTCCTTTTTCCCCGAAGCCCTGCTGCGCAACTTGCCCGCCGACGCGCTGCAGAATATGTACCTCATCTACGCGGACATCACCACGCAGTTGTCGTACCAAGTGGGAACGCCTGTGAGGCAGGCGATCCAGTTGAGTTACGAGCAAGCGATGAGGAAGCTGTTCATCACGGCGACTCCACTGGGTGTGCTGATGGTCGTAGGTGCGGCCTTGTGGAAGAAACGGACACTGTAAGCCTTTGGGGTTGGTCTGCGGATTCTTTAGAATAACGTTGTCGGGGGAGAGGGGAAGAGGGAGGAGGCCCAATGTCGTTGCGGTTACGTACTTGTGGCCTTTACCAATCGCCTCGCTCTCACAGATATCTAAGAAGCAACATAGAATCGGTTCCCAACCATCACATTTTCTCAGCGATCGTGACGTACACGGCGGCCGGATCTCCCAGCAGCACCAGCGTTGAACCACGTTAAATCCTACATTGGATGAATTTGGGAAGTAACCTTTCAATACGTACTAGGTACTTCTTTGCCTATCTAGAAATACTTATTACCTAGTCAGGTATACCTCTACAGTGCTTACTTGAAACGTTTCCTAAGTACATTGTACTCATAGTACTATACAATCTGTCTATCAATTATAGCCTCTTTCATAAAAGGACTGCGTGCTCTAATTCTCCTTCCAAAGGGAATAATGACCACCGGAATGAAAGAGAGCAATAAAGCGAGAAACCCTAGCAGTGTACTCGCCCATTGAAAGCCAAGGTTTGAGTACATGGCCATAGTCGATAAGGGTAGAAAAGCGGCAAAAATATTCTCTCCAAGGACAACGGCAGCAACGGCACTTCCAGCATACTTGCTGTATGAGTCGACTACGTAGTCTGCAATCCCGATGACGACGATATCGATGCCGAACCCGACCATGGCAAGGCCAATTGCTGGTGCGATCCATGGGAAGGAGGGGTATGAAGTCCATGCATATACAAACATACCACCTGTAACTCCTACAAAACTACCGAGAACGCTGACGTAGAGTCTTGCTTCAGGGATAGGGATCCCGGGCGTCTCATGGTTTCGAGAGGCTGAGGCGAAATACAGCTTTGCAGAGAGTAGCGCACCAGTCAATCCGAGGCATTCACCGATCACGACGGCCGCTTGGATGTATCCGGCCTGAGACGCTGACCATCCGTAGAGCTCGACGAATACTTGTTCAGCCGACTGTGTGAAGACGTAGACTGTTCCGACAGTAAAGGCCGACCAAAGGGTGAAGACGAAAACAACTGGTTCTGTAAAAAGCATATACAACGGCCGCTTGACGCTGATTGTGACTCTCTGAAACAAAGTGGCAGTCGGCCTGTCGGTGGCAGCATGAATTGACAAGTCTTTCTGGTCAAAAGTGGTTGTGGTGTTTGCTGCGGTTTTTTTGGCCCGTTGACTAAGTATGACAGATCCTCTGGTTTCGCGGAAAAAGATGAGATAGAGCGGAGTGAAGAGCCCATACCAAATGAGTTGCAAATATGATATCCAGCGCCAATTCAAATACTGAAAAATGACACCCCCGATGACGGGACCCGTGCTACTTCCTGTGACGTAGGCGGTGATGTAAAGGCTCATTGGAATTGTTCGAGCCTTTTCTCCATCCCAGATATTTCCAATGACAGTTGCTGAGGTGTTGGACAGGATGGAAACACACCCTCCTGTAAAGAACCTTGATATGATTAAAGTGGCGAAGTTTTGCGCCAGGGCTTGGGGGATAATGAAGCATATGAAGACAAGGTGTGTGACTAGGAAGCCTGGTCGCACTCCAAAGTCCTCCATCAAAGGGAGTGCTACGAGCGAGAATATGGCGCCTCCCAGCGCCCAGCTCGCCACTGGCCAGTATGAGTTTGGAAAGTGCTCATCGCTGACATTAAATGCTTCGTTAATGGCCTCGTGTGCCACGGTGATGATGGTTCCATTCAGAACGGTGGTAAATGTGGCGAAGATTGCAATCGCTGTAATGACCCATTTCCTCTGGACTGACCAGTTGTAAGGGTTGCCGGGATCGTCGAAACCCAGCCATTCGTTGGCATTGGCGTTGGATATCGATTCTGAGGTCTGCACGCGTGAAATGGGTCGTCTGATCTCAAGTGCGATCGAGTCGTTTCTGTCCTCTCCGTGAGACATTGTACGATCGTGCCTGCTCTCGTTGGCTCGACCTTTTGATACTCTGTGCCCTAGAGCAAGGAAGTAATACTAGATGTACACCATTGTCGAGTATGAGGTCTGTGTGGCATTTTTGATTTTGACAACAATAGATCAGGGGATTTGAGATTGAATAATCTTGTTGAACATAAGCTTGATAATTTGAATCTTGGAAAGTCTTAAGAAAATGTCATCCCGCAAGCGCAGCCAAGCGCTTAAGCTTCTGCAAAACTAACTTATGACCGCAAGCGTGGAATTGGTTGCCGTTTCTTACCTAATGCAAATGCAACTTTGTGGAGAGGCTCGGTGTTGCATACTACTAGTAGTATTTCCATTACTACCACCTATTACATTCGAAAGAAGGTATGAAAGCAAGTAAGAGTAAGAAGATCTTTGTAGGCAATATCGGTTCCCGTGCGCCCCAAAACAGAGCACTGTCCTCCTTGATTCTCCTTTTCGGTCTGCTAGAGAGCATTGCCAACGATGAAAATGTTGAAGCTGATCCTATAGCTCCAGCCGTCTGATAATATACTCCTGGAAATTAACCTTTGGCCAGAAACGCCTGTCAGGTATATCGAGCCCGTGCTAACTTGTCTATCCCCATCCTTTCCTTCGAAGGATCTGTGCCACTTCTAGAATCTTGTTGTCGAAAACATACCACTTCGTAGTCCCACTAGAGGCACTTAAAGCCCTTCAAGTACTAACCTGAGTGGGTACTTTTGACGGTTGACTTTTAGAAATAGCTGATCACGACGATTCGGCATTTGGAGTCGTCGTGGTTGCGTCTACTCCTAATTGCAGATAATTCCAGCAGACTGATGGTCGCATAAAGTCAGCTTTTTCAATCGATGTCATAAGAATATGTCAACAAGTTCGCGGCACTCACTCGTATCCCCAAGGTCGTCACCAAAGAGACCTTTTAGCTGCTCTGCCCCATGTGTGACGCCAGTTGTTGGATGATAACCGACAGCGGTTTTCCCAATGGCAATTCCCATCATGGGCGGAATGTCATCTAGTTCCATAAATTGCGGTTTGAGATTTGAGGCTTGGGACTGCATCGTTGCATAGATATTGCTCGCTACGTATTGACCCATATGCATCGAGGTGCCACATCTTTTTATGCCAGACCACTGCACAATGTCACCTGCTGCAAAATGGTATTGCGAATTGGCAATTTCCGGGAGGAGGTTCAATCTGGTAGTCAGTTAGCATGGATAGAGAAGGGAATCATGTATGGCGGCTCGTACGATGCAGTAACCTTGACGTAGCCTTCGTCATTCAAGGTATTGGGCGGCATATAGTCTGTTGAGGGGATACTTTTCGATATGGCATAGATGACTTTTCCTGCACGAATTGATTCGCCATTATCAAGCTTCAATTCGGTGATCGATCCATTAGTGGTGGATTCGAGCACGCGCCGGCCTAGAATGAGGTTGACTCCTGCATTTGAAAGTTCAACCGCGGACCGCTCCTTGAACTCGTCTGGCAAGGGCTCATTGGATAGGAGATTGTTGCGGGAATGTATCAGGGTGACTTTTTGTTCTGGCATAATTAATTTGATCTCAGCGGCCATTTCGATGCCGACAGCGCCTATAGCGGTGTGAGAAAGTTGTTGCATTTCGAATGAGATGAAACATACCGCCTCCTATCACAACCACACCTTCGTTTGCATTCTTGACTTGGTCGATGTGGTCTTGGGTCTCCTTCAAGTAGTCTTCCTTTGTCAGAGACTGAGGGACAACAGGCCAGACTCTGCGAAGACCTGTTGCTGCAACGAGGAAATCGTAGCTTTTCTCGGTCAAGGCACCAGTGCCCTTCTCCAGAATGGTCGCTTTTCGCTGTTTGTTGTCGATCTTACTGACGCTGCCACGAACTATGTTGACGCCTTTCAGGGCAGGAACATCCTCAAACTTTCTCCATGCTCTCTTCTGAAAAGTCTCTGATGCAAGAGCCAACGGGGAGCCAATCAAGTGAACTATTCAATAATTAATCAACGGTGAGACTCCTACGTTGAAGATATGAAGAACATGGCCGAGACTGTACGTACAGTATCCGTCACGCTCGTCGACAATTGATATCCTGACAGGAAATTGAGGACCGGCATTGGTAGCCGGAGAGGCAGCAAAACGATGTGACCGTCCCGAGCACAGGTCTTTGAGATTTAGAGCAGCGGCTAAACCTGCATATGAGCCACCAAGGACAAGGACCTCATATGGCTCTCGGGCAGCTCCAATAGCAGCAACACCCTCGTTGGAAGGCATGATGGACTTAAAACAAGCGAGAAATAAGTTCCGAAGACGCGCCATCAAAGACTGTCAAACAAAACTGGGCGACAAGCCTTGTTATAAAGGAGTTGTACGAGCATGGAGTATATGGGTCCGAGGCTGAGCAGTCTTGGGATCAAATCTTATCAGATCATGGGCTATCAGATGGTGCCATCAAGGTGGGATCCACTGTCTGACCATGCTCGGCACTGACATTTTTTCTTGAATGCGCCAAAGGGTTGCGGGGTTATGTGCGATGAGAGTAAGAATGCCGTAGTCAGACGTCAATTATGAGATTTTCTGAGCCGTCGACCGAGCTATCTACGCTATCGATCATCTCCACACCCCCGAGACCGGTACCGGAAGAGGAAAAGACAAAGGTCCCTTGATGTGGCCCTGCGTTGTTGCGGGGATGGATACTCGAAATGCCGTACTACTGAGAGTAAGCATTCTTTCTGATGACCCGTTGCACGTGGGATTTGGAAAACTCTTATAGAGAACAAGCAGTATAAGTTGGGGAGTCCGTTGAGAGGAACAGAAACCCACATCTGACTTGCCAAGTCCACCCCGCTGGCTGTCGCCACAAACTGGAGTACTTGCCTGATGTATATACGTCCGCCTGATTTAGGGAGGCACGGTAAACTCCCAGGTATGTTACGGAAGGTACAGGCGGTCAACTTAGGATAGCTCCTGCCAGAATGAACCATTGGAACAAAAGGAAGGAACAACCTGATTTTCTATCTAGGAAGGTATGAAAGTCACGTGATCCTGTCGACCTTACCCGGCGGTCTATACAGACTATCGAGTGCAGTTCTTAGACCGCGGTTTCTCCCATCGACGGGCCTCGGGATCTGAGTCTCAGGCTGTTTTCTCCGACGGGCTTCAAGTCTCCAACAACTCCAAACAATGATGTAAGCATACGTGGCATGGCAATGATGTAAACACCTTGACGACCTGCCCTATGAAAATCAGTCCACGCATGCTTGCTCTTGATTCAGCTGAGCATCGTTGATTGTGTCACAGAATATAATATTCTTTCACAGTTAAATTTCAAATACCATCTCAATGTCCCCTCGAGCCAGACTCACAGCTCTTTCCCACCAAGTCTCGACAGCTGCAAAGTCTGGGGTAAACGTTACACAGTCCAGAACATTAGCCTCAAGCATGTCCCAGACACCATCTGCAGGATGTAAGTCCGATAGCCACGACATTCTACACCCTTGGAGGTGGGTGGCATGCATGACTCGTTGACTTCGTTTAGGCTGCAACACGCCCGCAGTCATCGGCAAAGGCTATGTAGGGCACCCATTTACCCCCAGAGGCAATTGATTGGTACTGACTTGACCAAGAAAGAAAAGGGCACCTGGACAACAGTTGATGGATTGAAAACATGTTGGACCATATTCTATTCCTGCGGATGCTTGGGTATTGATCTCCTCTTAGATGCTACTGGCCCGTCGTCTGCCAAAAAGGGAATTCTCGTCGTCTATGATATCTTCGGCTTCTTTCCCCAGACTCTCCAAGGTGCCGATATCCTCGCCACCTCGGACAAGGACAGGCAGTACAAGATATTCATGCCTGACTTCTTTGAGGGAAAGCCGGCAGATATTTCCTGGTACCCTCCCGACACCGACGAGAAAGGCAAGAAACTGGGACAATTCTTCCAAACAAGTGCTGCACCACCCAAAACCATCAGCAAGCTCAACGCCGTCATGCAGCAACTTAAATCGAGCAACCCAGATATCAGCGACTGGGGAATTGTAGGATATTGTTGGGGCGGCAAGGTTGATCTCCATCGCTTCACCCTTTCACAGGCCAACCCGCTGACTAACCATATTATAGATTGTCAACCTTGTCTCCCAAGCCGGAACTGCTTTCAAGGCTGCGGCGACTTGTCATCCTGCAATGGTCGACCCAAAGGATGCCCCGGAGGTTACCATCCCAATTCTCACAATTGCCTCCCAAGACGAGAGCAAGGATGACGTAGGCAAGTACGAAGCTGCGCTCAAAGTACCCAAGCAGGTCGAGTGGTATGATGATCAGATTCATGGATTCATGGCTGCTCGAGGTGATTTGGAGGATGACAAGGTCAAGGCAGCTTATGAAAGGGCCTACCAGACTGTCCTCGGATTTTTCCATCAGCACTTGTAAGGCTTCAATATGGTTCGCCTCGGGAATCCGAATGGAAACAGTGTAATCAATGAATCAGGTTTGCAAATTTGAATACGAAATGGTAGTGCAAATCAGATCATTTCGAGATATAACCGCCGTTACGTCTATGTCGTCTCCCAAGCGCATGCACCGAAGCTCCGCCGCCCTCGTGACACTGATTTTCCTCTCCGTCGTTGCCAACTCTACCACTCCATGCAGATGAAAGCAGGCATTGATTTCAACTCCGACATCATAGACAATTCTCAAGCAGTGCTCTAGTCATCAGCTTCGTCGTCAACATGAGTTTCTCCTCTCCAAAAGCACCAGGAGAGGATGATGACAATTTTGAGAGCCGCTGCCGTCCAAAGAGCGCCTGCCAGACCAACGGAACTATGCGCCCACACTCCGCCAAACATCGCCCCCACCAAAAGCAAGACAGGTGCTGCTGCCCTCCTATTCCTCTCGACATTCTGAGTCAAGCCTGCCATGATGAGAGGATCCGAGAAAAGATCACAGTAGATACTGGTCAATACCACACTTGTGAGGGCGTTATACTGCAAAGCACGGCTCGTGACTGCCTGTCCACTGCTTTGAAAGGCGACCAAGGCCAAGGGAACCAGGACTTCCCATCGAAGGTCCCCTCCAGTCTCAGGATCGATCATAACGATGACTGCGGCCGCCGAGATCAACATGAGTTGGAAGGAGAAGGATGCCAACAGCACCCATCGACGTTTCGGTGAGAAGTAGCGATGAAATCTGCTGATGAAAAAGGATCCCATGCAGAACGATCCGATCGAAATGCCAGATCTGATCCACCTTGTTGATTCACTGGGAGCAACAAGCCCCAGACCCAGGTATACCGTGTTGCCCGTTTGCATGCTCACGAATGATCCCCATATGAACACGGCGGAGCTGTCGAGTAGTCCTGTGATGATGTATGACATCAGCAGGATCAGATCTGCCCATTTTTTGTCGATGTCGTCTCTCATATATCGTGCAAGACGTGCAAATCGATCGTTTGCTTTGCTGTTGCCTAGAAGAGGCTCTTCCTCGCCATTGCCCACACCATGGCCATAAATGCCACGGTCAGTACTTTGATTCAGCGTGCCGTACGCCATTGGTGATAATAAGTATCACTGAATTTGCTGGCGGATTTGAATCACCAGACGCAAAAGTGTGCTAGATTAGAATGAGACATGGAAATAACTCCTCGTTCCTCCAAAGCCCAAAGGACAGCAAGCATATTATTGAATTGAAAAACAATCTACCGGTGGGTATTGCAGAGCTCCTGGGCACGCTTCAGAATGCGTCATCTCCAAACGCTGTGGCGGGTTTGTGGACATGATGCACGACCCAGGCGGCTTAAACGTTTAAGCGGTGAGGGTTATCCCCAGCTTCGTGACGTCCATACATTTTGACATCGTTCCGCCTATTCCTAAATACTTGCAAGGGGAACAGAGGAACTGATTAGCCGAGCATCAATTGATCACCCAGGGCTATTAAAACTCAGAGACCTTGCCCAGCCCAGATTCTTCCCCTTGGTATCTTCCTTTTGAATTTGAAAGTCCTGCACCAAATATTAAGTATTTGCACCGCCAGGATGAAGTTGTCTCTGGTGACTTCGTTGCTTATGAGCACATGCCTTGCGGTGCCTATTCATGAAAGAAACCAGCAGGCTTTGAAACCATTTGACAAAAACTCCCCATATACTAGAAAGCATCATGATCCCTATGACCATAAGGTTGACTCGGTGGGACAGGATCTCGAGCCTCTACCGTGGCGAAATGGTGATGGTGCTACCATGCTGGGTCCTCGCAATCGAGAGCGTGAGAAGCAAAATCCAGATATGGTTCGACCTCCTAGCACGGATTCTGGTAATCTTCCCAACATGCGTTGGAGCTTTGCCGACTCTCACATCAGAATCGAGGTAAGAATCAATATAACACTCAGAGAGACCTGGTGCATCAGGCTGCTGAGTATTCTACGAGCCTGTGACCCTAACAGCAGTACTAGGAAGGCGGCTGGACCCGCCAAACCACGGTTCGAGAGCTGGGGACCAGCAGGGAGCTCGCTGGAGTTAATATGAGGCTTGACCACGGCGTCATCCGAGAACTCCATTGGCACAAGCAAGCTGAATGGGCCTATGTCCTAGAGGGAGAGGTCCGCATCACGGCGCTTGATACCGAAGGTGGCAGTTTCATCGATGATCTCAAGAAGGGCGACCTTTGGTACTTCCCACCCGGTCACCCTCATTCTCTCACGGGTCTGGCTCCCAACGGTACCGAGTTCTTACTAGTCTTTGATGATGGCAACTTCGACGAAGAGTCTACTTTTTTGCTGAGCGACTGGCTTGGTAAGTAGCGTTCACTCGCTCGTGTCGAAGAAACCAAGAGGCAACCCCAATCTAATCATTCTGTAGCTCACACGCCCAAGTCCGTCCTTGGTGAGAACTTCAACCTCGACCCAGAGGTATTTGACGCCCTAGACCCAGCGGACAAGTATATTTTCCAAGGCAGCCTACCCGGGTCTATTGACGAGGAGAAGCCCCGCGGCAGAGGGGTGAAGAAGTCCAAGCTTCAATTCACCCACAAGATGCTGGACCAGGAACCTCTCAACACCACAGGAGGCCAAGTCCGCATCACGGATTCGACCAACTTTCCCATCTCCAAGACCGTAGCCGCCGCACACCTCAACATCCAACCCGGTGCCATCCGTGAAATGCACTGGCATCCCAACGCCGACGAGTGGTCCTACTTCATCAGTGGCCGAGCACGCGTTACCATCTTCGCCGCTACGGGCATCGCACGCACCTTTGATTTTCAGGCCGGAGACGTCGGCATCGTACCCAAAAATATGGGCCATTTTATCGAAAACTTGAGCGATGACGAACCCGTTGAGGTGCTCGAGATCTTCAAGGCCGACCAATTCCAGGATTTCTCCCTGTTCCAGTGGCTCGGAGAAACTCCCAAGCAGATGGTTGTGGACCATCTCTTCTCACAGGATAAGAAGGCTGCTTCACAGTTCTTGCGCGAGATTGAGAGCGCCGAGAAGGATCCCATCAAGGCTGTCTTGACCGATGACGAGCTGGACAACATTCACTTCGAAATGTAATTGGTGGGAACATGTAATAGTGATAGTTGATCTTTACCTTCATTCCTCGACACTCGAGGTCTTACTTCATTTCTAACATGAAGACCAAAAATATCCGTCCGGTTGTCTTGTATAGGACCAGAAGCTGGACTTGTCCACATACTGTTGTTAGTTCGAAAGCCTTAATCAAGTCTTGTCTCCAGGAGTGCATGGGTCTAGTAGGCACTGAAGATACCATGCGAAGTCTGACCATGGTGCGGAGGATCCTGGGGGTGAGATTGACCTCCTATCCAGCATAAACGTTTAAGCATCGAGAGCCAGCTCTTCTTGTCTTGGGTCGCCTTCAGGAGCCACATGTCTCATGATTGGAGCAGCCATACCTGGCAAGGACTGTTCCACTTTCGAGACGAGGAGAGGGAGGTACTTGCCCTTACCGCCAGGTAATTGTGCAATCAGGGATAGGAAATGCTTCAAGTTGTCTTCTGGCCCGACCTCGAATCCGCTTGACCTTGCCTCGGCTATCGGGATGCATGATATGACATCGATTAATGTGAAGGCAATGTCGAACACTTTCTCCGTAAGACCCATCCCGTGCACCTGCATGCTATGCACCGGTAGCTTCCATGTCAGCATGGCAAGGTCGCGTGAGATCCTCAATGGATACCGAAAGGTCAGGCTTTCGTGGTCAGCTTCGCTTGAAAGAAATCCTAGCATGGTGCACAGCTGCCATATTATCATCCTTAGCCATTGTTGGGATACACGTATGTTAGACACTTGACTCTCTGCTATATCCAGCAAATCCGGAATCACTTTGCAGATCTTCTCTTCTAGCTGAACAAGATCGCTGGAGGACTCCGTGCTGCTGGCGCGATTCCACAATGCAATAAAATTGTCGTCGACAGATTCGAATAATTCTGCCAGGTAGCCAAAGCCAACAAGACCAGGCGACTGCTTAGTGGTATCATTGATCGAGGGACTCTGAGGGGTGATCTGAAGTGTGATTGGCCTACGCCGGCGTATAGCATGGGATCTATCAATGTTTAGTTGTGGTAGTCACGAAGAATGAGATTTGTACCTTTCAGAAATCAGGAGAAGCCAGAACAGCCTGCTGAATGTCTCGTCCTTTGCAGGATCCTCAATATCCATCGTCGCAGATGTATACATGGTTGTTGCTTCACGTAAGAAGAACCACGCAAGTCGGTGTCTGCCGAGAGCCGAATGACAGCCGTAGATGAAGAACGCGAGGACCACGGTTCGAAGAGACGGAGGCGCAAGTAGATCCAGGTGGCTTCTGGCAGACAGTGCCTCTTTGAGCAGTAGTTGGCCTTGTATGGCGGCATGCCGAGCGATTCCAAGAGACACCAGCCGCTTGTTGGTCAAGCTATCTGTTTGTAGAAGAACGAACGCGCAGAACGAGCAGGCATAGCAATATTCCTCTTCACCCAAGCCGTCGACTCCTCGTGCCGAAACCATGTGACGAAAGGCGGCTACGTTCAACACAGGCACTGTGGAAGCCAGTTGAGTGAGAAAGACTTCGGCACAGAGCTCGACAAGCGCGAGTGGCAACAGGTCGAGATTTCGCTGGAACAGTTGCCTTCCCGGAAGAAGCTCAATGCTATGAGGACTCGTTTGCAGGTCGAGAGAGAAAGTCGGCGAAGTGTAGTTTAGAGCCTGGAATTGTGCTGGAGTCGAAGGTGTGAAGTCATTACTCTCGCCATTTGACTGTGATTTGCGCAGCTCTGCGAGCACATTCGCTGACTCTCCCGTCCTGCCCTTCTTTAATCGAGTGGACAAGAAAGTGCATTCGAGGTCTGCCTGTCGACAGGCCACACACGGCCTTGCCAGATTACATCGGACTTTTCGACGCCTACAGGCATCACATGCCTTGGACACGGTCAGTCGACTCATACAGTTGCATCACATTCGATCTCAACCGGTCGTTGTTGAGGGAGGCTGTTGTATTTTTGGTTGGAGTTCCGGCTGATGTTCTCATTGTAGGACGAAACTATCTGCCGGTACACCTTCCCAAGTTAATATGACATGTCGATGTTTATGATCCGCTATAGCTCTGATTGCCGGGGCAAGTGGAGAGACTACTTCCGCAATAGTTAAAATGAACTCAGTTGCCAGTTCCTGATCCAATACCCTTCCTACGTCTCCCGAGATGCTTCTTGGGACCTTGGAGGAGCTATTGAACGTGGAGGACAAGAGCTAAGTGATTATCATTGGATGAATTATGCCATATTTCACAACTATCTAGCCCCTACTCAGAGAAAGCTCCCATCCGAACGGTCCTCATCATTTAAGTCACATGTCTTCTCTTGACCCTTGTTGAGACTTTAGATGAGACTCTCCTAGTGGGTCGTGTCTAATTCATCAGTTCCGTTTGACATTCGCTTTACTGGTACAATGTTGTGTGAATAAGGGTCGATTGTTGTCTTTGCGAATTTCCGAGCAGGCACTTCGTGTTCGAACAACAGGTCAAGCTCGGCATATGTGCGGCCCTGAGAATCAATGTTAGCTCTAATCTTCTTCAGAAGTCTTTGATCCTTACCTTGGGCTCTGGCAGGCGGAAGAACACCCAAACAGCGGACATCAAACAAGTTCCAGCCCAGAAGAATGCTGCTCGGCTACTCCAATTCCAGGCTGTAGAACTGAGCTGATAGTTGGTCATGACATTCACAAAGATGTTGCTGGCATTGTACCCAGCTCTTGCCAACACTATCGTCTTTGCCTTCAACCGGGTCGAAGAAAGCTCGGAGACAAGTGAGTATGTCACAGGTCCGACCGTAAAGTCATACACGAACGTGAAGACGATCAACATTGCGCCGATTGCCCACTTCGCATTGTTCGAGGATGCAAAGGAAAGACATCCCACGATGATCAAGATGGTGAGTTGGCCGCAGAGACCACTGAAATGTATCGTTCGACGACCCACTCGGCTCATCAAGAACCAGGACCCCATGGTTCCTACAGCCCCAAGAGCGGAATTGCCCATAGAGAGAGAAAAGGAATTGGCGGGATCCATTCCGGCTTGCACCCTGGTACTTTTGTTAGTGTCGGATCAAGTTGACGCACGCCTCATTGGGACTCACAAAAAGTACGAGAAGTATCCCATCAGGTTCTGACCACCTAATGTCTGCACAAGCCAAATGCCGACGACAATTTCTGTTCGTCGAAGGTCCACTCCTTTGAAACAATCACGATAGGTCACACCCTCTTGTACCGCCTTCTCCATTTCGTTGGTGTGCTCGATCAATGCAATTGTTTCATCCGCATTGAAACCAGGCTGATTCTTGGATGTCAATCGGAGCAAGGATTTCTTTGCAGCTTCTCGATTCCCGTGACGAACATGCCACCACGGCGACTCGGGCGCAAAGATCAGACCAGCAAGAATTGGGAGCGGCCAAACCCACTGCACACCACTATGACCAAGAATATTAGCTGTTATTCTCTAAAATGGGGAAGGTCGAACAAACTCACAAGGGAATGCGATAAGCCCACTGATCAGTGCGGTTGACTGAACCTCGGTTTACAGCCGCTGCAAAGAACTGCCCAATCACCCAGCAAAGATTGATGAAAGTTGTCAGGTAAGGCCTGAGCACTGTTGGCGCGACCTCGGAAGCATATGCAGGCGTGACAGATTGGAAGGCACCCCATGGAATACCTGAGTTGTGTCAATATTTGATTTCTAGCAGTCATCTCGTGAACCATACCACAGAGTATTTCGCCAACAACCAGGACCGGGAGATTGGGAGCAAAAAATAGGACAAAGATGAACGCAATCATTAATATCAACGAGCCAATGGTGGTTATTCTGTAGCCAAAACGGTCCGCTGTCCAACCTGCGATGATGAGGCCAAAAATCTCCCCTGCTCTAGCGCCGTTCGAAAGACCAGACTGCCAGGCTGCAGAGATCGCCCATTTGCCGGTACTTGGGTTGTAAGTGCCGTACTTCTTGTTGAATTCTGGCGATGCGTAAAGGCTACCAAGGAGTGCGAGGTCGTACCCTGGACCGATCAGTATATCGACCAAGGATGTTCAGGATGGGCTGACATACCTTCCATAATCAAAGTCGACGACAGTAGGACTGACCATCCGATGGCATTGGGATACAACTTGATAGCCTTCCAAAGGCTCATGGTATGTTCGGCATCAGAAGCATTTTTGGCATCTTCTACGAGCCCACTCGTTTGTTTTCCAGAGACTACATCTTCGACTTGTCTTGGATCTATGTTCTTCTCGTCGAGCACAACTTGTGCTGGCGCTGGGTTGACAGACATGGCGCACGTTGGTCTAAGGCAAGTGGGCGTGCCCTGTAGTTGAAGAATGAAAGTTGTAAGGAGCGATATGGAGTGAAAGTGCGGGTTGGTAACCTCGTTTTATGCATCCCGCAACAAGTTTTGCATGGCTTACAGTCGGTAGCAAATACAACTCCACATGGGGAATGCCCCGTAAAGTGGAGTCAAGTTGGATTGATCAAGCCTGGTTTCTTGGGGATTCTTGGTGAAGACAAGCAATAACGTGAGAACATTGCCTCCGAAACTGACGACATGCCACATGAGCTAGACTGACTTTGATATCGCCCATGTAAACGGTGCCAGTCAACAGGCGCCACAGGGTTCTGGGGAGAAAAATCCGGGAAAAGCCAAGTCGGAGACAGTTCGGGGAGTGGATCGTCATAGCCGGAGTCAAGTCGGAGTCAAGTCGGACATGATCGACAACCTGCATTGCATCAGAGCAAGCCGGCAAGCCAGTTCTCTCGTGAGCTTCGAAAGGCGGCTGTCGATCAGCTCCTGTCTAAAGCGGCAGTTACATCAGATTTGCAAGTGCTTTGAATATATCAACAAAACCAGATATCGATGTTTTCAGTCACAATCTCAGGGTTACCCGTGAAGTCTCACCTCAGAAGCACAAGGCAGCTTTGTCTTGCACACCAACCTCGCCTTGCATACTAACCAGATTGACCATGATATCAAAATTTGCTCAGCCATGGTGGAAAGAAGCCGTCTTTTACCAAGTATATCCGGCAAGCTTCAAAGATTCCAATGGAGATGGGTGGGGAGATATTAGAGGCTTGATTTCCAAAATCGACCATCTCAAAGACCTCGGGGTCGATGTGGTTTGGTTATCGCCAATGTTCGAAAGTCCACAAGCTGATATGGGCTACGACATCTCAGATTATCAAAAAGTCTATGCTCCGTATGGGACCGTTCAAGACGTAGACGACCTGGTGGAAGCATGCCATAAGAGGGGAATGAGATTAATCCTCGACCTGGTGGTGAACCATACCTCCAAAGAACACCAATGGTTCAAAGAGTCAAGGTCGTCAAAAGACAATCCCAAGCGCAATTGGTATATATGGAAACCCGCCCGATATGACGAAGAGGGCAATCGAAGACCACCGACAAACTGGAGGAGTTATTTTGCTGGGGGTACATGGACTTGGGATGAGCTGACCCAAGAATACTATCTTCACCTATATGCATCCGATCAACCAGACCTTAACTGGGACGATGAGTCGTGCCGAGAGGCCATCTACGAAGAGACCATGAGATTCTGGTTGAATCGCGGAGTGGACGGCTTTCGAGTGGACACGGTGAACAAATACAGCAAGAGGACAGACTTTGTCGACGCAGCCATAACAGACCCCACCAGCGAATGGCAGCCCGCGCCTGAGATGTGGTGTAACGGGCCAAGGATACATGAGTTCCTCAAAGAGATGAACAGTAAAGTTCTGAGTCATTACGATGCTGTCAGCGTCGGCGAGCTCTCCAACACCCCAGACCCAGAGGGAGTTCTCGAATACGTCAGGGCTTCGGAAAAGGAGCTCGATATGGTGTTCCAGTTCGATATGATAAGGCTCGGCACTGGCGGCGGATTCGGGGGAAAATATGATTATCAGCCTTGGAAGCTGACTCAAATGAAGACGTTTGTGGAAAGGTGGCAAAGCTTCATTGAAGGCACCGATGGGTGGACGACGGTGTTTTGCGAGAATCATGACAATGGACGGGCTGTTTCTCGATTTGGAAACGATAGCCCAGATCACTGGCAAAACTCTGCCAAAATGATTGCGCTCTGGCAAACAACTCTGACTGGAACGCTGTTCCTCTACCAGGGACAAGAGATTGGTATGAAAAATATGCCGGCCAGCTGGGGCATCGAGGAGTATAAAGACATCGAGAGCAACAATTTCTACCGTGAAGCAGAAAAAGATAAGGATGTGTCAAAGAGAGAACAAGTCATGAAAGGGCTTCAAATACTCGCAAGAGACCATTCCAGACTTCCATTTCAGTGGGATGGATCCGCACATGGCGGCTTCACATCACCGGACGCTGTGCCTTGGATGCGAGCCCATGACGACTTGGAGTCGATCAACGTCGCTGTTCAACAAGGAGACTGTGACAGTGTACTCTCATTTTACAAGAGGATGCTGCTTTTGCGCAAACAGCACGCAGACCTTTTTGTGCATGGCAACTTCCGACTGGTGGACGAGGATAACGAGCAGGTTTTCAGCTATACCAAGTCCAGCCTAGATGGTACCAAGGAGGCACTAGTGGTCCTCAATTTTTCCGACAACATTCAGCCGATTCCAGACATTCTGACCTCTGCGAAGCGGAAATACTCAACATTGTTACTGTCGTCGGCATGTTCGACTTCATCCGTCAGCAAAACAGATCTGGAACCATACGAGGGCAGGGTTTACTTGGGCCTGACAGACTGAGTTCGAGACGGAAGCTGAGAATATCAAGTCCCCATAATTAGACCGCATATAGAGATGCAAATGAACGGCGCACTGGGAGATGCATTGTCATTTAGAAACAATATTGCCCCATATTCCCCTTTTCCATATTGAGATAGATATATATGCGCACAAGGCCTCTAAAATCGACCCTACATTATCCGGCGGGTGAATATCGTCTGAATTGCAGTTTTTGAACGTACCGAGGCAGGAACCACCCGTCGCGACCAGGGTGCGGCGCCTTCCCCACGGAGTAGATCGGAGAAGCCTTGTCACTTCGATTGATACAGAAATTCGTCATCTTTATATCTGCGACGACCTGATGAATACTACTTGCTACCCAGCCTTCAAGGGTTGACGTGCTACCGGTCGAAAGTCCTATGCATATCTTGGTTCGACGACAATCCCACTACCTCGAGCTCCGGCGTTCGAACGAGATGGCAGGCATCGTCCTGTACCCATCATTATTATCCATATGAGCACGCGCCCGCCCCAGGACCTAGACTCAGATGGCCGATACTCCGAGTCCACGACGACCCTACCCACGAGCGCGACATGCTTGCCTGAGATGTCGGAAGCAGAAACTCAAAGTATGTGTACATCAGTCTTCATGCTCTCAAGCCTCGACCTAACGCAACCGTCTTCTCAGTGCGACAATACCCGTCCTTGCGCTCTCTGCGTCCGCGTTGGAGTCGAATGCAAGGAACGAACAGTCCCTCCGTTCGTGCAACCCTTTACATCTCCAATGTTTAAAAGAAAAATGGCTCACGGCTTTCAGTCGGCATCCACGTCCTGACGTCGATTCTTATGCCCTCCCACACAAGCGGCCTCGACAGCCACAGCATATAGAACCATATCCCAGCAATGGCCTTCCGAAACCTGCATCATCTCACGAGACGGACCGGCCAGAATTGCGCAGTCGACGCTCGGAAGTAGAGGTCAGGCCGGAGAGGGTATCGACGTATGGAGTGTTGGATCAGGCATGTTAGCCCATTCTCCACGCCATCTTCAATGACTGACTGAAACCCAGCTGTTTCGAGAGCATAACTCCACTGCAACCTGGAATCATACCGCTGACGCCATACCTGGAGGGAGCCCGGATAACAGATTATCTGACATCGCTACACATTGTCTCTCCGTCTCCGATGTGCTGGGAGAGGATCTTCCACCTCCTGATGTCGTCGAGTTTACTCTGCAAACATACCACAAAGCTGTTCACTGGTTCATGCTTCTGTTCCATGAACCATCTGTTCGAGCGGAACTGCGAAATGTTCAGAGATCTGGTCTTATCCGAAAAGATCGCACCATATTTATCTATCTCGTCATCCTCATCATTGGCATTGGAGCCAAGTATGCTACCGCTCCGGACGCGCAAAGGGCATGTCCGGGCTACGACCTGGACTCACTCGGCACAAGATATATTGCGCTCTTAGAAACGAAGATTTGGGATGTATTTGATGCCGGCGGCATCGAGTCTGTGCAGATTGCCGTCATGCTGAGCGCTTTCCATCTCTATCATGGCCGCCCAAGGCGAAGCACTGCGTTATCAGGCTGCGCTCTGAGGACCGCACAAGCCTTAGGCTTGCACAGAGAATCCAGCTGGAGAATGTCTGATCGCATCACCAGGGAAGTTTGGCGCCGTTTGTGGTGGGCACTCCATACTGCCGATGTGTAGGGTACATTCAATTCCCCATTGTGACCACGCTAACTGGATCGCCACAGTTTTGGTGCTATCAGTTATGGTACCCCGTGCAACATCCAGGACGAAGAATGCGAAGTTTCACTGCCCGAGGTTCTCGAAGATGTCGCCGCCACTTGCCCAGGCTTCCAATCAATAGAGACCTTTGATGGCCAATCTCACGGCCCGGTTACCATTCTTTCATATCAGCGCTACAAATTTCGACTTTATAGTCTCGCAAGCTCCATCGCTAGAAACATCTATCTCCGGAGCAACACCACTTTGAAAGATACGGTTAGGGAGATCAAGGCCATCAACCAACGCCTGGTGGATTGGGAGAAGTGTGTTCCTCCTGAATTGCAGTTGAAATGTCTCAAGGTTGTTCCGACCAATGATAAGGACAGAGTCACCTTTGACCAATTCCGCCTGCAGGCCCTAGTCTTGCAATTGTCATACGATAACATCCAACTGGTGCTGCATCGACCGCTCTTGACAATGAACCGTATTTCAAGATGGCCAACGTACCCTGCTGATGTTAGCCACACGCTCGAATCCGATCCCCTCACCATCTCCAAAGACGAGCTTAACAGCATGATCAAGGCGAGCAAGTATCGCTGCTGGGTCTCATCCTTGCGCACTTCTGGGATTGGTGACTATGGCGACATCCTTGTCCTTTCTCGAAACACTTTTGGAGCTGCATACGCAGGAATTCAAGCCTTCACTTCTGGCGTGGTTTTGGGCATTTTTGCCCTATCCGATCCCCTATCGGGCCAAGCCCATCAGGCCAAGAGGGCTGTGAGCAAAATTATCAGACTTCCAGCACTGCACAAGTACCGTACCACCGTATCAGACCAGTGTGGAAAGATTTTGGAGGAATTACTTCGTCTCATCATGGCGGAAGAAATGCAGGCCCTTCTTGCCGCAAACGACCAGGATGATCAAGGTGCGGTATACGGCGTTGCGAGTAACAATCCCCAGCCTGCCAACGACTTGGGTTCGACCTTGACCGAAGCCCGTGAAGATAGATCCGGACTGGACATGCCGGTTCCCGAATTCTCTGCCGATCCTTCCTTGGCTTTGGACATGAACTCGTTCCCACAGCCCTCAGAACTCCCTCTCGATGGCAACTTTAGCGACGCACTCTTGTCCTTGCAGGATGGTATGTCTAAATGCATTATGCAACTCTAGATTTGTGCTAACATGTTTAGTTTTCCGCGACGGGCGAGCTATAGAGCAAAGTTCTCGCAACCAGACAACGACAATGGCTTTACCTACGAGCAGTGGTAACCACACCATTCCCTTTTCCACGACCGAGATGATGCACCCTCCGGTGAACAATCCATTTGATGTTACTGCACAAGCTTGGATGTGGGATGATATGCTGTTATTACAGGATCCGACCTGAAATCCGTAACAGTGTGTTACACGGTTCTGCCATTACTCGATGTACATGATCGCATTGTCCAAAGTGTGGTCGAGTCCAACCTATCAGATGGTTCTCCTAGTTTGACGAGACCTACGCAGACAAATCCTCCCCTCCTCCATATTGAGGATCCCAGCAAATCATCTGTTCGAAGAGGTCCGACTCTTTGTTCATATTTCTATTCCCATCTTCAACATCGTCGCACAAACTTGACGGTGTCTTTTGCGCTAGAAATTCCCTGCTATCATACCAGCTCCATGGATCGCTCTCCTTCGACGGCTCTAAGGTCACACCCATGTTCGCAAATGCCGTCATATCAATAGTTTGTGGTTGTGGCGGATTGGTTCTCGGCATCATCACTTGGCGAGTCGGTTTGACGCTGGTTCGAAATGACGTCTCTCTCAGTACCTTCGCGGCCACATTGACCATTGCGATGGTTGTGTCTGCCATTGGGTAAATCTCTCCAAGATTGAGAAGCATCCGCCAGCAAAGATAAAACCTTTGAGAGCTTGATTCTCGAACGGAGTCTGTGCCAGACATGCTGTGGAGCAAGTGTGTCACTATGGCTGAGTCCAGGGATGCAATCGCCGTGTCTGGCACCTTACACAGCAGATCTCTAGAGCATAGGTTGGCAAGGCTAGACGTGATGGTTTTTGCTGCCTTGAAAAGTGCTTTTGTAGTTTCCATCCGCAGTCTTGTCTGCACTTGTTTTGCCGCAGGTCCCGAATGGATTGGTCGGTAAAGTGTCATCAGTGCTGTCGCATGATATGCAGTCACCAGACTTCTGTGGACTGTTATCAGTGCAGATTCATCCCTGGAACGAGCACTGCTTGTTCCTTGTATTGACAAGGGCAGCTGCCGATACCATGCCTGCAGGTCCAAACCGCATTCATCGAAGTCAGTCCATGTCCCACCGACACATTTCGGTACCAATGTCATCATGCTTGTCTGTCGGCCGTTTTGCATCTTATTTCGTTTTTGCACAATATACTGTGTCGAGAGAATCTTGGCCAAGTGGCCAGAGAGCTGTGCGAGCGAAATGCAGAGGGTAGACGTCATATCAAGATCGGCAATGCTTGTATCATCAACATCCAAGCGATCGGCCATAGCAGTGAAGATAGAGTCATTGTCGAAATCGCCTAAATCGAGCACAGCCATGCTCGACAAGGCTTTGACTTGTGCAGGTCGCCTAAGAGCAACGGCAAGGAGGCGGTCTCGAATCAGCAAAGACCACCAGGTTCTCTTTAAAAGTCTTTTTCTGTCCGACTCTGTTGGACATGATTCGACCTCGAGATCAAATCGGATGCTCTCGGCATGTAACGATGCGACTCCAATCCAATGGTAGCTGTCTCGAACTTGGTCCATGCTGCCATCCCAGAAACTCATCAGGATCGCGGAATGAAGCAAAGAGACTCGGTCAGATTCGACATCAAAGTCGTACAAGAGCCTACAGCGCTCATACAGCGCTTGGCGCGTTTCCTTCCGGTCACCAAGACCCAAATCCAGGTCTGTGTAAGCCGATGCTGCGAGAAGCATTGACTGTAATAAAAGCAGGCTGACGGTTTCGGTTGATCTCCATCCGAAGATTGTGTTGACAATTTCGGCAAAGTCGAGCATTGGGGTGAAGGGATGAACCCATTTGGCATAACAGCGTAGTAGTTCGTCCCTGGCTGAGTCGGGGGGAATGGTGAAACAGCCTCGACTTTGTAGAAAGATGGCATCGGTTTCCTGGAGTGTTTTTGGTAGCGGTGTAATGTAGGCGGGAAGAGTGCAAGGTTTTATGCAGGGTTCGAGTTTGACTGATTGTGCTGGTGAGGGATAAGCCGAAAACGGCTCTGTCTTGGGTTCGACATGAGTGGGAGATTTAAAATCCCAAGTCATGTTTTCCCATGAAAATTGGGTGCCTTCGTGGCCATGACCAGAAGTGCTCTCGAGTAGAAGATCGTCAAAGCTGATGTCGGTCATGGTTTTATCGTTGAGGTCAGGGGAGGTCACTTTGGAAGTAGTAGAAGATGGAGTTTCGAGGTCGCCAAAGTCGATGATAGCATCGCAAATGGGGCTGTGAGGGTTGCCGGTTGTTGCTAAAGATCCAACAACACGATCACCGACATGTCGCCGTTTGCTAACTGGTAAAATACAAGTCTTGCAATCAAGCTTGCAGTTGGTGCATGGAGACTTTGTCTTCGTCACATCACAACGTACTTTGCGAACCCGGCAAGATTCGCAAGCTCGAGGTGCCCTTTTCTTGATGACTTTGGGCAGTCCTGCCCGTTCGGTTTGGTCGACACCCATGGTGAGGGTTTGCTCGTGGGAAGTGGCTTCACAAGTGGGTAATGGAGAAGCAGCTGGCCACCCTGAGTAGCATACTAATCCGTCCACCTACCGTCAAAGGGCCATCAAACTCGAAATCAAAATGGAAGGAGGGACATGACGCCAGGACACGACGCCGTCGTAATAACCGTGGCTATCTATATTCGTTCAGGCTTTGCACATGTATGGAAGAGGATGCATTGTACGGGGTAATTACTGGGGCAATTCCGGTGGAAGCGGCAATCTTCCGGCTATACGTTGGCTAAGGAAGCAGGTTCATGGTTTTGTGTGGGGCGAGGGGTGAGACCGGGGAAGAATAAGCTGGAGTCTGGATCTGCTTGTGAAGCTAAAACACGAGAGAGGAGACGGTATGTGAGAAACATTATGTCTCCTGACGCATGCGTGACATATATGGAGAGAGAGAGAGAGAGACAACTGAGGTTGAAGCTCAAGTCAAGGTTTGGGAATGCTAAGTACAAGAAGCCATTCGCGCTTCCCTCGAGAGCATCTGGCTTTGAGAAAGGTATGCATTACTAAGAGCGACCAAGAATGAGATGGCGTCTGAAAAATCCCATCAATTGTTATCGTGTTGAGGTATGCAACGAAATCAATCAATCAATCATGCAGTACTCCGTAGTCGACCAAGCATCACGCTACCATATCGGACCACCGCGGGAGACTTGTCCAAGGATTGTGAACACGTCCGCTGATTCGAAAGAGAAAAAAAATGCCAAACATCTTTAGGCCGACTTTGTTTTTGTTGCCCAGGACATTGTGCATACATTCTGACAAGTACCAGCGAAGTTGACGTCCCCAGCCCGATATTCCAACATGTCGAGGACAAGTCGCGGGGCTCCTTATTGGCTGTGATTGGACAGCCTCGCTGCCGGTTCCGAGCCTGATTTGATTTCGCAACTTCATTCGTTAACAATCTCCGGTCGGAGGGATAGATTCGTCAGCGGCCTCCGATTGTCAATCTCCCCCTGTGTCCTTGGGATCTACTGCATGTCTACAGGCGATCAATGCCCCAAGCCATACCGATGATGCTATGACCCTGAACTCAGGCATCAAACCTTATCACCCCGCTCCACAACTACACTTGTTGTTGGTCATAATGCAAACCATGGCCAAAACGAAAGACAGGGTCCTCCGTGTCAAAAGGGACATCCTCCCTACTGTTCTCCACCGCTGACATCGAACGAGGCAGGTCGAAGGGCAATCGGCCCTCTGGTGCAGTGTGTCCAAAGACCACGTCCAAACAGGCATCACTACTACTGCCATAATCGACAAGCAGAGCGCTCGCTTGCTCAGCTATCTGAGTCAAAACTCCTGGCCGGTCCAGATACATGTCGACAATGACGATGGGCACTGCTTCGAAGATCGAGTCTAGTCTGGCGCTCACCTCTTCGGCATATTCGAGACTTCCAGCATGGAAAAACGCCTCGAACCCTCCGCTTCGTGGCTCATACGGACACCGTAACCGGAGGATCGCGATGTCAGCCTCGTCAGGGGCAGTCACCACATCCAGGTTTCTTGCGTGAGCTGTTTCTGCTTTAATGCCCTCAAGGTAGAATTTGGGGCCATTGTTGTTCGACTTCTGCAACGGTAGGACGTTCTCCTTGTTGGTCAGGAGTGTAAATGACCTCCTCTGCGCATCTTCACCCCAGTCGATAAACTGTTGTTTTCCCACAATACTTGCTGCAGCTTCGACGTCTACAAACGGCTGGTCGAAAAGTCCCAGCATGAATTTCTCCGTGAGAAGCTTGCGCACAGATTCGTCGAGACGATCTTCTGAGATCTTTCCTTCAGTCACCAGCTGGACGACCAGCTCAGGGCGCATCTCGCCCCCAAATTGATCGCACCCGGCATCCAAAACCTTTTTGATTCTTTCCAACTCAGTCAAGTCTTCGCAGCCCCAGGCTCGAGCCGGCATGTTTTGTCCCAGAATCGATGCATCCGTGATCAAACCCCAGTCTGTGCAAACGATCCCCTGGAATCCTAATTGATTCTTGAGCAAGCCCGTGATGATCTGCTTGTTGAGGCCAAAACCAACTTCTTCATACTCGGTGTCCTTCGGAAGTCCGTAGTATGGCATCATCTGACGAGTACCTGCTTTCACTGCTCTCCGAAAAGGCTTGAGGTGGTATTCAAACTGATCTCCAGGGTATATCTGCTCCTTGCCATACTCGAAATGCGCATCTTCTCCATTCATTTGCGGTCCTCCACCAGGGAAGTGCTTCGTCATGGTAGACACACTTTTGGACCCAAACTCTCCAGGAGGGCCCTGGAATCCACGCACATACGCCTCCACACAGTCTCCCGTCAGCTCAGCGTCTTCGCCAAAGGTTGCACTTATCCTAGCCCATCTGTACTCGGTGGCAAGGTCAATCTGCGGGTGGAGTGCCACACGAAGCCCCAGTGCCATGTATTCCTGTCGTGCACAATCCGCAAATCTCTCGATGAGCGCCATGTCACGCAATGCCGCCAGGCCGAGGGGCTCCGGCCACTGGCTCAAGCAACCAGCATTGAACGCAGTACCCACGTTCTCCACGAAGTGATTGCGCGGATCGGAGGATAGTGTAATCGGGATACCTAGTCTTGTATGTTCCAAGACGTGTTGCTGTAAGGTGTTGTGCCAAGTAGCTACCACGGTCGGATCGTGGATGGGCCCTATTAGATTGAAATGCGACATCAACTTGTCTTCGACTAGGTCCGTCGTCGATGGCAAACCAAAGTCCTGGTTTTCCTCCGCCAGGCTTCCTTCGGGGCCCATGGAGATCATGTTGTGGAACAGTTGACCAGCCTTCTCTTGGATTGTCATCCGACCCAACAAATCTAGCACTCGCTCCTCTATGGACAGTGAACTGTCCTGGTACAAGAACTTGTCCGCGCTTGGCGCAGTGGCTGCCATCTTGATGGGCCACTCCTCTCGACCCTCGCGTTCCGTTCTCAAGGTTTGGCGATAGATGGCAAGAAACACCCAGACTTGTGAATCACTTTGCCAAGCTTGGTCCTCACGCGAAGATGGTAGATCTCCTGTAGCTGAATATTGTAACTAGGTCATCTTGCTCAACGGTGGTCAAGACTCGTCCATTGAGGAACTCAAAACTTAGACCAGCACCTGGTGGTCATGTGCAGCTTCAGCCGCACGAGAGACGTACTTGGTCAAATCGTTCACTTTGAGTTTGTCCACTCCAGCTCAATTCCATCCCCGCTCTTGAGGGGCAGAGGTGAGCAATCAGGCCGAGGCTAGACCTCTCACAGACGAGAGACGAGATGGTATTTATTTTCCTTCTCTTTGCGAGAGCTTCGGATGATACCGTGAAACTTGTTCACATCTGACAGAGTCAGAATGCAAGATGCTACAGTAACACATCTACACCAGAAGTGTTGAGCCACAAGAGGTCATCGATGTCAAAGTCAAGCGCATCAAAATCAGTGTTTCCAAGATTGAAAGACCAGGCGGCATCTCCCTCTATTCCATTGCCATGCATGTTAGCATTTCGGCTCGAGTTTGGTTCTGTCGTGAAATCATCCTGCATATGAGTGTCCCGTCGGGGCGACTTTGCTGTTTCAGCCTCCATGTCGACACCGCCCTGAAGTTTGGCTGAGAGGATTTCCAAGGCGGCAAAACATCGCTCGGCGGATTCGCCGATGCGAGAATACGATCTCAAGATTTCCATCGCACGATTCCAGGACAGTGCCTGCGCTTGCTTGTCCCTGGACTCGGCGTGGGTTTCGACCGGTCGTAATCGCTCAGCGAGGAGCACGGTCGCAGCTGTATGAACAACTAGGTATCGTAGTGTGAGCAATGTACGGCCGGTCTGCTCGCTGGAATGTGATGATTGGAAGGACTTACATAAAACTCCAAACCACCACGCAGGTACTGGACCCGTGGCTGTGTTCAAATTCATGTTAGAGTACAGTACATCAATCATCTCGTGGGCTGTGTCAAAGCACAGAGTAGCACATCTTGATATAAGATGATGTGACAGGCTCTTCTCCTTCGAAGGCTCATTTCGTGTGGACAGTGTTTGCTTGAGATAAAGGTCGGCGACGATCGGACGAAAAACCACCAAGCGAGCGTGCAGAAACCTATTTCGAATCAGCACTCTGGCATTGGATGGGCCTCGATAATATGAAACACCAAAGCGGTTGACTTACCGCATGCGCATCACGACTCGCTGTCTTCTTAGCACTAAGGGCTCGCCCATTGGATCTGAGGTGTACGTAAGTTGAGCGGGCAACGTTGAGACCCAGCGGACCAATCTGTCGTCAAACCGGAGAACGGAAACAAGGTAATCACTATTTTCCGGACCTTTCTCTCCTGAGTTGGCGTAAAGTTCCGCAAGAACGTCGTTGACAATGTCATAGAGTTCTAGGCATTTGAGAAAGAATGCCACCGTGGCGGGTTTCCCATCTGGTCTTGTTGCCGATGGCTCAACCTGAGAACCAAGGAACTCATCATCGATCATCAACGGCATCGGGACTGAGACTGATAACCATTTCGTAATCATACTAGGGCGTCCAAATGTCATTGATAGCAATCTGATCGAAGAATTCTGCATTAGCTGCAACCGATTGCTTTTTGCAATGACAAATCAACAGAATCAGGGCACGCTCACCGATCTAAGAAGACGCATCCATGCCACACCCTCCTTGCAATCTCCACTTCACGGACGCTTCGAGGTTCTCGGACACTTGAAGGGACATGAAGGCCAAGACTCTGTGCCATCCGGATCGCTGCTCCAACAGTCATCCAACACTGGTAAGATTCACGAGTACTTTGATTGAATAGTCCCATCAGTAAAAGGCACTGGACACCCTCCAGGGATGGAGTGCTGTAAGAATGTGGGCCAAAGAACTTGAGGGCTCGTTTCCAAAAGACCTGACCTGACTGTCTTCGCTGACTTGGTTCCACGGCCTCGGAAAATTGAGTTCCCAGAGCAAATATGACATTCATCATACAGTACATCATCCTCTCAGGCATCAACGATTGAGACGAAGACGAACCCGACCATATCGCTTGATACGCTTCGTCAAAGGCAGTGCGATCATGGATCGGAAGTACTGACCAAAGCAGGTCGTAGTATGCATTTAGCAGGTCGTCTGCAACGGCTCTCTGGGGTAAGATAAAGTGAAGACGGTCGACGAAATCCCCTTGCTGGAAGGCTGCACGCCCATCGTGCGATGGACTCACTTCTTCGAGTGTGGCTCTCGGCGCTCGTCCTGGAGATCCAAGTCTAGCGTCTATAGCCGCGTTGATCTGCCTCAGAAACGAGCCTGCGCTGCTATTACCGAAGAACTCGAGGCTTTTGGAGGGGTCACCAACAACTCCGTTCATTGCGTCTGCGTCTCGTGGAGGGCTCACACCAGGTTCCATGACCGCTGGGGAAGCAGGCCCGGGTTCAGACCTTGGATCAATCTCTGTGTTAGTTGCATTCCACACGGGTTGGCTCTCCGCTTCGGCGCGTTGTACTGGCGGCGCAGGATAGCCTGTACCCAGTGCACTCTGAGTGGGGGAAATTGGATTTGGTCGAGTTGTAGAAGCTGGCACTTGGGGAAGAATTGGCCTTGATGCGACAGGTGAGCAGGTTGACGAGGCAGAGCCATCTTGCTTCGGTATCGTTGTGGTATGTCGTCGATCCTTGTGTCCCCTATAAGAGCAGGTCACATGTCCTTTGATGCACCTACGACATGCTGGAGACAGATCAAAGATCAGTAGCTTTCTTGGTTTGGGTAATTTAGTACCAACTCACACGGCTGGCCAGCGTCGCATTTCACCTTGCGGACCCGACAGTTGTCACAGGCTGCAGTCACCTTTTGTCTGGGTATCATCGTAATGTGTTAGGGAGTTACAGGGAGCGGAGTCATCAGACTCTGATAAGGAAAAAGACTTGCGTCAGGCAATACATTGCAACAGCGAAGACTCCGCCGTCCTTTCCTGGAGTCCAATGGCCCGGTTACTTGGTATCTGGTTATCGCGAAACAATTTAATGGAATCTTCATTGTGTTACCATCTATGTAAACCTTACCCTGCCAAGGTGGAAACATTGCGATAGCGTTCCGCTCTGGTGTCATGACCAAAGATGATGAAAGCCAAGCCTGTGAGTGGCCGATTCAAACGCTGCAATCAAGATGAATGCTAGTATACCCAGCGGTGGACCTTGGCCTCTCCAAAGTCCGTTTCCGTTTTCAAACCTCAGAATCTCACTGTTTGACATGTGTAACCCTAACGCTATCCATCTACTAGGTTCTCTTTCTTCTCCCCGTCTGTGACGCTCAATAGGGATCCCACTCTAGCCTTCGTTCCAACAGGTACGATTCAACTGGTAAACCCCTCCAAGTTTTCTGGCCATCAAAAATGCTGTAGAACTCTGGTTCAAAACTAACTGTGGACCAACCACGGATCAGCTTTCGCCAATAACAAACTTCCGCAGCAGGAGTTAAATATTGCTCGCGGAAAAGCAACATGCTGTTTGAGGCTATCCTTTCAGCAGCCTCGTCGTTGTCTCTGAGCCAAGAGATCTTCTCCTCCAAGTCTGAGTAGTCGCGTTGTACTTCAACGAAGTTCTGTTGTGTTCCACTTGATGTCAATAGAGGATGGTAGTGTTGAATCCAGTCCATCTTGTGTGAAATGACCACCGACTTGCAACTTTGAAGGTACTTGAGCCGTCCGGAGTACGAGTTTCCTTCAGTGTGTGCCAAGTATTTATACTGACAGTGGTCTTGCATGGGTTTGAGGTCATTTTCCATCGATCCTTTTTCTCTCCAGTAAATAGCCTTGACATCTGCCCAAGGCTTACCGGCTGTAACCCGGAGAAGCCTCTCTCTTATTTCTAGACCCATAATCGCACCTCGCCAGAAAAGGGTTGGCACCTTAAAAGGCCATGACCAAGATTCTTCATTTGACTCTGCTTTCATTTGAACCTCCCACAGGGTACCGACCTTTGTCTCAGGCCATGACCAGTGTCCGAAATCAGGCATTAGCCAGAGATCTACGTCTTCCTCACGGCGCGCATAACTCCAAAGAGTCATTGATGGAACGTGATCATCTGTGTTTAAGGCGAATTCAATGTTTGGGAGAGCTTCTGGTGAAGAAAGAATAGCTCGGTGTAGAGCATGGAGCGTTGCTAGTCCTCGAGAATAGATGGCGCCCTCTGTTGCAATCACGTAAAGCTACATATGGGGAAATATTAGTTCAAAACAACGATGCCATCAAGGCTTCGTCTGAAGGTTCATTCACACCTGTTGATTGAAGATCATTGCACGAACATATCCATTCCACTTCGGAATCTGGTCAAGCTCCGAAGCAGTGATGTGTGAGGCGTTCCTGTGCTTCACGGAGCGCTCCACCTCCTCAAACAAGCCTGGAAAAGCCTGTTCGCACTGCTGCGAATTAAGCTGAAGATTTTCGGCATCTCTCTCGTAGTCCCATCTGCCGTTGAACAGCTCCTTATACGAGGGCATATTAATGTGAGATTGGGATCGAGCAAAACGTGTGTGTTGGTTCATGGCCCACCAAGCGATCAGGCTGAATGAAATACATCCAAAAACTGTAATTGTGACAGCTCGTTTTTTGAGTATGGCTGCAGACAAGCCTTGCGAGATTGAAGGTCTAATCATTTTGGAATCAACGGGCATAGAAAGCTTGATAGAAACTTGATAGGAAGCTTGGAAGAACGGGCAGAAGGACAAACTTAGAAGATTGCCTCTGGTTCATCAGGTACGATGCCCAATTTGTCTGTAGCCGCCTCCCAGGGTCGCTTTAGTGTCTGCCGTTGCATTGTCACACTAACTGGGCAACCCTTGTCAAACAATTCAAACTCTTTAGGAAACGCACCCACGTGATTCACGAGTTGATGCGCCTCCATAGGAAAATGGTGTGTTGGCACGGTTATCCATTGCCTAATTATGGCTTGCAATTGCCTAAACACCTACGATCTTAAGTATTACATAGCAGAGGCAGCAGTATCGACTGGGGACATCAAGGTTGATGTACCAGCATTCCGTCTGAGACGGTTCATATGACGGGGAAACCTGCATAGCTTCCTTTGTATTTTCCAGATTGAAATTTCGTTACATTGTCCATGATCGCATCAGATGGCATCCTATTCAATTCAAGCCAGAACCACAGTCATGAACAGACGAAAACAAAAGAGCATCATGTTTGATTGAACCGGTCATGAGGATTAAGCGGGACTGTATGGCCTCTCATTTGGATATTGCTTTTGTAGCCTGGTCGTTGTCACGAATACCTAATTATAATCAGATCTTTGAGTTTGTAGCTCCATGTTACCATAAAAATCAAGCAGAGCATTCCAAAGTCCCACATCTACAACACACATCTTAACTCAAAAGCTATTCACTAGTTACGTGACATAAAATATCCCAGACACAGAATCATAAATCTATCACCTCCTCGCTGAGGGAAGCTTCCCGCGTAAGATCGAAATCATTCACCTGTTGCACTCTGATTGTGCGCAGTCTCGCTCAATCATTCCTCACACACCCAGTCAATTCGCCGAAGAACAATTCAAGGACCGTAGAGAATACACCAACAAGTCAATACCACCAGAGGGGTGAGCTTCAAGGACTGGGACACCTGTGCTTTAACCATTGGTGTTGCCTCGATCAGACCTGCGACACATAGGTACTCTGCCAGCTTGGCAGATACTCGCTTGGCCATCCACGAGACGTAGCGTCTCGTTGGTCGTGATGCACCTTTTCATTTGGCTGACGGTTGGGACAAGTACTGTCTCTGCATGGGCTGTTCTCGCTTCCACGGTCGCACTTTCAGTTTTTATGGCGGGCCTCTTGGCCACGGGTGTAGCCAGGCCGGACAGGCAGTCGGTTCATGCACTGGGCGTTCTCTGCGTCGCTGTTGTTTGTGAGTATTCTGCTTCCATGATACTTTCTCTGCATGCGGTGAACCCGGAAGTCGATATATGAGATGATGAACATGTAAACACCGACGATACTGTAGGAGGACATCTAGGTTAGCATTTTGGCCTTCCTTCTTTGCATTGTCTGGCTCAGTGTGGGGAAAAGAACCTCCTTTTTCGAGGCGGACGGGTCGGAACGGTAGGAACGAAGAATTATATAGAAGCAAAGGCAAGGTGGGCTGGGGAAAGCATACGTGATAACGATTGAAACAGCCACTGCTATCCACCTGAGTGTACACGAAATGCCCACACAAGATTTGATGTTAGCTTGGAGGACCAGGAAAATGACCGCGGCCCAGAAGACGATCTCAACACCATTGAGGATGGCATAGGCTTTGTAGGATTTCCACCTGCTGAACCGTGCTAAGTGTTCGCTTAAGATCTGGTATGATATAATAATCATGGATTTGGCGCCCTATTGCCATGTATTGGTCAGTTATCACATTCCCCAAGTAAGCCTGGCATTTTCTAAGGCTGGAACAATAACTCACCATACCTAGGGCGATTGTGTTGGCCCGGGTTCGCGGCTGGCCTTTCATGAATAACTGCGGCACCGACACTCCCATGACAACAGAGATCAAAATGACTTGGAGGATGTGCACTTTAAACTTGTATCTGGGATCGAATATAGGCATGGTTTCGGCGAGGTATTCTCGATTCTCGATTCTCGGGTTGACTTGTGTCTGGAGGCTATTCTATGCAATGCAGGAAAGCGATAGCGCTCGCTAGGGCGGAACACTGTAAACAAATATGTTCCTGGCGGTGTCCGTGTCGCTTCAGGGTTGGTAGCAGGGGATTCCGAATGGGATAGGTCTTTGGCTGGTCTCTGACTGGGATGAGTGAAGAGGAGAGCTGGCTCATCGGTATACGAGGAGCATCAACATCATCAGGGGATTATATCCTATTTCAATTATCAGCATGAGCAGCTACAAGACGACATATTTACACTTTTCTCCTCTTGCTTCTAACAACCCATACGTGTGCTCAGGTATCGCATGTATGGGGCGTTCAGCCGTATTTTGATACAAATGGCGACCCACCCAACGCTATACTGTGGGTCGATAAAGTGAATACATTGTCTCATAATTATCAGGCTGCCTGATCTAAGGTAACTAGGCTCCAAAGCTCCTGACGAGGATGAAGCATGTCAGATTCAAAGGCGTCACAAGAAGTATAGGGGGACCCAGACACTACAGGGTGGGAGTGGAAAACCGTGCCAAGAAAAAGCTTCGTTTAGGCTTCTTTTCTTCCGTCCGCTGGGCAGACACCCACACGGATACGAACACGCACACGCATACGCGAGAGGCAAGCTTCGGGTGCGTCCGTGTCCTTTGGCGTGAACATCGGAACCTCCCATATCGATGCTATTTGTGTTGTGATACTCTATGTAATCATGTCACGAGAGCCCAGAAGTCTTGTCTTGGTGCCGATTCGACGCTGCCACGCTCAATTCACTGAAAAGCACCGTTTCGGCTTCTTTCTACAGGACCTCCTTGAGATGTCCGGAAATATCTAAGTAGCTGATGATGGAGTATTTGAACTTGTGCCAGACATGATGGCGCTGCGAGGCCATGTCAGCCATGTCTCCCATCTCCTACCGAGATGCGCAGCGACTGACTCGAAGAGACGCTTGCCTGCATCTCCCACTACCCACGATCTCCGGCGTCGGTGAAGCAGTACCGCGTAGTATGCGAGTAAAACCAGAGCCTCAGGGCGTCTTTGGTCCACCAGTTCGGTGTACTGCGAAGACGCGGTGACGAACCAAGCGAAGATGACGCTTGTCGTGCCGAAGGAACCTCCAGGATAAACGTTCTCTAAATTGAAGAACTCCTGAAGTTTATCTAAAGCTTCCATGCAGGCTTCTCTGGATGTCAAGCTCAGGTCCGCGCCCTCGATCAGATCCCTTAGTGCGGAACATTCGCTTTTGGAGGCTTTGTTGTTGTGACGCATCTCATCCGCCTCCCTCATGATTCCACCTAGCTCGGATTGAAACAGAACGTCAGCCCATGTTTCTCTCACCAGATTTACCCCCCGGAGCAGACGGACACAGCCAACCAGACCATCCATAAAGGTGTTGAAGTCATCCTTGAGAACGGTGAAGAGATCGTGGAATGTGTGGAGTGCGACTAAGTGTGAGAACAACAGCACCGGCACGCAGGTGTTTGCATCCACCTGTGACAGGATGTCGTTGAAATCAGCCAGCCCATTCGACTGTAGAGATGTCGCGAGCGAGCGATAGTACTCTTGTTGCTGAGGACGCAGGATGCCTATATGAAGGGCGGAAAAGGCCAGGGTCTGCTGCATAAGAAAAGGATGGGCGATGCCTCGAGTGACCACGAGGTCGCGGTATAACTCAACTTGTTCCTGCGTCCGGACGAGGGTCCTGCACGTGTTTGTGTAGAAGTGGTACAAGAGTTCTAGATGGTCAATATTGACGACGGAGTCAGCCCTTCTTTGGCTGAGGACTGGATGTGCGGAACCAACAGTCGCATGAGAACCTGTGTGACACCCCGAGTGAGTAGTATCACTGGCTATGGGCGTTAAAGGTGCACTACCACCAGGCGGCTGGAGAGCAGTGGGTGTGCGTTGGTCCCCAGTTGACTCAATGGGGGTCGCCGTTGAGGGTTTGATATTGGTCTCCCACCGGCATACTCGTTTTGAGGCGGTGCATTTCACACAGATGGGGCGTGTTTCATCACACTGATCGGCACAAGCTCATTGTCAGAGAACGTCTCCCCGGTAATAAGCATGCCCCAGAGATGAGCGTTACAGGGTGCTTCTCAAGAACTCGTACCTTGATATGCCGACGCTTGCACTCTGTGCATCCTTGCTTGGATTTGTGGTGGGTTCTCCGAGGTGCCATCCTGATCTGCACTTTCAGGTCCACAGTAAGTACGTGGAAGTGTCGACTTGCCAACGGCTGTCGGCGTCTTGTTTCCTGAAAGCAGAAGCCACAGGGCCGCAGGGGCAAACGCACACGCGGTGTAGCCTTTTTTGCGTCTACGTACTGACACACACGAAAATGTGTGTTTTCAGAGGGTTAGGCACCAGGGTTTCAATGAAAAGCACGTACGCGTGTCAAATCTCGATCGAAAGCCTATACGTGATGTCGGGAACGGGATACGGACACGAATACGGATACGGGCTGGCGCTCATGTCTCTCACCAATCAAAGTTCACCTTCGATCTACGAAGATTCAAGCAAATAATATCCCTCACTGGCACAAACACCTTCAAATTTTAGCTTCTACGAGGCACTAGTTAATTAGGAAGCAACGTCTCCAGAACAATACAGGCGCATAACATGCAGGACAGCTCTCGCCTTCCACAACCTCAAGAAATACACAGGGATAGATGACGCAGTTATTTATCTCTAGTTCCTCTGTCTTCCGTACACGGACAGTTCCAAGAGGTCCCTCAGCCACCCTCATAGATGAGACTTGGATTTTCGTTCAAGGGTCAGCAGTTTGCCTACGCTGACCAAATGAGGCCCCAAGTCCTTCATAGATGTGACCTCAAGGAGCCGCATAGAGTTTTGTATCTCCCCATTCAATACTAACAAGGACGCACAAATTCGAACGCCTACGTTGAGCCTAGAATGATATACCGGAAATCAATATCTACGGTTACCACAACAAAGGATCAAATCCTCCACTAGCTTCTTGCGTCCTATCACCTCCAGCCTCAGCAATCATGCCGCCGTTGACCGATTCCGAATGCTGCTCCTAGGCTTTGGTGCTCTTTTTGACAATCAATGGACCCCATTTTTGGTCTGCCTGGCGAGCCCACATGTCAAAAGTGGCTTTCACGACCTTGTCTTTTTGCAAGAAGTCTCGCGCTTCCTTTGCCAAATCTCCATCGACTGGCTTTGGGAGTCCATACACAGATGCACGGATCTGAATACGAGCTGCTCGCTCCAAGTAGACTGACAGAAATGCAGCCTCCTGGATTGTACGTCCTGCAGTTAATTGGCCATGATTGATCAGGATGATGCTTTTCTTATCGCCCAGAGCCTGACTGATGATTACACCTTCTTGGTCGGCAATGGGGAGACCAGGCCATTTCGACAGAAAAGCGCAGTCGTCGTAGAGAGGCGTTTGATCCATTTGCGAGACTATCAGAGGCTGTCCAGCGGCCGCCAGCGCTGCCACATATGGGGAGTGGGTATGTACGATGCTTTGAACGTCTGGTCTTGCGTTGTAAACCCATAGATGAAACCGAGTCGCGGGGTTTGCCATTCCCGTGCCCGACACGACATGGAGATCCTTGTCGACCTCGACGAAATCATCAGGCGTCGCCTCGTGGAACCCTAGACCAAACCGAAGGGTCCAGAATGTATCTGGTCGAGTCTGTGACCGCGCCGATATTTGTCCCGCTAGCCCAGCGTCTTCTTCGTGAAGGGCAACAACCCGGCAAGACGTGGCCAAGGTTTCGAGAAAGCCTCGCTCTACCACTGCTAGCTTGTTTGCCATGTTGGCATCTGCTCGGCGAGCAAAATATTCCTCTGTCCGTAGGTTGTCCGTGGCAGAAGGCATGATGGAGAGCTGTAGTTGGAAGCGCAGAACGACGACTAGATTTTGACTTCATCCTTCCCGGTTCCAGGGCGAGGCGCACCCGCTGTTATTATATCGCCATTTCAGGGCCCAGAACCTGGCCGAGTGCAAGGGGCCATCCACTCTCCATCACAAACCTCAAGTCCCGAGATAATACTAGAAAGTTACTACTCTAGCCTATCATATAATGCAAAATTCTTGATTCAATGATGCTGCCAATCAAAAAGATATCCGAGCTGCGGAGACTAGTCGATCGTTGCACGGAGTACCCACCCATCGGTTCTCCGAGAGGATGCGGCCTGTACAATTTCGATGTGAAATGAGGGGATCTTTACCTTTTCGCAAGGCAGAAAACCTATTTAGGTCATATGATAGGACAGTTGGAAAGAGAACGTTGCGCTTGAGAGGGTTCAAGAAACACGTCCCACACGGCCCGCTATTGAGTACTTCAGGACCACTGCTTAGTCAAATGCTAAAACCTGCGACCCAAGGCACCGAAAACAAGACAATGAACAAGCATCAGCATTTAGACCTATGAAAAGACCATACAGTGAACATGTTTTCAGAACACCAACTGCCCTATGCCATCTCGACCGTAATGTAGCAACGGATGCCGGAAGTCCGAGGTGCAAGAGGAACGACGTTCAAGCCGTGCCAAGTGGTCGGATTTTGACACCATTGGCTGGGCCTACATACATTTGTACACTTCATATAATCAAAACAGTCAATTAGAATCATATCCGTTGCGTTTGCCAGTGTAGCATTACATCATTTTGACTCAGACGATGGGGAGAATGCCAGTGCTGACGATGAGAGCCTTCGCAGCTCCATTGTGGAGATTAATGAACACACAAGGCGGTCTTCGCGATCTGTAGGCTGTTGTCCTAAATACCTTGTCGACTGAGTACGCGAAAGCAAATCGTTTGCAGTCAATTATGGTAAGTGACGTTCTTCTTAACGTTGTTCACATGCTCTTAGAATGCCCAGTTCACGCGCGGATGGTACGCAGAAAATGAATATTCACCGCCTTCGTCAGATACGGAGCAACTTTCAAGCATAAAAAGCAAGATGACACAGGTGGATATTCCAAAGAACACCGGTACAGGCAGGCGAAAAAAGATTCTATGGTTCTGATGGAGGAAGTTGTGACTGACAGGAACTCAGAATCGGCGACCAAACAGCCAAACAAGACGCACACTTTATCACACTGTCCGACTTCCCCGGCACGGCCAGGGCGAGGAGAGCCGCGGCAAAAGTGACGATATCTTAACGATGGAATGACTGAACCGATGTTGATGCAATTTCCTGCGCAGCTGGGGTCAAAAAAATGAGTTAATGTAGTTGGACACAGACGGCTTGACTACATGTCCCATTTTTCGCTGTTGGAGAGCAAACATTGTTTAATGTCATACCTAGCAGTATATAACGCAGTTGGGGTCACAATGCTCGGTTTTGTGAGTTTCTTGCTATTCAAACGTCATTTTGCTAACCTGTCCAGAATGCCTTTGCCAATCCCTTTGGAATGAACTTTGTTTCGAACGAGGTATCGACGACTTTCTTCAATGCTGACTGGCTCGCGCGCAAAATTGGGCGGACTTGCTCGTCACGACACTTGATCAATGGGCTGTGCCTTTTCTCTTCCTTATTTTCGTTCCGGATCTTGTGGGGTCTATATCAAACTACCAGACTCTACGTCGAACTCAGGGATGCCTTGAAGTTCATCCACTTACCCTTCGGTGCTCTCCCAACTAGCCTTGATTTTGAGCCTTGTCCCACCTTTGAAGCTGGTCTGGCATTGTTATTTCTCGTGGAGAATATGATTTTGAGTGTGCTCAACGTGTTCCGGTCAAGCCTGATACTGAGAAATGTGCTTGATCGTTTCCAGGCGGACAAAGTCGTCGAAAATAAATGAAAAGCAGCCTCAATCGCCAACCTCGACTGAGCAGATACTTGGAGCTTGCCAACATGCAAAGGGCTCAAACCCTGCTTATCATGATGCCACAGGGATACGCGAGTGGAAGTGCTCAGGTAGCTTCGATCTGGCGGTTGGCAATCCATCAGAACCCGCAGAGTAAGGGCGGCACAGCGGGTCATGGAGCTCAAGGTTCCGGGAAGTGGGCAAAGTTTAAGGCCATTAGGTTTTAGTTCTATACACACGGAACTCAACGTTTATGCTGTGGTGTGTCTGCCAGTTCGCACGAGTGCTTGGTATACTCCCGGTTTTCGGCTGGAACAGACTCAGCAGTAGTAGACCCGCTAGACTTAAAGGCATGCCATATGCTGGAAGGCACGAAGAGTCGTGTTACAGGCTTTCTGGCGGCGTTGACGAAGTCAATGTCAAACATGACTGCAAGGAGCTGCAGCACGAGGGTTCCGTAAACTATGGGAGTCCAAGGGGTCAAACTGCAGTCGATTAGGAATGTGACAATGTACCACTCACATTACACGTAATGCTTGCTTCACTTGCCAAAGACATAACCAACCGACTCCGTATGATCGTACCTTCGAGAGACCATCGAGACTATTAAGACTATCGCTCCTAACGAGTGCACCTGGTAGGCACTCTATCAGAGAAGCAGAATGGATAAGGCCCCACTCAGTTATAGATATCAATCCAAGACATCTACACCAGTTGAAGTCTGGCAGGACGAGCAGGTACGGTCTTCAACCGTGATTTCTATCAAACGAACATAACCTGATAGCGACATAGAAATCGTTATCAGACTCTCCTCAGGAAGAGCCCCGCGACAAACTACATCGCTGGGAAGATATTCGTGAGACAATCCAAGATTTGATCTTTCTTGTTACTCAGACCTTGACTAACCTATATATGACAGCGGCATGGCAACGGCAAGCATCCTCGAATATGTTGCTTGGATTTCAGGCACATCTACTGACTTTGACATCTTCCTGTATCTAGAGACAACGAGCATATCATCTCTGGATATCGGTAAGATTCTGCCTGTGTCAACTGGACGCCTTGTCACTAACATTGTCTGATCTAACCAGTCCGCCTTCCTACTCATGGCGGATATCACTGCTGAGCATCTTTTCTCTTCATAATGAAAGCAGTCAGTTCTCCATCCTCACTCAAGCCAAAACCAAAAAGAGATCTTTGACATCCGCAACAGTCAACATCCACTCCCACCTCCTAGGCTCCCTTCTCTTCGCCTTTCTTCCTCTCTATACCTTCCACAAACTCGATCCCTGGCATACCGCCCACGCCGATATAATCGACATGATAGTTTTCGCCGTCTTCTTCTACGGCGTAGCAGCTTGTTTCCTCCTCTCTTCATCGTACGTCGCGTCAAACAATTCTCAACAACACAACACCCCAAATCAATCTCCCTTTCCTATTCCTCACTGACCATACGGTACTAACTTACCTTAGATTCCACGTTGTGTCCAGCCATAGTCCCAAAATCGCCGCCATTGGCAACCAACTCGATTACTTGGGCGTGGTTATCCTCATGTGGGGAGCAACCATCCCAACTATTTACTATGGATTCTATAAAGATACACGACTTCAGATTGTGTATTGTTCCTTAGTAAGATTCTTCCTCCTCCTCCTCCTCCATCACAACCTTATACTCCTAGTGAATCACCGAGTGACGACGAGATTGATTGACTTTGAAATACATATATAGGTTTCACTCCTCGGTGGACTTTGTTCAATTGCCACCTGCCATCCGATTTTCCGGACTCCGTCTTTTCGTCCATATCGAGCTGCTATGTATGCGATGCTTGGTCTTTCGTCTTTGGTCTCGGTCGGTCATGGTATCATGTTACATGGCTGGCACGAGCAGAAACAACGAATGAGTCTTGATTGGATGGCGTTGATGGGTCTGCTTAATTTGACGGGGGCGGTTATCTATGCTGCGAGGGTAAGTGGGTTTCGTTTGAAGATTTGGATTTGACTTGGATTTGTATGGTTTGGTCTGTATTGTTGGGGACCATATGCTGACTGACGTACGTGAGTGATTTTAGATTCCTGAGCGGCTTGCTCCTGGAAGATTCGATATTGTTGGGTCAAGTCACCAGATCCTGCATTTCATGGTCATCTTCGCTGGTTTGGCGCACACGGTTGGCTTGTTTCGGGCGTTTGACTATACTCATAGAAAGATTGACGCGTAGCGAAGCGTCGGTAGAGATGGATGCAAGAGCAAGAAAATCGGCTTCGGTGACAAATTTGTCATGATTCGTCATCTATCTAAAGCTATAAACTATATGCCATCCCGCTGCGTGAGTCCCAATCCATGTTGCATTGCGTTTTCGCTAAAAAGAATACTCCCGTTGCCGGTTCCGATCGTAATTTGGAGGTTGAGGTTGAGGTTGAGGGTCAAATTCCTCATACGAGCCAATCTGTTGCCTAATATCGCCGTAATTCAAAGGTCCACCGGGTTTAGGCTCCATCTGAGTCGTAGTCATGTTGGGATAATAGTCCCGTGTGGTTGCCGGGTGATTGGGCACAGGAGGCACGTAATCCAAGCTGCCATTATCATAGAGACTGTCCCGGCCGCCTCCATAGACGCTAGTTCGGTAATCATCGTTTGGATCTAGCAGTGGATCCTTGACGTCCCAATGACCTTGCTTGGTGCCGACGCTGAATTCGAGATCTTCCTTGGTGATGCTGTCCCAATACTGAAGGGAAAAACAGGTTAGCACGACGCCATACAAAGCACGATCCACAGTCAGTCACATACCTTGTACACCATCATGACGGCCAGTAAATTAAGAACGGTGGCAAAAAACAATCCATCCAGATAGTGGCTGACCTGTTCGCAAATCTTCCGAGCAAAGACATAGAGAATGACCTGGCCAACAATGAAAAACAGAGCACCGAATCCTAAATCTCCCAATGGCCACCTATCCTGCAGAGTATTGACCACAAGAACCACCTGCATGACAAAGTACACGGCCAAAAAGATGGCGTTGATGACATAAAGTACAATAAAGAGCCCGATGGTGTTTGTGGGCGACAAGCCAGCCCAGCTCCTGAATGTGAGCAGGCTGACGGCGAAAGTGATGATGAACATGACCAAGCTAGTCAACCGCAGTAACCAGACTGAGAGCGTGGTTCCGTCCTCGTAGAGTTGAAACCCGACAAATCCGTTGATCACAAGACTCGTACACAGAGCGCTAGCCAATCCATTCTGAGCGGCCACAAACCAGGGAAAGGCGCCTGAACTGGTGGCTGGAATTACGCCTGCGTCCAAGACCAAGCTGATGATGGTCAACAAGCTGTATATGTAGAAAAACGTAAGGATTTCTCTCCGGCCCACGGCGGTAAATTTGGACCGGACGTGGAAGATCATGATGGCTGTCATGGCGAGGGCAGCGATGTGGGCAAAGTCCGTGGCAGCTTGGAAGATGATTGTGTTTCCAAGTTCAATAGATCGTGCGCTACATGCTGGCAGAAGAACCGGGCTATTATCAGATGTGAAATCGGACGGCGAGCCTAGCAGGTAGCACTGAGGCAAGGCTGCCTGTTCGCAGATGGAGGCGAAATCGCCGAACCCCATATTGGTGGTCCTGTAGTCTTGCGTCTGAGTCTAGCCAAGTTTATATGTTCGAGGAGGGGAGAAGCGAACGGCGAGGCGGAGAGAGTGGGAGTGAGCGGACAGTAAGGGTTTTGAGCGTTTCGATAGGGGGTTTGGAAGGGTGAATGGTATAGGCGGTAGTCAAAGGAGGAAGACACAGATCGAGAGCGGTAGATGTCAACGAGAGGCGGTGGGTTGAAAAGAGTGTACTGAGGTCAGGGCAGAACAAGTTAGAAGGAGAACGAGGGTTTGTTACAGATTGAGAGATGAGGATCAAGTCCGATGGTGTTGGACGAGGCGTAGTCCTACGCCTTTGGCGTTGGTTGGCGTTGGCGGGCAACGAGGGAAAAACCAGGATGGCGCAGTCACGGGGGGCCATTAGTACTAAATAGGTTAGCGTCATGTCTCATTTCTGACGGCGGCGATCTTCCCCTTTAAATAGAAACACGTGCTTTCACACTCAACATCGCCATCCTACGAACATATTCATGTGGAGGAGAGATGACTGCAGTGTTGTATACAGAGCTAAACGAAAGTAGCATCAATCGGTGGTTTCAATCTCTATTGATTGTGACATCCTATGAACACCTGGGTATTGCCATTCCTGTGCCTCTGTGCTGCTAACCCGTGTTCCTCCATAGCCTCCAATGCCATTCCTTTCCCAATGCTTCATGCGTACGGCTGGATTCGAAAGCTCCTATTCTGACAATATCAATGACCTTCACAACGGCATTTGTAACCTACTCCCAAAGGCTCTTAACCCGAAACCTCACCATTCCGACCATATGTTGTGCTCGATTTTGAGCGATGGCAAGATGTTCCTTAGCAGCCTTGTCAAGCTCCAGGGCTATGAGCGATTCCATCGTCTCCCGTGCTGTTCCCAAGGCGTTCCGCAGTTGAATACTGGCAGGTACCAAATGGCGTTGTAGTCGTGCTCGGATCATGACTACGTTCGCCTGCACCTTTGACATGTACGGCTCCTGGTGGACATCGTCAACCACTGTTGGCGCCTGATGTGATGGCAAATCAGTCGAAACTGACGAAACTGACATGGATGTGGTTGTGGTTGTGGTTGCAATTGTGCTCAGAACAGATGGTGATTCCATGCTGACCACTTGTGCAGAATGTGCAGAATTAGGAGGAACGAGTGCAGTGGATGCAACGCCAGTACGGATTGCCACAATCGGCATGTTGGTTGTGCTTTGCACTGAAGCCGGCCAAGTTGGGCGCAGAAAGATGCCAGCAGCCAGGTTGAGGATGACACCAAATGAGACAACAGCGACCAGGAGGTGAAGCGGGGATGGAATGGCCATACTTCTCCACAAGTCCACCATTGTTGAACGTCCTAACTTTGGAGTGAACGCAAATGGTTTTGCTGGTGGAGGTCTCGGTGTATTCAATGCCCATGTGATGTGCTTATTGACGTCTGCCGAGTCCAGGCTCAAGAATGTGCTAATATCAACTGGGACACTTGCAATAACACGTGAATTTGGAGATGTCGGTTCTGTGGCTTCGATGTCCTCTCGAAGCACACCATCTTGCAGATACTCCTGACAACTTCCAGCCAAGTTCTGGTTCAGTCTGATGGCAATGCAGGGTAGATTGTGACGACGGATGAATTCAACAAAGTGCTTGCTTGGTGTGTCCAATTTTCCCATCACATCCAGCTCAAGACAGAGGATGGCAAGGTCTGGGGGAGTCCATCGCTGTCGAGAGATTGTAAAGTCCTGGCCATTCCACCGCGAGGAGATTCGAGTGTTTGTCTCACTATTCTGCAAGTGTAATTCCACCTGTGGGCTATTGCACATGTCCACAGCCTCCATCGCCTGATCGTAGTATTCAAACTCAATTTGCTTGTCGATGGCAACGAGATCGGCAAAGTCCGGCTCGGAACCAGGGCCAAAAGTATTGGGGACGAGATGAAAGCGGGTGGCAGATGCAGATGCACTAGAGCACACCGAACTGCTGGCACTCGAGACCAACGCATCACCCAGTTTTGCTTGGATCTCAGGCCGAAACTCGTGCACATTATTGCCCAGCAGAATCACCTTGAAACAATCGTAGCTGGCTAGATCTAAGCCATGCGAAGAAAGTGACAATCTGATGGCTGACTTGATCAGGGTTGTTTCATCAAGTTGATGTTGCGTTCGGACCACACTTTGCTCTGTATGAGTCAGATCCCTGGCAGTTTGACCCTCCTGTGTAGCACGTGGGCGAGAAAGATCGAGCGAGAGATCGGCGTCCATATGGGATTCTGGATGGTAAGGAGACATGGGGCTGAACCTAACTGAACGTGAAGCGAAGATGGGGGAGGCGGGCAGATTGGGAAAATCCAATATTGACGACTCTTGTTCTTGAGGGCGATCCTCGTCTTCCAATGAATCAGCCTCTGAACCGTCATCTTGGATGTCTGTACCCGTCACACTCTGAACATCGTCTGCGCTGCGAACATCGAGAAGGGAGCCGAGGTCGGTGTGTTCGGAGTCGACATCGTCTTCGAAAGAGGAATCTGCATCAGGGAGGGAGGTCCAACTATCGCTGAGAGAGGTAGCCTGCATTATAGAAGGTTGCGCCCTTTCGAGCGGGTTCACGGTCCGATCGAGGTCGTTGGATCGAGCAAGAATTGAATCGTAAGAGAAGGCTAGAACTATCTGAGGGTATACAAGGTCAATTTGGTGGGTACGGCTGGTGTCAGTCATGTTTGGTAGAGGCAAGGGAGGGAGGGGCAGTGGCCAAAGTGGTGAAGAACGACGATATTCAGATTCGGTGGGAATGTGAGCACGACTTACTGAGCCAGACCAAGGTGTAGAAGAGGGTTGCTAGAGGTGACAGAAGATGAAGTTGCCTGCGTGCTTCCTCACAGGATGAGGCCCAACCAGGTGGGGTAGTGATGAAGACTATGTAGGTCAGTAGTGAAGAAGGGTTGAGAGTGGTTGATGAGGGTCTTGTAGAACAAGAGTCATCAATTGAGAGTTGATCTGAGTTGTTGTAGGAGGATAGACGAAGATCAGGCAGCCGAACGTTTGCCTTCTTCAGTCCAAGTGTAGAGGTCGAAAGTAGGTAGGTAGGGAGAGGCTTGATGAATGACTCGAGGCAATCATCTGGAGATGCAGCCTGCAAGTTGATGTGGTTGTCACTAAGAACGACTCTGTCACTGATGGACGCCCGATAAGAAGTCGCAGGCACCCCTCGGCCCCGCATCCATGTGAGATAGGGTGGATAGGCCGCACTCCACCAAGCCTATTATCCGGACTATGGGAGCCTACTGTGCCTATTTGTGCCTAGTATTCATGCCAAAGTCTAGGCCGGCAATTACTTAATCACATGGCTCTAAGTACATAGGTACACCACGAGGACTCGTATCTCCAGTGTCCTCACATATGCACAGTATCTCAGGCACACACGATGGTTCAACAATCTGTCCATATTATTATCGATTGGATACAGGGATACCAGTCCAAAATTGTCTATCTGAACATGGTTGACTGACTGTGTGCCTGATTTAGTCAACCGGATGGCTCTTCCATGCCACCTCTCCTCGACTGTGTGCAACACCCTTCTTCTCGACTCTTATTTTGGGCGAGTCCTTCCACGTCCCGTTGGAATTGTATCATTGTGCTTTTTCCTTGTCCCCAATCGCAACCCTGGACCAGTCACCAACCTCCCCAGAGGCGGTGCGCGAGTCCGGCGCTTTCTCTTGAGTTCCTTAGGCCACAAAGTCCACTCAGTAATTTATGCCAGTCCATATGATACCTTTGCACTCCATCAACTGGTCCAAATTCTTCAGTCCGTCTCTTGTTGGCAGATCTGAACAACCGTATGCTTGAGCGGACTTGATTCCCGTGGATCCAATCTATGGTCCTGTAGCTTGACATGCCCTCACCAGACCTGTTCACTCCTGCGAGGCGCCGAATCACAATATTGGGCTTCAAAACAGCCCAAATCAACGTTCCGTGTTGATTCCATGATCCAAACATTGGTGGCAGGTTCGACGTTGCTCTTCAATCATGGCGGGATGCTCAAGGCGATGCCCAACCTCCTGCAGCGAAAACCCATTCCTCGAGACAGCTACCTTCCTTGCCCTCAACATCGCGAATGTCAGTATCACAACGACACCGACATCCTACCCCGTTTTCTTTGGGAAGATCAGGAGTCGCCCAGTATTCGTCCTCTTCAATGCGTTCCTTTTCATCTTCCGTCGTCTTCTCCAGCCATGGAATCCGGGGAAGCTGCCTGGCCGGCGCGTTGGCTGGACAATGTTGGATCGTGGTATGCCGGTACCCAAAGTCGCGAAAGTAATGGACATCTCGCGTCTGCAACAGGGCACCTGCCGCCAGAGAGTGGATGGGAGCATCTCCCCACTATGGTTTGTCAGTAACAACACATGAGCGTGTGGTCCAACGATTGAACTCACCCTTTCCATCCAAAATCCACCACTTCGATCCATTGTCTCGAAGAAGTCGTTGTACTCTTTGCTTCGGAACCAATCTAGTCGAGCAATCTCGAAATTACTCCAGAAATGGCACATGTTGTACTTTTCTCCCTCCATCGACTCGGGGTCAATATCTTGGATATTCTGGTGGCCCGGCTCAGTTTGCAAGATCTCGTCCGGCAGCGTTTTAGCCCGCTTCTCGTCCTGTCCTCCCGCTTTGTCCGGATTCTTTTCTGTGAACATTGTCCACAGGTCCGACTCGAGCTTGTGCTTGCGTTTGTATGCCGAGGCGTATCGGAAGATGTTGGGGACTGTCTCCTTCAACTCTTTGACGGCAATGGTAAAGCCGTAGGTCTTGTTGGCCTTGGCCATCTCAATGAAGGGATCGTAGGTAATGTCGCAAAAATACTTGATATCTGGCTCCACACGCCAGTACCACTCATACTTGTCCAACAGGGGATGTTTGTAGAAAAAGCCCGAGTAAAATCGGCACATGTGGTGATAGCTCTCCATACCACCGTACATGATGGCGGCGTCACCTTGTTTACGAATTCCCTCTCTTGCAACTTCATGGTCCACCCAGTCTGGGTATCCCCACATAGAGGGATCGATCTTGCCAAACTCGACTGGACCGCTTGTGTAATTGGTGATGGTGTCCTTGAAGTCCTGCTCGAATTCTCCGTCGTTGAGAAAGACGTATGGATAGTGAAACCAACGGTTGAAGTGACGCTCCATGCTCTTGATCGAATCAATCACGCCAGGGAGCTCTTTATTTCTGGCAAGGACGACAAAGGCAGCATTGGCTCGAGGTTGTTTGGCGGCATCTTCGGGATTGAGACAGCCCGTCGCAAAGACACGATCGTGCTTCTCGTTTATTTTCCTGTAGTTGTCTGGTGAGCAAAATGAAAATGAAAAATAGTTGCAGACAACTCACCGAATACTGGGGGGTGTTCCCGCTGGAACCAATATTCGTCCGGGAGAATTAGGATGTCTGACGACCAAAATGAGGATGAGGATGACTACCAAGCTAGGAAATAAAAGTAGAAACCCCAGTGGAACGGATATTGAAGAGTTCCCTTTTAACCTGATACGCCTGCGGAAGAAGGAGAGGCGTGTTGATGACTTGGACTTTGATTTCTCTGTAGTCCATGTTTCAGGGGGAGGCGACGACGAGGCCGGTAGACGTTTTAATGCGCGTTGAATGAATCCCATGGTCAGATGAGCAAGCGCTTATAAGGAAAAGTATAGCAGAGGTCTGGCCGCACTCAGACTTCAGAATTGTCGGGCCAGCATGTAATTTGATTCGGCCCGGTTGGTCAGGAGAGGACAGCTGAGATGGAGATGTGCATCAATCGATGGTGAATGCAAGGTCGAAGAGTTGATACCTTGATGATTCGGCCTGGTATGGTAGCAATTAGTTGCAACCAAGGGTCTTTGATCAAAAATCGAGACGGGGGTATAAAAGTCGAGGACGCGGGAAATCGTTGGTAGAGGAAGGAGGCGCTTGAAGAGGATGAGGACGAGAATCTGATGCCAAAAGAGAAGATCCAGCAAGCGGCGTAGATCAAGTTCAACGATGTATTGGCTAGGAGATGAAGCGAATGAGAGAAGGAGATGCCGTTGGGGGTTCTTGCACGGATGACGAGCAGAGGGAGGAGGTGTGCTCTGAGGAAATGTACAGATTCGAACAAATGCGGCCAAGTGCGGAATCGAAGCGAGAGAAGTAGAGACGAAAGTCGTGTCTAGGGTGGAATGATTTGCCGTGACTGGTCGGAGGGATGTGTCGAGCAATTCAAGTCGAACATGTGTAGGTATGAGACGACAGGTATGGGGAGGTGGAAACTTGATACGGGAGTGTTGAAGTTTATTGAAAGGAGTGAGGTAGATGTGGCAGACTGGAGACTGGAGACTGCAGATTGCAGATTGACTGGAGACTACGGAGAGTGGGAGAGTCGTGAGTGCAGACTGCGCCGTAAGCAACAGCATCTGAGAGGGTTGCAATTTCGGCGGATCGGAGTGAATTGGACAGAATTACAACTTGTACCTTGTGGCGTAGCACCCACCCACTGGCACCGTACCTCTTGGTGGCCCCTCGGCCTACTCGCGGTGCCTGTCCACCAGAGAGCCTTAGCTAATAAAAAGACCGCCAGTTACCCACCAAGAGTCTGAGACAGGCCCGAGGCCCCCCAGAAGCCAGGTCGCCAGGTACCTAGGAACCTGAAAAATGGCCTGACAGGACCCAACATTAATGCTTATAAGGATTAGGTAGCCATGCCCCAAAGCTTCCATGACATTACCAAGAAGGGGCAACAAAAGAGCATGGTCTCGCCTAAAAGGTACCTCCGTCCCTTAGGTAGGTACGTAAGAAGAACTCGACTCTAACGGCGAGTCATCATTCTGCACCAACCACGTTCACGTTCCGCAGGAGAATTCCCCCTTGGCGCGTGCCCCTGGGTGGCAACCACGCAACTCAACGCTTTCCGTTATGTGGCACATATTGGCACTTTTAGCTGATCCTCGCCGCTGAATGGTGCACCAGCCCCTAGAGCCACGGCAAACCCACCCCCAAGAGCCCTCCGGCCGCTAGGCATGCTTATATCTCCCAATCCTGAGAACAAACCCATCGCCACTGTCTCAGAGCAAAAGTTTATATATTTGTGCTCGTGTTGTGTAATGAAAATATACGAGTAGATAGGGACGGGAGTTTGAAATGTAATTCATCATTACGCTATCAGGGATTGCATCGCTATGTTCTATGCGTCCTCTGGCACTCGTGGCAGCCTGACACCTTCTCAGAGAGCCTATATTATCCACCTAGGTAGTTATTCAGCATCAAGAGATCGTCGAGCCCCAAGAGCCAATCATTTCATCAGTTTTTAAGACAACTTTTACCTGCGGCCAATTATTTTCTAGGCCAATCAAATCATGGGAGAGTTTATCCGGGAGCCCAGTTTCACACGAAGGGTATACTCCGTATGTACATTGTCATCTTCCCATCCCAGCCTGGCCATGTAGCATCAGCAACAATCGTAGTGGTAACACCGACTGGTCTATACTCTCAAGGACAAACGGAAAATCCTGCGAAGGCGTCATGCTGAGTTCCAGGCTATTAAGCGAGAACGAGGTGACCATTGTTTGTTCAGAACAACCCAATAAAGGGGGGCATTTCCTCACTGTCTGGGGGCAGGATGGATGGAAGACTCGCTAAAGGGATCTTTTTGCTGCCAACGCGCGAGGACCAACCGTCTCCTCGTCATCTTCCCAACCGATAATGTCACCTTCGTTCTGTATCGTTGCTTCGATCTCTCGTGTCGGAGCTACACGTAGAGAAAATTTCTCTCGCTTGAGCTTGAACATGCGGCCATGGAGTTATCGCAAGGCTCCGCGAGCCAGGCGAGTGACTAGATCTGGCCCTTCCAGGGTCCTGAGATGGACGACCTGGGTGAGATTTAGCTTCTGATCAAATTGTCTCTCTGCGAAGGCTCGATCACTTGTTGATCACTGATAAATTGATGATACGAACGTTCAATTTTGCTCGAGTAACTCCATATCCTACGTCAGTAGGAAAGGACTGTCGCCGCTTCTGATGAAGTTCAGCAAGTCCTTCCCATTGTCCTCGGTGCCGTTAGGCAGAGAAGACCACTTGTCTCGCCAATGCATGGGGAATACTTTGAAGTTGATCATGTACAAAAGGTAAGCGGAAATAGAAAGATGTACTTACAAGTGATGAGCTGCAACCAGAATTTAGAGTGCAGTACCATCGTTGACAATACAAGTGCCCTTATTTTGTGGATGTGTATGCGTACATTTCGCAGGGAACGATGCTGTTGAGTTACGTTCCTTCTTTTCTCCTGGATTTGCACAGTAGTAGTCATGATCCCTACTAGGTACCTACCCACACCTAATACATGAATACAATCTCTCTTCTTCTGTCTCTGCTTCTTTGTCTACAGCGCTTGATGCCCTATGCGAAACCGTTGACCAAGAAATTTCCTGCCATGGCAGCTTCCTAATGCGAGTAAGTAGGTTGCGAGGATAAATACAGCTACCTGGACGTAGGAGTCAAACACGAAACCTCACGTAGCCTCTTTAATTGGATTTCAATATAGAATATACCAATATTGAAGATAAATTCTTTACCGTCAACCTAAGGTTCATTTGGGCAATACCAAGCCTCGTTCATGATCGTCACCCCGCGCTTAGCTTTTGAATCGGTGATGGATGACTTGAATGGAGATCTTGGCGGGATTGCGGTGGGCCTCTCATATTACAGTATACAGGATGTCCAAGCCCTTGTCAGCTGCATTGTGGTGAGGAGCTGCTATGGCAACTCATCAACACTCGAGTAGATCATTGACGAGGTCAACAGGTCTGAGACTGGGGGTAGGAAGGACAGGAATGAGAACTTCAGTTATCAGTGGAAATGGATGGATGAAGAGAGTCTAATACTCTGATCATGGGTAGTATGCACACATATACAATGGCTTTCATGATCTATACTCCTTCTCACGATCTCGTGTCCGTTGCCTCGTTCGTATATTCGTTGATTGTATTTACGATGACGGAGAAGAATGCTCCGAAGTGAATTAGAGGGATGACCGAACGACTGAGAAGGCACTCAGCTCACAAATAATTGGTGCTTATGCCTGATGATGTACTCCGTATGTACGGAGTACTGTGCATACGTCCGTGTGATTGTGGGCGTTCTTGTGGGCCGAGGGGCGTTTTCAACTCCCGCTTGCAAACTCTCCTTCTCCTCTCGGTCGGCACCACAGACTTAAAGAGCCAACTTGACAGACCAACAGACTTCACATCCTCGCTCACAGGCCATGGGTGATGGTTCAGCCCTGCCACACCACCACTTTTAACTTCTTGAGGAGCGACAAAGACCATGGCCATCCCCTCCTTTCCTGCTCTCCAATTGTACCTTCCCTGCTTGCATTCTCCTGAAACGCGAGTTTGATCAAAGTTACAAGGGCCTGCGTGCCTTCCTTGCCCTCAACTCCTCAATTCGCTCTCCTCCACTCGTGACCACCAACATCATCACCATTCTCACCATTCTCACCACTCTCACCATTCTCACCACACCCAACCGCCACACCTCCTGCTCCTCGCCGTCAAGGATCATCTCACACCCGTCACGCGCAACACAGAAATGACCTTCTCACCGATGATGATTGTACATTAATCCATTCTTCCTCATCTTGAGCCTTGGTCTCTCTTCCCTGCGTCTCTTCATCCTTTGGACCGCCCTCGGAATGTCGACTACTACAACGTCCTTCCGTCCCTCAACTCCCTCACGAGCCGGCCTCAGTCCTCCAGAACTATCCCCGAGCCGGATCTCGCAATCATACTCCATACCTCCCTCGCACCACCTCCCCCGTAACCTCGGTTTGTTCTCCCCTGTTGATCAAAACGGGAGCTTCTGTTTCGATCGCCAAATCAAAAGTGGCAAGGTTCACAGACGCGTCAAAAACAAAGGAGCCTGGAAACCTTCATGGAAGCCCGCTTTTCTCGTTCTCCGACCTAATCTGCTCTCTATATATCAAAATGAAGATGAGACCGATCTCAAGGCATCCATCACCCTCTCAGATGTCACTGCCGTGGCCCTAGTCCGTAAAGCCCATACTGAGAATGTCTTTGGCCTGTTCTCTCCTTCAAAAAATTACCATTTTCAGGGCGCCTCTGCCAAAGACACGGCTGACTGGATCGCTGCTATTCGGGCCGAAACAACAACTGAAGAGGACGATGACATCGATCTGCTTCCTCCAAAGTTCTCCCACAGAGATGTCGAGTCCCACCACCTTGATGAATCCAGTGATTTGTCTGCAGACGATCACTCACATCCTGCTCTCTCTCCAGCGCATCAACCATGGGCCACAAAGGAGTCCAAACTGACAGGACCACCTCAAGTCGGATCCATACCCCGTTCTTCCATCTTGCAAGACTATTCTGGAAATGAGCATTTCACCACTTCACACTCTGACTTTTCAGACACTCTCGGCTCATCCCTGCCGAAACAGTCCTCCTACTTCGCTGCCAAGGGATCTACCTTGACGCCAGTGCCGTCTACTGGCCAGCTTCCATCAAAGCCCGAACGTAGAGATGACTCCCACGCGACCAGTTTGCCGGCCAGACAAACTCACCATGCTGAGGCCAGCCGAGACCCCGAACGAGTCATCCGCCAAGGCTATTTACAGATTCTCAAATCGTACAAGACCGGCGTCAAAGGTTGGAAGTCTATATGGGTTGTCCTCCGAGCTCGAAGTCTGGCCTTTTATAAAAATGACCAAGAATATGCTGCCATCAAAATCTTCAACATGGATACTATAATAAATGCCGCAGAGATCGACCCCATCAGCAGATCCAAAAAGTTCTGTTTCCAAATCATCATGGAGGATAAATCATACCGATTTTGTGCCTCTGATGAGGAGGAACTCGCCAAATGGCTCGGTGCCCTAAAGAGCGTCTTGACGAAAAGAGAGGCTGCAGTCAAGGCCAAAGCCAAAGACAAAGCCAGAGCTGTCGCCTTGAATCAAGCAACTGCCGCTCTGTCTTTAGGCTGAATTATTTGTATGACACTCCTGCATCCTAGGAGAGCCTTTTGATCCGCGGACAAGCTCTGCCGTTCCTTCACGACTTTACGAGTTTTACGATTGACGCCCTCCAATCACAATATCCCAACCTTTCTGATATCACTGTTGGCTCCAAAATGTGCATGCCTTGTCTTGCCCTTGTCTTTGAGACTAGGACTACTTTCTGGAAAAGAACGATTGTCTGACGGAGAGCGACTGAATTTTGCATATGTGACGTCCTATGGTTATTTACGATACCCACGCATAGTTGTTGGATACCTATCTCATGCATGGGACTTTCCAAGACTGTGTCTACTCGCAAATCCGGAACGTGCTCTGTCGGAGTGTCCGCACAGGAAGAGGTGTTTATCTGGTTTAGCGAGCTGTCGATCACAGCTAGCATATATACTCCTGCATTCACATATCTCAGCCACCCCACCTAGTATTGACTTGTCCACTCAAGACATCCTCTCATTGATTCTCCAAAAGCTATTGGTTTACATAAGATAGTGACCTGTGTAACCCCACGCAAATAATATATAATTCGGTCCGGTACAGTCTTTAGGTTGGAGATTTTGATACAAAGTACAGATCTTGACCTATATATGATGAGGCCCTTTTATCTCTACAATACAATTATTCCTGGAACCTGATTGGAACATTTGGTCAGAACGAAGAGTCATACCACCATATAGATAGCATGCACAACGGCCAACCGAAAGTCAGACCCCAGCCCTTCTTCATGCTCCTAGACCCAACAAACGCTTGATCCGGTTGAATAGCCCCGCGGGCGGCGCATCTGCCGACGGCATCGACGACGACGACGATGACGATGACCCTTCCGAGGGTGAAGTAGGAAGCACCGACTTCGGTCCTAACCCTGACGCTGATCCTGATCGAGATCGTCCACCATTAACCATCTGCTCGGAAGCCCAGCCATCAACTGGACTGAAGAGATTGGGACTAAAGCTTCTCTTTACCGCCAAAGGAGGCAATGCGCCATGAACGATATTTTGCGGCCATGACTTGGCAAATCGACCATCGTTGAGATCGGCCCAAAACACTTTAATGTCCCAATTATCAGCCCAGGAGGGTTTCTCCTTGGCTTCTTGTTTCTGTAGGGCTTCGCTTCTTCGAGATTCTTCCTTTTCTAGACCCTTCAAGGCGGATTCTTGCTTTTTGGCGATGAGGTCTTCCAAAGTGGGAGTGGGGGTGGTGGAGGATGAGTCAGATGTGCGGCTGGTCATCTTTTCGAAGGCTTGTTTGGCTTCCGCTTCGGCTCTTTTCAAGACAATGTCGCGTCTTCGTTCTTTTCCGAATTCGCCGAGGTTTTCAAGAGAAGCTTCGCGTTGTTGGTTGACGAATTTCCATAACGAAGGTTCAAGATCGCCGCCGGCGAGTTGGGATTGCAGGTACCAGATTTTAAGGGCTTGGAATTCTGCCTTTCGGGCAACGGCGGCCCGTTCTTGGTGTTCTGCTGCGTCAAAGGTTTTGCGATCGAGGGAAATATATGCATCCCATTCCTGGAGAGCCGGAGCAAGGGTTGATCCCTCCTGGGAATTTTGGAATAGAGTTAATTCATCCTTCAAGACATTGTCCTCATATGACAACCGCTTGATGGTTGGCAGCAAGAGAGGGTCGGGAGTGCGGTTGTAAGGAGTTGTTGTTGTCTTGATGGTCTTGACCTGCTTCTTTGCCTGCCTCGCCAGGGCATTGATCTTTCTTCGCTTCTTGGTCGAACTCTCCTTGTACCGGGCCAACCGCTGCTGCTCAATGGCGATCAACTTTTCTAGAGGCTTGGGTCCTGCGCTGATCCAGTCAAGGACAAAAGCTGCATCCGCCACGCTTGTAGCTTTGTGGTCCATCAGTCTCTTGGCCCGGACTTGCTTGGGCAGCAGACTCCCAACACTGGGAATGCGGTCTACCAACTTCTGCTTATCCCTGTGATCTTCCGAATCTTTCAAGTCGTAAATTTGAAGGGGATCTCCCAATCTTTCCTTGGCGGTTTCGACGTCTTCTGCTGTTGTAGTGACTAAAGAGGTGGGGGCTGTGAGTTGTCTTTGTGTCGACAAGTCTCTCAACTTCTGGTAGGCCAAGAGGCCAGCATAGACGCCCGCAGGGTGACGAGGGAAATGCATCGAAAAGTATGGCATCCACATATCTCTCCTGACTTCAGCCGGTACAGTCTTCTTCCCATGGAAGATCAATTGCTTCAAAATATGATTTTGCTGTGAAGCTTTCGTCAGTACGAAGGAGCAGACTGTGCGAACGCTGTCTTACCTGGAGTGCTCTGGACAGGCTGTAGACCACCTGGTTGGTCTGAACATGACGATATGCGTATATGTCCAGTCCATGAGTTCTTTGTCGCAAGGCACGGAGTGCCCGGCGTGTGAGAATCTTTTTTTGTTGCTTGAAGGCATTTGAGCTTTGCTCCCTCCATCTGCCCTGCAACCAGACCAGAGGTTTCTTGGGTGGATCGCCTGCAGGTTGAGGGTTGTTGTTCGGATGAGGATCGCCTTTCAGTAGCCTTGGAGGTCTGATACGGGGCATCGGTGGCAGTGCCATTGGGTTGAGCTGGCGGCTCGCAGTGTTGACTGCGGCGCTGGCCATGGCTGCCGACTTTGGGACTCGCGGTCAGGAAGAGCTATTTATAGGATCATGGCGAGCGAAAAACTAAGGTAGGGAGATGAACGAGGGCCAAAAAAGCGAATGGCGTCCTGCGTTGGGAAGGCAAGCAACGGGGACGAATTATCCTTGGTGAAGTAGAATTTCCCATTGACAAACGCAGAAACGAAGCTTCGGATGGCAGTCACGACAAGACCACGTGATTATTCTTGGCGAATTTATGTATCCATTCCAGGTATCTAAACAACTGATAATTCAGGTAAATCATCTCAACATTAGATCTGTCCTTTGTTAACTAAGGCAAATAGTTAATTGGTACATCGTCACATTGTTAAGCCTCGTGGTGCTTCAACCAACCCTGCCCAAATAGCTGTTATGAATCCCTTTTCAATCCTCAAGACAAATGCTCTGCCCTTACAGTCATCATAGTTTCATTCACTCATGCCCATTCCAAATCAAAACTCTTTTCAAGAGATACATATGGCCCTTAATTAGATACTCCTGTTTCTTATATAGCCAAGCTCCGACGCTCATGCGCCTCAGTTAGCAACTGATGTAGATGATGCCGATGGGTCGGTCGCTGTAGACCCAGGCCTATTTAGAGGTAACCAGTTTCGAGGGATATCCATGCTTCTGTTGACCCGCCCGCCAGGAGTGAGGGGATGATCTATCCGCGACCGATCTAAACGGTCATCTTCATCCGATGTTTCATCGGCGAGTCGCGCAAAATAGTCGGCCAGCGCGCTATTGGAGTCGCCAGGCACAATATTATCATATAACGGTGGTGGTGTAACCAGAGGCGGGGGAGGGTCTTCGTCGTCAAAAGCCGGTGGGTTGAATGACGGACTTCGAAGAAGATGAATTGGTCGAGATTGCCCCGAGTTGGGGTCGTTGTGTACATGGGCTTGGGTTGGTAAAGTCAAACCACCGCTGTCGTTGGTCCAGCTGCGTTGTACACCGGGGCCACTAGGAAATGCTGGATTTGAAAGAGTAGGAACATTATTAAGCGAAACATTAGGTGTGCTCCGTCTTCGGACAGCGGCTCCCGGACATCCACACTCAAACTCGTCAGCTGCGGGTGCACTCATTCCTCCAGCACTGTAAGCCGGGAGGGATATATTCGCCTGTGTCGCACGGCAAGATAAAATATTGAATGGAGAATCGATCGAAATCTCAAAATGCCTTCGTTTTGCAGAATCGTTCTCGTCTGGGCGAGACAGGCGCATGACGATCTGGAATGTTTGTTAGCATTAGACCCTGGTAGGGGTCGTAGACCGAACTCACTTTGATCCAATGATTCACCTGAATATTGGAGTATGTTGTGTCAAAATGTAGTCGTTCGTTGCGCAGCTTCTCTTTCATTTGGTGGCAATTTGGAAGTTGAACATTGAACTCCATTTCAGTAGGGCCAATGCTGCCAGCATCATTGTCGAGGTTGCCTAGCAGATTGGTCTGATCTCGAGGGATATCCTCGTCTCCGGCGGCGGCAGCCTGGCGGAAGTCATAGGGAACACCGCCTCCAGCAATGATACGCATTGAACTGCCAGGATATGAACTCACGCTGTGGCCGTCTGCACGTTTCTCAAAGAGTTGGACCTTTCGCGTGGGCTCAAGCCGGTGTACCTTTTTGTTGTTGGTGAAGTATTGTATATTCTCGGTAACGAAGACCTTGATACGATGACATTGCACTTTGGCCAAAGGGGTCAACTTGAAAGCAATGGGTACGGTGGAGCCCAGTGGAAACGACTTGCCGGAAATGACAATATCGTAATGCAGCTGATCCTCCCAATTTCGAGAAATGGCAATTGGTTCGACTTGTTCGAGCGAGCCTTCAGCAGGGGCTCGAATCAGGGTGAGTTCCTTGGTGCCAACGAGATTTGCGCGGAATGCACCGGAACGCTCGACGAGAGCCTCCAATTCATACTTGACATGGCCAAGATCGACGTTGATGGATTCTGGCAACCGAGAATCTAGAGGCAGCTCAAAGTTGTAGATATAATCGCCAGGGTGGAAGACCTTGAAGCCTTTCTGAGCTACGGTTGGACCACCATTGATGGTGTCTCCCTTTCCAAAACTTCGCGATTGGTTTGCTTGGAGAGATAGTCTTTTCATGTCTCGGGCACTGGGGACTTTGGCAGGTGAGGCACTGCGCTGGAAGAGATCAAAAGATGATGTGGTGACGCCGAGTTCTTTGGCTTCGACCGAAGGACCTTTTTGGAGTTGGACCAGATCTGCCCCATAACTATTCTCGGCTTGTGGGATTTGCGCATTGAAGAAAGACCAGGTGTGGTTCATGATGATGGTTGTGTCTCTGAATTCGACCCGTTTGGGGGGTATGCCTTCGGGCCACTCGGTCTCAGACTTTCCGCGAAAGTTGAGTGATATCGACTTCAACTTGGCCTGTTTTTGGACCTTCAACAGGAGACTCCCTCGGAGCATTGTGGTGCTGTGACTGGTAGGGTCATTCGCGTCGAAGCCCTGGAGGAATAAGACTGGTTCGGCGAGTGAAACAATGACAGAGACGCCATTTCCGCTGGCGACCGGCTTCTCATCTGACAGATGAGTTGTGTTGATTGGCACCTCTGAATTGACGGGAGTGCCTGTGGCATTTCGAACGTCGCTGTCGACTCTTGGACGCGAAATCAGACCGCCGACAGGCCCACTGGTTGAGCTTCCACTCCGACCTCTCCGCTCTGGAGACCCTCTCCCAGCCTCTGCGAGTACCATCTCCTCTACGGAGTTCGCCAACGAACTCCGACGACCAGAATGACCAGCGATTGCAGGATGGGCAGAGGTAGATTGAGCTAGGGGTGGAGGTAGAGAAAGTCTGAAAAATCGTTTTGCGTGATCTCGTGAGATCGCCAGGTTCAGTTTCGAGGCCGAAGGATCAAGGGTGTCAATGAGGAATGGATGTGGGAATCGCAGGCGGATTTTCTTGGGGTGGTCGTATCTGACTAGAGGTGATCTGCGGCGGAATGGACGGAACAATTGAGGGCAGGGATTGGATTGGAGGGCCGAGGGGCCACAAGGATCCTTGCCTTGAAACGGGAGTCTCAGTCAGCGTGGATCGGTAGGCATATGAGATGTGAAGTGGTCAAGAGCAGATGGAAGAGAGAATGGAGGCCATGATCAGAGGCAGATTGAAGACGACAATTGCAGGATGGAGGTGTCTTGGAGGAAGACCATGTGCCAACTCGAGTGCAACTCTCAACTCCGCAGTCTAAGGCTTGGCCAGGAAGGATTCACGTACAACAACCTAGGTAGGCGAAGAGAGATCTCAGGTATCGTGGGTGTATCAAGCGGTGGACCAAAAGTCAGAGCAGATGCTCGTGCGTCTGGACGTGGGGAGGGGAAGGCGACTGCCTCGTAATGCGACTCGGTCTAGCCCTGATTCGGCTGCAACCCATGCGCTGCCCAGACAGATATTTGCATCAGCAAATGTCTTGGGGGTGTAATGCTTTGGAGTGGCCGCGGGGTGCAGAAGAGGCAAGAAGAAGAGGGGCACGGGGTCAAGAGAGGACATCAAGGCTTTTATTGAGAGAGCTGGCTTATGGAAGCTGGTAGGCGAGAGATATAATCTCCCCGAGTTGTTCGAGATTGCTGAGGAAGAAAGGCATTTCCGGGCCGGATGACCGACTTGTAAAGCGTCCAAGGGCCCATCGTTGCGCGGCCAGGTATTCTTACATACGCATATATGAGTCCCCCTTGGCTACGTGACTACGCATAATAAGCGTGGGCCTTGCTGTGCCCGCTTAGCCGAAAGAACCATGTCACACCTGCACCGCTACATCAGAGGCTGAACCCCACTACAAAAGGCAGTGGTAAAGGATCACATTTGTGGTAAAGTTTCCCTAAGGCTAACAAGGCAGTCCAACGCCAGAGGATTGGGCATTGTGGGCTGTCAAACTAACGACTCGTAATGCATATAATTGAGTGCTGATTCTGGGTGCGTGCCCACTCGGGATCGCCCAGATTGGGTTTTAATGGGGTTGCATCAACCCTCAGACCCTCTAACCAATAACGCCTGGCCAGGCGACTCGGGCGCTGGCCAACTCCATGGCTTGGTGCGAAGGGTGGCTCTCTCAGGCAGGTAATAATATGTACTCCGTGGTGTAATTCCTAACCTGCGCCTCCCAAGCTACGTGTGTCAAAAGTCTCCGTAGCATATCCAAGATTTGACAGGAACCAAGAGTAAATATGATGAGCCAAACCCGTATGATGGCAGATTCTCAAGGATGACCATACTGAACTAGGTCCCTACGTGAGCAAAAGTTGGTTTCAGCTGCATCAATCAGCCTTCGTCATATGACTGCACATCCTAAAATGCTGTGGACGCCTTGCCTTGGTCGCAGATTCTTGTCGTGGTGAGGTAATTGATCTCCTTGAACGAGACAAGTGGTAAGTTCTCGTGGTACTCTATGGGCCAACATGCAATCTAGGACGGCATCGTTATTTACCAGCTTGCAAATTCATTCATCAAAGCCTCGCACCTTCGGGCAACTAAAGATCAGCCGGGCTTTCCGGTATCCGACGTGGCGGATGATAGTTTACTTGGACCTTCATGTGCCTTACTAAGGTATGTATCTACAGAAGGAGAATTGTACTCCGTAGGTGCCTTAAAAGTTAGTAATAATGCACTTACAGTATCTCTGTTCCTTCCCAGCTCGTCAACATCGCAATTCATCGCTCCTTCCGGTAGTCTCATTTGATTACTTCTTCATCGACGCAACTTCGAACTTTTAATGACACTTTCTCCGTTGGTCCAAAACTTAGCATCTTGCTTGATTCGCTTGTCCCAACTTCTTGCGGTCAACACCATTTACCCACTTTCTTACCGAAATCCTATAGTCCAAAGGTCAATGCGGTACCTACTGGCCATTACTGAAATGTGTTTTGCGAGTCTCCTCCGGTGAGTTGATGATGTAGTGGGTCATCGGGTCTCTCGGATAGTCTGTGGACGAATCCAACATACAGCACATTCTGTGACATGCTCCAGTGAACCTTGCTGGAACACTCCTTCAACAGTGACAAGCTGCTGCTGTAATGGATGAGACAGCCTTGCCGTCTTACACGTATAACGCCTCGACTAGGATTCTGCTGGAATGTCATCCAATCCACATGATAGACTAATCACAGAAATTCAAGCCGAATACGTGTTTCTCGTATCACACGTCACCTCTTCACGAGCTCGACATCTCCAGAATGGAATTTGTCATGAGATCTCACTGAACGGGCCTCGGTTGAGGGGTTTTGTACCTGCGTAAGGTTTTGCAGACTGGGCTGACCAGAAACCTAGCGCACCTGGAAGGAAGCGGGAATAATATTGCTCCCGTTTTATGAATGACTCGTTAACCAAACGGAACGCATTCAGGTATGAGATTTGTACATGGAGTACGCATAGAGGTACAGTGGGCCGAGGTGGCTAGGCCTTGATCCTAACATGAATTCTCCGACGGTTGCTTTGATGGAGGTTTGGAGGTGAACACATACACGTCACTCGTCACAAAGACCCCCGCTTCAAAAACCGCGGAGCATTCATCGCGTTACCTCAACTTTGGACGCGTCTCGCGTGGGGTCTTGGACTCCAACATTTCCAACCATTACCACCACCGCCATCAATGTTATGAGGATTGTCCCTGCCAGAGCAATGTCTACTACCCAACATTCTACTGATTCCTTGATTGAGTTTGGTTTATAGAAGGATTCTACCTTGCAACAAGATGCATTATGGCGCCATCGGCCCCGCGAGGTGAGTCTCACCAAGTTTGCCCCAAATCCGCAACTAACGACTATTTTGCCAGCATCTGCCGAACGGCCACTTCAAGGCGCAGTCCTATGTTTTACTTCCGTGAGCCCGGAAGAACGAGTCAGATGGCACTTTCTCTCCTACAAGTCCCTTGTGCGCTGATTGTTATCTAGACTCAATATGCAGAGATTGCTCTACAGATGGGCGCCGAACACAAGCTGGACCTCACCTCAGACACTACCCATTTGATTGTCGGTAGTACAGATACGATGAAGTACAAATATGTTGCCAAAGAGCGGGAAGACATCAAGGTATTGCGCCCTGAATGGATCGAGGCAGTCAGGGACCGGTGGATGAACGATCGCCCAATGAATCTCCAAGAGCTTGCTGGCAAGTTTCGAGTGCCAACGTTGGCCGGCCTCAAAATATGCATCACCGGCTTCGAGGATCTTCTCTTTCGAGCCCAATTGCAGAAAAATGTCATCGAGAATGGAGGAGAGTATACCGGAGACCTCACCAAGGATGTGACGCATCTCATTGCGGCCAGTGCCCAAGGCAAGAAATATGAATACGGAATGCAATGGCAGAAAAAAGTCGTCAGTCTGCAGTGGTATAAAGACAGCCTTGAAAGAGGCATGCAGCTCGACGAAACTCTGTATCATCCAACAACCCCGCCGAATGAACAAGGCTTGGGTGCTTGGAACAGGAAACCCAGGTCGATATCATTCACAGAGAAGCGGCCCAGAGACGAGCCCGCCGGTCCGGAGCCTTCGAGGAAGCTTCGTCGTACGGCAAGTGCCAGGCTAGGGAGCCAAAACCAGAGTCTATGGACAGACATTGTCGGTGGCTCTGAGCATGACGAGACACATTCTTCACGACCGGATTTGAAAGCGGCCGTGTCCATGCCTGACCTTAGCAAGGATGGCCTCACACGCGGGGCAACCAGAGTGAACAAAGCCAAAGGTGATTACTCGAACAAGTCAAACGCTGGCTTCTTCTACAATTGTACCTTCTCGATATACGGCTTCGACGCTAAAAAGGTATGTTGCATTATGGAATCTATGGAATCTATGTAAAGGAATTAACTCGGTCAATAGCGAGTTCACCTTCAAAACATCTTGGTCCAGAACAGTGGAACGATCATTGAAGACTTGACTCAGATGGATCCGGATGATTTAGCTCGAGCACTGATCTTGGTTCCTCATGACATTGGCAAAGCGAACAAAACTGCACTTCGACTTCCCCAGGCTACCACACCGATTGTGTCTGAGTTTTGGTTGGAAAGGTGTATGTTGGAAAAGACCTTTATCGAACCTCACAATTACACTCTCGGGCAGGTTCTCATGGAACCAGCTATACCTGGCATGACGGATCTCAGCGTCAATGCCACTGGCTTTGACGGACTCGAAACAATGCATATATCCAAGATCGTCAAACTTGTCGGAGGCAAATATGTTGAAGTGTTTACAGCTAGCGTGTCGATTCTGATCTGCAAGGGCAGAGATGTCAATAATGAGAAGCTGCAACTAGCACGACATTGTGGTATTCCCGTGGTGACGGCAGAGTGGCTTTACTCCACTATCAAATCTCGGCGAAAGGCTGTGATAAAAAACTATCTTATCCAGGACCTGGGAAAGCAGGGTTCAGGCTCTAGAGCAGTAGCGGGAAAGAGTTCAAAGCAGGAGGCAGCAGAAAAAGAATATGTCGAGGTCAGCACCATTCCCATCCAGCGAAAGAAAGGACACCATGAATTAGAGCAAGCACGGGGACAGCAAATTGCGGGCAAAGCAAAGGTTGACACAGGCACGCGCACAAAAGCAGACGGCTCATGGGTCCATGTCCACACAGATCCCGAGCACAGTCTCACAACAGATTCTGGAAAGACATCATTTCCATCAGAGAGCAGCGGCACCGGATCTGGCAACGATGGACAACGGACGGCGACTGGAGAAGTCTCAGAACATTCACCACTTCAAGAAATCTCTTCAAACTCTCCTGGTAAGAAGACGGTGGGTCCAGGCTCGAGGATGCCCTCATCAGGTTCGCAGATAGGATCATGTGATGAGGTCAACAGCCTGACAGAGCCGAGACAAACACTTGATGACGAACCTACATCCAAAGGACGAAATCAAGAAGTTATGCAAGGCGCCGAAGTGGGGACCGGTAGTGTCCAGGCGATCAACGGAGCGATCCGAGAACTTTTGGAGCAGCAAGCGAAAAAGAGCCAGTCAAACAACAAAGAGAGCGACAAAGCAGGGAAGAAGGGACGGCTGGTCGGGAGAGCATTGAGCAACCTGTCAAATTCCTCGATAACGTCGAAAAGATGCTCTCGTGCGAGCTCGGTTGATAGCATGAACACGGACGGGATGGGCAGTGAGATTGTATCATTGCAATCCATCAAGGCCAGTCGAGAGATGGGATCAGGGGGTGAAAAGGGAGGGTTCAGCTTCATGGGTCGGGCAAAGTCGACCTTGAGCGGCTACAAGCCAATAAAATATGGAACGGAAGATCCGCACATTGGAAACAGACCGGATGAGATGGATAATGTGGGGCCACCGATGACCCAGCTTGGATATGAAGATCCCGAGGAAGCAGTGGCACTGCGAGAGAAGCTTGCCGAGTCGAGGAGAAAGCGGTCAAAGCTGGGTCAGAAGGATGATGATCCCAAGCCTCGAGCTCAGTCCAAGATACAGCGAAAGATTCAAGATGATGATGTGCTGGTCGGGGGCGCAGGGTGGGGGGCAGGGAGGCGGACAAGAAACAAACCCAGAGGTGCTCCGGATCAAGACATGACCAATTTTTGAAGATGTGTTGTGCCTATGTCGTTGGATGAGAAAGAGACATGAATATTGTCAAACCCGCCTTGCCGAGTGTGCTAGTGGAACCAGGGACAATGAATACGGGAGTATCTCGAGAGCCTGATCAACGCACATCAAAGCCAAGACCAGTGACTACATACATACATACATACATACATACATACATACATACATACATACATACATACATACATACATACATATGCATATGCATATGCATAGGAAGCTACTGTGGAGTGACGATGGTCAGATGACATGGCGGTTGGGAAGTCTCTGTGTGCATGTGTCCCTCTCCATCGAGATCAAGAGCAGCAGAGCGGGAAAATTGCCCATCAAGTATGTACCTACCTGGATAGGAATCTATGGATGACTCATGACTTTGGTGCCTGGCAAGACTGAGGGAATAACAATGGAAGGAGCAAACCACTCTCGGCAAGGAAGAATCTGTTCATGTCAGTAAGTAGTGCAAGTTGAGACAAGCACGACCGACACAGAAACACGTACATAAGGACGCGTTCCTACACTCCACAAGTGTTGTATATGAGGGGCGCCATTATCCGCTGGGCAGTCGCAATTGCATAATAATAATTTGTCTTCTAAGAAACTGGCAGACGCTGGTTGTGGCTCTGGCATCCTACTATTCACTTATTAGCTGCAGACTACTGCATAAATGTCATATTCTAGACTCAAAGCTGAATATGAAGACATTCTACGAAGTACTCCGTAGTAATGCATATGATCTACAAAAACCACTTTGTGCCGCCGTGGCCGCGTCCCGCATAGACGTGATGAAAAATAATATCAATTTGGTATTTACTGTCGATCCGTCACTACGCTACTTTAGTTGTGGGTTTTGCCCCATCCGTGCCCATCTCTCCTCATTCTTCTATGGACTACCAGCTTTTGATCTTCACACCTAATCTAGCATAGCTTCTTGGGGATCGCTGCATTGGCTGCATCGTCTTCAAAACTTCAACCTGTTATGCCACATCCCCCATTTACGGTACCTGTCACGATAAACAAAAAACTCCGAGTTTCACCATTTGACATCTCTAGGCTCAAACCTCGTCTCGTCTTTTGCTAGAATTGTTCCACACCAATTGGGCCCGTCCGTTGACTGACGTCTTACACCTACAACACATACTGCGCATAGTCTACTCATAACTCACCGGCTCATCACGATCCTCGTTTTCCAGCTATACTCATTCTTGCATGAGTTGACGTCTCGTCGTCTTCCAATCTCCTCCTCCCTTTGAGCTCCATCCCAACCAAACCTTCTCAACTCAGCCGTTTCGGATCCTGCGCCTTATCGATTCGGATGGTCGCCAGATGCCCCATGATCCCAGTGTTTCAAGCTAACTCGCAATTGGCATTACTCTGTCGGACTTCAACCTCGACACACTACCATCTCAGGGATTCACCGCCAACACTTACTTCCCCCGGCCTTGACCAACCTGGTCATCCCCCTCAGCTGATCTTCTTGTTCTGCCTATCCTGCAACGCCGACAGCCTACCGCCTTGCTGCGAACCACCATCTGACACCGTTCACCCTGAGAGCTACGCCTCCATAGCCCATCACATCCCAATCCACCAGTGAATGCCCCTCAGGCCCCTTGCTTCCACTCCTTCCAGCCTTTGCGGTACCGATTCTTAGGCCAAGTCAACCTGTCGATCTCCACTATCTCGAACCAGCTCTAGCCAATCACCACTCTCTTCATTAACCAGGCTAAACCCCCCAGCCATAGTACATCATGGCCGACCTCGCCCGCGAAGAGGCTGACCGTTACTTCTCTCACCGTAACCACCTGACTTCCCACCCAGAAGACAGGGACAGCAGTTCTCGAAGTTCATCAGAAGATCCCAACGAACGCAACTTTGACGGCTCTCGCTCAGACCCTGGCACCGACGACGACGACGATCGCCATAACATGGCTACCATAACTGCCACCAAGGCGAACTACAACATTCCCTCTCAGACACAATATGCAAACACCGGTCCCAAGGGGGTCATTGCCGACGCTCAATCATTCGCTCGCGCCAAACAAACCACCTTCCGCCAACGTCTGGTCAGCTTTGGTCGTAGCCTGGCCAACGCCAAACCCACCGATTTGGAACACACCACATCCGAGAAACACACAAAACCCTCTGAATCAACAGCCTCGGATTCTGACTCCCTTGGCCTGTCAGACGAAGACGCAGATTCCGAATTCATGAAGACATGGCGAGCAAATCGCCTACAGGAGCTTTCGAACCAGTCAGCCGCACAGTATTCCTCACAACGGCGACAATCACCCAGTCAGAGAACATGGGGAGTCTTGGCCGAAGTCGACGCCAATGGTTACCTAGACGCCATTGAAAAAGTCTCTGACGAAAGCGTGGTCGTCGTCATGATCTACGATCCCCGCTCAACATCCAGCAACGAAGTCCAAGACGAACTGACCATGCTTGCCTACAAACACAACAAAACCCGCTTTGTCATGTTACATCATGAAATCGCCGAAATGGACATGGTCCGAATCCCCGCCATTCTCGCCTACAAGGCTGGAGATGTCATTGCCACCATCTCTGGTGCCAAGGCAGAAGGTCTCGAAGAGACATTGCTTCAGTAAGTTGCTACCGATTATGAACGATGGTCGTTGCCTGTCAAAGACTAAACTAACCTCTCTTCCTTTCTATCTAGAAATCGAATATTGAGATCATAATTTGGAGGAATGTGTTTTAGAAATCACGATAGTACAAGAGATACCCCTAACAAGAAGCCAACAAATGTCCCAATCACGCTCGATCAACCACTACAACTCATAACCCCAACCATACCATCCTTTGTCAATCAGTTTACCAGCTTTTATCACTAATACCTCGTTTCCATGTTTACTGCGGAGAAAAGGGTGTCTTTAGAGACTGGGCATTGACATTAACATTAACGACGATGATGACGACAACCACCGCCACCACCACCACTACATCCTCCTTGATCCTCATTTCTGGATCTTCTTCTCCCCCATCATCATCGAACCTTGACCTGCCACTGTTACCACCACGACCAACTACAGACCAAGCTAAATCATCTTACAAGCTGCCCACATCATGATGGAGTGCTGAATTCACCAATGCGGTCACCACTGCGGGATACTTGGGATGCTGGGGGATAATTTGAATATTAGGCGACGACATGTCTTGGGCCCTGGATCATGCAAAATCGCTAGCAGGAACTTGGAGCTCTCCACTACACTACACTACCTCGACCGATCTATTTGGTCACGGCTCGCGCCGATATGGATGTGTCAAAAAACCCAGGGCGGTGAAAGCACGTGCCTATCAATCAATAAATCAATCAATCAACACCGATCTTCCATTCTTTCCTCCCTAACTCCAAGCCCTCTCAACATATATCTCCCCCAATGTATGTATATTCAAATATATGTGTGTGTAAACATGTGTATATGTATTCGTATCGTGTATTCGTGCTATGGATCGTGTAGGCAGATAAATAGCCGATCACAATTCACTTTTGCATCTGGTCATGATAGCACTGAGCAACATCTTCTCCGAGAATGTCTACACACCGTGCTTTTTATTGTCTTCATATCTCATTATCGACCTACACCTTCTCGTCTATTATTGAGCATCAAAATTTCATTCTTCCGATTGCCTTGGGCCAAAATTTCTTTCTGCAGAAATTGGTTTGTTGAATCAAAATAGGACACGTTGGATTTTGATGATAGCTCATCCATTCAATCGTCACCTGCTGTTCCCATGGTTGATTTTTTGGCCTTTTGGTCAACTCAGGTCCGAGTCTTGACTCACTAGTAAGTGTTGACGACCTCAATGTGCTCCCAATCCGTCCATCCGTAAAGTAATAGCTTGTCGATTCGAACTTTCTGATCAACCTAGGAATCAAAAATCCCACCTGGACCGATCGACCCTAATGGCTCACAAAATCGTGGGCTTGGAGACAAATAATGATGCAAAATTCTTTCATGACCAATCGACGCGCCATGTCGCAAACTCCGATTGCTGCTCGCTGAGTCCGGCAACATCCAGCACCACCGCTTCGAAGTAAAGTTGGGAAGGACGAGGAAGAATGTTGATACATAAGGCCACTCTGTTTCGTCTGACTCGTTTCAGGTCTCAAGCACAAGATGATGGACGGCCCAACGCATAGCAATAATCGTGGCCGGGTCAGATCTCAGATTGAGCGTAATTGAGTCATGAAGAATCATTAGGTAGATGCAGTGATGGCAACTTTTTCGCTTGTGAAATCCCAAAGCATTTTGATGAGGCTGTCGGGTAGAGTGTAGAGATCGACATGAAATTCGCCTTCTGTGAGTTTGTCAGAAAAGGTCCTCAGGTGGGACAAAGAGGGAGGGTGACACTCACGATCAATGTCATTTCTCATCCATGATTCTTCGGTCTTGTTGTCGTGAACCATCTGAACGACTTGCAGTAGATCATCCTCGCCGAGCTTTTGGAGACCTTCAGCCAGTCTGTCCATGTCAATGGCTTTGCCATCAGCGCCCTTCTTCTTCTTCTGGGTACCACCTGTTCCGACCTCACTTGCGCGCTTCTTGCTTGAGGCATCTGCACCATTGGTTGAAGATTCACCGGGAATATGGCCAGAATTGCGCAGGGCATCCAGCAAAGCACCTTTGGGGTTCTTGAACACGAGGATCTGCTTCGTCTCGTAGCGGTTGCTTCCAAAGTTCAAGTCGTGGATGATTGGATGGACCTTGCCACTCAAGTCCTTGAACTCAATAGCCAAGTCGAATTCACCCCAACCATCCTCGGAGACACGGAATGGCGGCTTCTTGAATACTGTCATTCACGTGAGCCAAAAAAACACGGGCGAAGGTGCCAAAGCAGCCACGGGGAGAACATACCCTGTGTCGCCTTTGGGCCAAAGGATTCGTGAAGTTTGTAAGTGACCGACTCAAAGATGTCTGCGTCAATCTCTTGTTTTGTGTCGGCGTGCAGTTGGACGATGCGCATGGACCAGTGTCGCAGGGGAAAGCCTTCCATGCCACTGTCTGCGCCAGGACTGCAATGACGTGTCAGATCGATTGACAAGAGTGTTAGAGGACATTTTGGGGGGATCAAGGAGTCTGGGAAGGAAGATGTTCCTGAGATGGGGGAGGAGAGGGGGAGGTGGTCACGTACATGACCTTTTGCTCTGTGATGATCTTGATAGATCGTTTGATCTGAAACGATGGATTAGTATTTGATAGATCATCTGGCACACGAACTTGGAACTTACGTCTGGCATGATGGCGAGTCGTGGATTTCGTGGTAGATGTCAAATCGGAGGGGGGTTAGATCTTGGGTTGGCGACGGCCTGGAACTTTTCGATAGTAGCTAGGCGACGCCGGCGCGATCTAGAAGGAAGGAGGGTAGGATGGGAGGTTGTTTTAAAGGTTGACGGAGCGAGAAGAAGGATACCTGGCTTTAAAGACGCGACAATGGCGTGTCAGTGGACCAACGTTGGGAGAATATCGGAACGAAAGTGGTACAAGAAACGTGGGTGGTGGATGGATGGTCTTTGAACGGTGGTGGGTGAAGGAGCACCTGAGGCTTACAGAAGAAGATCAGGCAAATCAGGCAAATCAGGCTCTGTAAACTGCCTAGGTAAGGTACTTACTCCAAGCAAGGCACTTGGGTAAAGGCCAGGCGACGGCTATACCCACAAGCAAAAAGTCGGAGGGGGAGAGAGGAGGGACGCTTGGGCCACGATTTACTGCTCACTGTGGGCAGGTGGTGGGCGTGAGGCGTTTGTGTCAGTGTCGCGGGCGCACTGAGTGATACTGTACCTTGTCCCTGTGTCCCTGCAAGTGCGTCCTCATAAGAAGAATGCGGGGAGTTCGCAAGGCAAGTCTGCCGAACTTCCCTCGTGGTCACGTGTCTATAGGGTTGATCCTGGATAGGCCTCAAGGGTAGAAGAACGTTTGGCTGACCACTTGTATACACATATGTGTGCAGTGGAACTGCGAGAGGGTGCGAAAGATTATGACAGGAGGACTTCCATCAATACTGCCGTGTCCATGAGCAGACTGTTGTTCACGAAGAGGGATTGAATTGTCTCTATCTAGAAGAACGAGTTACGATCAACAGGTGACTGAGGACTTCATCGCCGAATAATCAGTCCCTGTCCCGTTCGTTCTCTGATTCCACTCCCCAGGTGAAAGGGGAGTAAATCTATCGTACCTTATGCAGGAAACCAAGCATGGCATACAAGGTTCTTTGGGCAAATGCTGAGTGTTTGCTATCAGGGCTGAGAAAACAGGGAATCATGAACTATGCCTTGCCCCACAAGGCTTCGTTCTCTTGCTGCGCTTTGATGAAGGCTTCTTTGAAGAGATTGGCATCTGGGAATTATTGTCAGTGTGTGGTTGATGAGACAAGCGAACCAGTTCCATGCTTACTTTCGCTGTTTCCAAAACGAATGGCCAGTGTCTGAGCCTCAGGTTCACCCTCGCTCACATCTGCAGCGACATTCCAGACCCAACTGCGATCACTTCCAACGTTGGGGGAGAGCTTCATATCAGGGGTGACTATTATGTGGTCAGCCTTGTCTCGAAGTGGCAACGAGTGGACACGAATTTACCGTAATGGTTGGCACAGACCTTGAGAGTCTTGTCTCGTCGCATGACCAGTCTCGTCTTGCCATTCTCCTTGTGCTTGAGCAATCGAACATCGCCAGTACCTCGTTCTTTCCACTCCTTTGACTCGCGATCAAACTTGAATAGCTTGGCTCTCATCTTGAAAGCCTGCTCCTCGGCCTCTTCGTTGGTCTTTGTGTCCACTTTCTCAGTCAATCGAACGACAGGCTCAAACTCGACATCGGCTTCCTCTTCCTCGGCTTTGTCCTATCACCCGGATCAGATTAGTTATGTCGTCCTTGCGTTGGGGGAGAAGCAAGTATGTCTTACATCGTCATCCTCTTCCTTCTTCGCCTTTGAACTTCCACTTGGTTCGTTCTTTGCCGCTTCGTCCTCTTCCTCGACCTTCTTCTCCTTCTTTGCGCCACCACCAAACATTGAAAAGACCGAATCCTTGACGCCAGTGGCCGTAGAGGCGGCTGCAGAAGCGGCACTGCTGGCAGTATCGGCCAAAGAGGATGAAGTGGGGTTAGGAGCCTCTGTCTCGGGCTTGCCTAGAGGGTCCTGCACCAATTTGGTCTCATCTTGAGCAGGTCTGAGATCAGACGAAGCAGTCTGATCAGCAGATGGGGTAGGCTTCGTTTCGGTGGTATCCGACATAGTTGCAGGAGGTTGAGAGGGAGGATGAATTGATTGGAAAGGGTGAATCTGAGGACGCGGGTAGCAAGGCGGTGTCAACTGCAGTGGAGATTGACAGGGCTTGTTGAACGGGTGCAGACTTTGATCTCTAAGATTTGCACCAGCGAGATAGAATAAGTTGTAGAAGTCAGGAATAATAACGGTGATGGTGGCGGTAGTAGTGGGTGGTGGAAACAATTGGGCAGAAGCCACTGGGAATTGGTCCTGACTTTTTGGGCCGCAGTTGGTAATTGTTTGTTGGCAGAGGAGTGAAGACCCCACTAAGTAGAGCCACCAAAGCCCACTGATGATTCAGACTTCAGAAGTCACGGAGAAGCCTAGACTGTTACTACTAAGTACTGTGACCTAGGTACCTAGGGACTTACTCCGTAGATCATGTAGGGGTCGGTGGTTGGTTTGACCCTGTGAGTGCCTGCAGGCCGTTGTCTTGTGGGTTGTCACCCCTAGCTTCTGCCGTCTCCCCTATTTTCTTGCCAAAAGGATAGGCTGAGGAGCCCTTAGCTTCTGTTGTCTAGGGAGCAGCCGGCCCTGATTGCCGGCCCGGGCGTTGGTCTTTCCATGCTTCTAGGCGACATGATGACCTGACTGAGTGACTAGCAACTGTTGAACATCACAAATTGCCACTCTACATATTCTACATAAACCTTTTAAGAGGACTGGGAACCGTGCCACCTGATACTACACTACTTTGATCTCCAGTGACACGACTTTTGTGTCACTACGAAACCAATGTCAGCTAATGATTATTGACTTGCAACATCCATGCCGTCTCTGTCTCTCTGTGTGCTTCTTGTCCCTCCCAGGCACCAGCATCAAGTCCAATAATATGCCAAGACTGCTTCCATCAAACAAGATCTTTGCGTCGTGTTTGAAGGATCCCTCCGCCTCATCTGCGCATATTGACCCATAGACGCTGTGACTCTGAACCTCGTATGACGTCGTCCTAAACATACCCACCTCACCTCAGCCTCCTCCACGCCCTCATCACACGTACCATATTCTCAACTTAAGGTGGTGTGTAAGTGTTCTTCAGCAGACTCTTCTTTCACTTTGTCTTTGAAGCTGTGAGACTTTCGAAAACGCTTCGATAGCCCGTCCCCTGTCCTTCGCTTATTGTCGACCCCTGCACCCAACATGGACATCTCCAACCTTCCTGAAGACATCTTACCCATCATCCTCTCTTTCCTCTCTCCCCCAGATTATTTGGCTCTCTGCTGTACCTGTAAATCAATCTACACCAACTTTAGGCAAGACTCGGTGTACTGGCGCACCCTGACCTCAGACACATTTCGACTCCCCATCAGTCCCCTCCTCGCCGCCGACGGTCCTCGTTGGTACTGGCTGTATAAGCGTCTCAAGACACAAACCCAGCTCTATACCTGGGGTCAAGGTGTTTCAGGGAACTTGGGCCCTGGTAGAGCTCTTCCAATCCAGAATCGCGGCCCGCTATTCCTCCCAGACGTTGTACCACGAGGCTTCCGAAGGCCCATTCGACACCCTCCAGCTCAAGTCTTCCAGCGTACGAATTCGAATTGGCCAACAGAAACCCATCTTCCCGATGACGTGGGTGTCATTGTGGACCTTCAATGTGGAGGCTGGTCCACCACCATTCTGACCTCTGACGGCAAGCTCTTCACCGCTGGCGCCATCGATTCCCGTGGGACCGACGCCGACGCCCAGCATGGCGGCTTTGTACAACTCAAGTCTTCAGTACAAAGCACATCGCCAATTCGACAGTTTTCCTCTGGCCGAGGACACATCCTCGGTCTAACCGATGATGGAGATATCGTATCCTGGACTCAGAGTGGCTTGAACGGGCTCAAAGCCTTTTCTAGAACAGACCGAGACTTTGGAGGCAAAGCTACCCGCGTGGCAGCTGGCTGGGCACAGAGCTCTACCTATGTGCCCACCGTTGGCATCGTCTACTGGGATCCTTTACGAAACCACCAGGCCCCCGGCGGAGCAGACGGCACACACGTCGAGGAAACAATCATCCCAGGCACCGCCCGCACCCAGACAGAGACCGGCACCGTGGAAGTCGTCAAACATATAGTCCTCGAGGATTTCATAGTCTACATAACGAGTGACTCCAAGATCTTTGCCTGGAACATGAGCGTCCGGAAACCCAGCCAATCTGAGCCATCACACATACCCTTTCCTGTACCCGGATACACCGCTGAAGGCAGACAACTTAAAGACCTTCACGGCCAGTACAAGACATTTGGCGTCTTCACAGCCGGGGGAGAAGTGCTCGCCGGCGACGCGGACTACCTGCGACGCTGTTATAGCGCTGTTCGAAACGATCCGGCAATATTGACATCGAACGACTGGTCAACACTAACCACCATCCTCTCATCACGACCCCCAGACGTCCCAGCCCTCCAGCACTCAAACGTAATTGGTCTAGCATACGGAGACTACCACTATCATGCACTCCACGCAGACGGACGAATCACTTCATATGGCCGTGAGTCACAGAGCTGCGGCCAACTGGGACTCGGCAGCGTGGAAACAGGAGCGCGATTCCGCGGTCTAAACAAGGACAGAGCCGGACCACGCGCCGACGGCGAACTACTACCAATAGCCAACCTTCGAGGCCGACAGATCTGGTTTGAACCCGAACGCAAGGACTGGCTTGCATGGCTGGAGGAACAACTCGATAGTCCAACCCTCGCTACCAGCGGCCATGCCGCGCGTAATTCCTGGTTAAACCCTATCCGACAAGCCATCTTCAGCGAATGGATCGAACAGGAAGGACGACATTGGGACGAAGGACCTCCGACCGACATATACACCACCACCTCATCATCATCAAAAGATCCAACCCCCCACCATCACTCCACCGGCGACTATGTACTAGGCGCATACTTCCCCATCGCCATCGCCGCCGCCGGATGGCATAGCGGAGCATTAGTGTTGAAAGATCAAGAAAAGGCAGACGAAATCCGTCGTAAGTGGGTCGTATCGCAAGATCAAGATCAAGAGCAACAACGCAAGATTCCAGGCGCATTTGAAAGAATAGAGGAGGGGGAGACATACGCGTGGAAGTTACATGGATTTCCTAAGGTTACGCTTCCAAATGGTATAGAAATGCCTGGTGTGGGTGAGCCTCGGCCTTGGAGGGATGGTGTTCCCACCCTGGCGGAGTTGGGGTTTGAATGAATATGAGGTTTGATTTTTTCAGAGATTATGATCTATGACGAGATAGGAGAGATAAGATCATGGGGTGGATTTGCATCATCACCATCATCATCATCATATTGCTGATTTCAGCAGTTTCATGACGGTAAAGAAAGCAAGCGGCGCATGGTTGTTGTTTCCTCCATGATGTTACGGAATGGTTATGATATCAAGGTCAGACAGACCAGATCAGATCAGATCAGACGCTATGATTATCAAGTTTAGTTCTTCACCATCCCATCAATCAGAACAAAACAAGGTTTTCAGATTCGGTTAAATAAAAGGAAGATTATAATCATAAATATTTTGTCTGAAAGGAATTACTATCCTAGGTACCTAGCACCTATGCTAGGACCGTAGATTCTCACGACGGAGCACATATTACGATGCTTGGTAAAATAAAACACTTGATGAATGTTAATTGAACATTGTTAGTCTAACTTAGAGTGTTTGCTTGTTCCTATATGCTAAACATTGGTCCAATGAGATGACTGACAAACAAACCCCTTTCTTTCTATTTTCTTAGGGCGGTCAATGATGTTTCAATTACTCGCCATCACTAGTATCCAATAAATCCGTCTCTTCGTCGCGCTCGTCATCATTCGCCACATTCTTGTTCTTCTGCGGCTGCGTGTTCGTAGTCGTATGTGTCGGTACAACGTGGCCATGTCGACCGAGATCATCATCCGATCGTCCTCGGTTTTGTGAATGATGCCCGCCATCCACATCCGAACCAAAACTGTTGGTTCTGTGAGCTACTCTTTGCGTAGTTGCAGCCAGAGCCTCTTCATCTTCTCTTTCTTCATGATCCACAAAGACAAAACTCCCCACGACAATCCCCGCGCCGATCCAATAGACCCAGCCTTCATAATGACCTTGCAGAACCATTTCCCCCACTAAACTTAATGGAATAGTCAAGCTCAAGCCCACAGTGACGACCAATGGACTGGTCAATACCATGGCATATGCCCAGCAAATGTCGCTGAGGAGACTGCTAATGCTGTTGACGAGAAGAATCATCCAGACATGTCTGGTGGGAGGGGTTTGAAACGTTTCAATGCCGGTGAAATGTAGGAGAGGGAATAAGGGGAACAGAAGGAAGATGTTAAAGGTGCCCACGAGCCCGAAGAATAAAGTCATGTTGAGTTGGCGAGGAAGTGCTTTAATTGTGGATTTCTTCAGGGTGATGGTATAGATTCCATAGATGATGGCGGATGTCAGAGCAAGGGCATCTCCAAGGGCGAGTTCAGAAGCTGGCTTGTCTGGGAATTGGTCGTCGATGCGTCGGAATAACCTTCGCATTCTGAGTAGTCGGTCTGGGTCAGATACGGGGTCCATGCTGTCGGCATTTGTAGTGAGATCAATTGTTGATATGAGAATAATGCCGAACAAGGAAAGTACCACCCCACATAATTTGCGCCAGGTGAATATCTCGGTGCCTGTGAACGCTCCAAGGATAAGGGTCCAGAGACTAGATGTTGAAGTTAAAATGGTCGTGGAAGCGACCGTGGTATATTGAAGACAAGCCACGGCGAAAAAATTGGCGCCGAACCATAGAAAACAAAATTGAAGCGCCAATCGCGAGGTGGGTATGAGACCCAGATGTTTATGCTTTTCATCCACCTCGACGATGTCGTTGGAATGGGAGGTTGTTTTATTGATAAAGGGCTCAGAGTCTGGAATTTCGGGGTCGGACGTGTCTGAAGTAGGTAGTTGTCTATAGGCGGTATTTTTGGTGAGATTCTTGCGAATGGTACTATACAAATTTCCCTTCTGATGTCGATTGTAGGCAGATCGCATCAAGTTAGGTATCAAGGCGAGCATGAACATGGAGGTATTGAGGTAGGTGAGGAAGAAAGGTTTGGCGTAGGTGTTGTCGGCGAAGATGCTCTGTCGAACATTTGTCAGTGTGCTTGTTGCACTCGTATAGAGGATTTAGAAAACATACACTGCCGAGGAAGTTGGACAAGGTCCAGAGACAGACGGTGCATAGTAACAAGAGCAAACCGAGAGTATGGCCACCAAGTCCTGAGAACCGTTGGTGTCGAGAAGGTCGTGCATTCCGTCCTTGCTCTGACCCGCGTGGGGATGACGAGCGAGATACGCTCGTGTGGTCCATTTCAATCTCGTTGAGATAGGCCACGGGCTGGGATTGAGAGGAGTGAGGATCTGCCATGACGGCAGAGAAGGTCGAGGTTTTGATCTCGTACTCTGCTCGACTGCGTCACGGCGGACATGGCTTTCCGGGCGTGTAACTAAGGCCAACTCCACTGATAGGGAGCCGCCGGGGCGAACCAAGCTCTCGCTGACGATTGCCCCAAAGGCAGAGGAGATAACCGCAGGCTAAATCGTGTGTACCACAAGAGTCGTTGAGGGCTGCGCCACTACCGTTGGTGTGGCCTTGAACAAAGTCAAAAGCAATCAAAAGGCTGCTAGGAGGACAGTTCGTTGGCTCGAAGCTGAAACTGCGAGTACTCCGTAAGCCTGATGACTTGGGGCTTTGATCTGGTTCGATGTTGCTGGAAGGTCAGTCGAGTTGGTGGGGGCGACAAGGCGACAGATTTGTCCTGCCACTCTCTTCCTTATTGGGCAAGAGGACGCGTGCCACTGATGGCGCCGTTATTTCTTGATGCAAGCGTCGGATGACATGTTTCTTGTTCACTTGGCAATCTGTTTAGCTAATTATCGAGATTCAAGACGTGGACTATATGTATTTGAGAAGAGTTTGGGCAGAATGCGAGGCCTATCACCAATCAATCACTCACTCCCTCTTCGAGATATCCATGAGTCACTGTGCTTACATGCTCAACGTGCTGCTCCTAGGCTATTATACGCAACTGGCTGCAGCTGGCCTCCACTCATCAGAGTGGTCGATCAGGGACACCATTCCCCACTTCTGTATGTCCTGGACGGTGTGAAGATGAAGCAACGGGTCAACATGTCCGGTATCTCAAGCCATCATACAAGCACGAGACCCTTTGCAGAGCTCTCTTGATCTGTCCTCTCTGCTCTCCTCGTCTTGAGTGTCTCCAGGAACCACGATTCAGAATCCCAAGACCAGATAACTCGATCAGTTGAGACCTGCAGCCCACGCCGTTTTCAATCGTAGGCTATCCTATTCGTATTTTGTGGTCCTCTGCTTGCACAGAGGTCGACGTTGCCCGACAACCCAGGAGGGCCCTTCAACGTAGAACCCTCCATGGCATTCCTGCTGGGCCCGCCCGATCTTTTATCAACTTATGGTTGCGACAGCAAAGGGCATATTGTCTCATCGTCGGATTGCGAGCCATTCGTTTGCATCCGAGAAAAGTTTAGCCTCCTTGACTTCAGTTCCAGGTACTTGACTTGCGACATAGATCTGGTACCCGTCAGCATGCAAAGACTTAGTCGGTTCCCGTATGCTTACCGCATCCCAAAGTGTCCAAGCCTGATCCAGACTTTTCGTCAAATGTCCATTGCCTCTAAGCTGCTGGAACCAATTATACTTTCCTTCCTGATGCTTGATCGCCGTCTTGAGAGCGTCAGTTGGCTCCGCATCCTCGCTCACGGCATCGAGATATGTCTTGGCCGCAATACCCAAACCTGAGCCATTGTCACCGGCAAAGGGGAGTCTAACGTGTTGATCAGCATTCTGTCACCCACATCATGTATGCGACGAACCTTTGTACAATGACTGTCCAGTCATCTCGGTCTCGATCAACATCACCATTGAGAAACATGCTGGTCAAGACCGTCTCTAGCAGATCTCTCAACGACCGTCGCACAGCAGTGATCTTCCATGCATATGTCAAGAGCTGTCGATCGAGCGGACCGACGAATCCCATTGGCTTGTGTCGAATGCGGCCCAAGCACGCCGTCTTGGAGATCAAGTTGGTGAACACCTTTCTAGGGTAGTCCTTGTCTGCTCATGGATCAATACGAGTTTCAGTATAAAAGACGCTGTGCTTACCAGTCTTTGCAACGGGGGTTCCGGTGGCAAAGTTTCCAGTGAAAAGTCCGAGTCTGAGCATTTCGATCCCAACAATTGCTTGCTCTTCGTCGGCGACCGACAACGCTGCTTCGAGTGCCTTTCCCCACGTGGTCAGCTGATGCTTGTCATCGACAAACCCTCGAACGTGAAGAAATCGAAAGATGGTATTTGCAATGACTTCATCAGTTGTGCGCAGTGCCGGATGCGGCACTTTGACGGGGCCAATGGTCTTCTCGGCAAAGGATGGATCCTTGAGAGCCCGCAGGCAAGATAGGAATGCAGAGTCGTGCTACTATGGTCAGCTGAGAGTCTAGATGGCGATAAATGGGACAACGTACCCCTGATTCTGCAAAGATGGACTCGATATCCGAACCTCTGACCTTCCATGGTGATAGCTTCATCTTGAATGGAGAGGTGTTTCTAATTTCGATTGTGAGGCTGCTTGTGTCCTGGGGCACCCAGGGATCGACCTTGACAACCCTTGATTGATAATAGTAATGGAGAGATTCTGCCAATATCTTGAGTGCTTCGGTGCGAAGTGGGTTGAGAGACTCAATCACCAGACGTCGATATGGTTCTGAGTCCAAAACACCGCCTGGAAGCGAGAGGACGATTTCACCCGAGGTCAGCCAATTCGGTATCTGCGATCCCAAAATACCACGAGAGATGTAGAAAAACAACTCCTCCGGCAGTCGCTGGCCAACGAACTCGTGGACGTCTCCAGGTGCAGTGTCAAAATTGAGTGGTGCTACAACGCCAGACTTTTCGAGGACAACGTGATGCCTGATGGTCATGATCGCCTTCTTGTATCTGGTCGAATAGTTGAGTGCTTGTACTTGGGGATGGTCTCGGTGGAAGCCACACAGCTGGATGACAGACTTGTTGACTGAGTTCAACAAATTGATTGCATCCACGATTGTCACTGGCTTGCCGGTAGCCATGCCTTCGAGAACGGGGAAGATGGGGGTATAAGAAGTACCGAGCAGCAATTGAGCGTCTCGGAGGGTATCGATGTTGACCTTGAGCACGTCTTCACATGTATGCCGGGCCAGGAGACTCAACGTCGATTTGTTGTGGTTGATATCGGTAACAATCTTATCAACTCCAAAAAGAAAGGCTTCTGTGCTTGCCATGACTGCATCAATGTACTGGTCCGGTAGATTGAGGAGGTAAGCCAACTAGAGGATGTTAGTCTCGGGCAGTAAAAGCTCTAGGCTAGTGAACACACCTGAGCTGTAGCACTGTAGGGAGCCACGATGAATTCGACTTTGTTCTCAATTAGAATTTTCTGCAAGGGCCGGGTCATGATGTCAATGGGATATTTGGCCTTGCCAAAATCTGCAACAGTCTTCTTGCTATCTCCGCTCAAGTAGTGATGCCACGCCTCATCCTGGACCCGTTTACTGTCCACGGAGAGAGAATCTGGCTTGCTCTTGTTCACAAAATCCAACCCATTGAAGACAAAGATCGGCGTGACGCCATGCTGACGCAGAAGGGCAATATCATCTTCCACGGCCTTCTTGTGGCAGAAAGGAAGACCGCCAAGGGCATGTTTGAGAGGTTCTTCATTGTTGCCGTTCAGGCGGAGGTCTAGGTAGTAAGAGGCATCGACGCCGATGACTGCGTCTTTGAGAGATTGGAGTTGACAGAAGTCGACGTGCTTGCTAGCCCAGGAATCGAACTTTTGAATAGGCACTGGGAAAGAGTTAGATTCTCGCGCATTAAATTGCAGTTGTATCTCTTACCGGACATTGCTTGAAGTGCTAGAGAAAGGGAGTACAAGGTGAGTGGGGTAAAATCGTGAACGCGACAGCAAGGACCGCGGGGATTGCAATGTGCATAAAAGAAGAAGAATAATAAAGAACGTATATGCAGCTAAGTTTTGGTCAGATCGTTGTCGGCGTAAAAGATGACGACGTCGTCGATAGCCACGGATGGCGCTTGTTGATTTGGTGTCTCGTCCAAATAAAAAAGTGACAGACAGGACAGACGTCTTGAAAGTCGCAGGATGGAGAAGCAGGGGCAAGCGCACTGTGGCACTGAACTGGCCAGTACTGATGAGTAGTGGGCCTCTTTAGCTCCTCCAGGTGCTGGTGGATGCCCGTGCTCGCTCTTAACTGGCGCCCGGAATGCCTGAAGAGCTTAAGCCGACCACTTAAACTCTGGACTGGAACTGAACTAGCACGAGGCTGAAGCAGAGAGCTTGGAACGGGATTGCTGACATCTGATTTGATGACGACGTTGGCCAAGGCTGACCAATTGTCTGCGGATTGATTTCCTGCCTTGTGGGTTGAGATAGACGCCTGGTTAAGATATATCACTTGACACGGCTGCGTATTTGTGTATACAGTACGGACACTATGAGATTTGAGACCCGACGCCAGTTGCGCAGAGAGAAACCCATCGATAAAGGTGCTAACAAATAAGTGGCGTGTCAACTCAACCTACTCATCGTAGGTTACCGTTGTCCAGAACTGATAAAGTTATCAGTTGGATCATATTGATTCCATGAACATCTGATCCCGAAGGGTTTCTCACATTCTACTTACCCTTCCGCCAACAACTATCGCACCCGGAACCCCCGACCATGGGCTCATCTCAACAGCAAAATGCTCCTTCCGCCATTCAACTCCCCATCATCGACATCTCCAACCCAGACACAACCGTTGGCGCACAGATGCTCGAAGCCGCCCGCGAATTCGGATTCCTCTACATTGACCCTAAAGGCACCGAATTCACAGAAGACCTAGTCGTACGGCAATTTGAATTGTCACGACAACTATTCAGCCTCCCAGACTCAGACAAGGAAAAGTGCCGCATCAACCGCAGTAATCGAGGATGGACGGGCATGGGTGGCGAAACCTTAGATCCCAGGACACAGCGCAGGGGCGATCTGAAAGAGGCATTCAACATGGGAGAATTCATCAACGGCCGACCAGAGCAGCCATTACCTGACTTGCTGGAGAGGAACATTGAACTCTTATTAGAATTTGAAGCCTCGTGTCGAAAGGTATCTGCGCAAATACTAGATCTTCTAGGTCTGGGGTTACAAATTGAAGATGCACAGTTCTTCTCGTCTCGACATACCCAACCTAGCGGATGCATTTTTCGATTATTACACTACTCCCCTCTCGCCCAAGATTCGGACTACGACCCGGGCGTCGATATCCGGGCAGGAGCTCATTCTGACTACGGCAGCGTCACGCTCTTATTCCAACGTCCATCTCAACCAGGGTTGGAGATACGCACATCCGACGATACTTGGGCCCCGGTCCCAGTGTTTCCGGAAGGGTATGAATCATCGACAACTTTGCCACCGATTCTGGTGAATATTGGCGACCTCCTGTCATATTGGACGAATGGTCTGCTGAAAAGCACCGTCCACAGGGTTGTGTTCCCCAAGGACAGTCAAAGTGCAGGCGAGGACCGGTATTCGATTGCTTATTTCTGCCATCCGGCTGACCAAGTTGAATTGATTCCTGTGCCCAGTCGCATTGTGGCTGAACATGTCCCAGATCAGAATGCAGAGATCGGATATGGCGGTGGCACGCCTTCCCAGCGGGCTCTTACTGCGCAGCAGCATTTGTTCAAAAGGCTCGAGGCGACTTATGGGTTCCGGGGGGAGGCCTCTGCCGTCTAGTCTACGCGCTTGGACAAAGGAAGATAGAGAATGATAAATATATGATTTTGTGGTCGAGACTATAGTAGCTCGACACATGGGTCTGAAACTGTACATGGATATATGGGATGTCAATGAAGAATTTTCGTCGTTGGCTTATGAAGTCATGATATTTGAGAGACTTGTTCTCTACCACCGCCAGCAATCCAAAAACATATCTGGCCTCTTGATGCCCTTCGCATCCCTCCGACCCCTCCAGGCATCGCTTCTTCTCCATCCTGTCTCTCACTGGCAAAAAGTGATGTGTGATGAGCCACAAGACGGCTAAAAGTCCATCTCGCCTCGTGGCATAGTCATCTTCGGACTTTGTACACCGTCTCACTATGTATGTCAACCCTCATTCAGCTCAGGTCATGTCATATCAGTTGGGCACGACCAGACCCATCGTTAGACTCGAACACTCCTCAACTCCAAACTCAAGTGATAGTAATACTCCACGGCTATGATAAGTAGCATTTTCGTCAAGCAGATATGTCAAGTTCAATGACTTCACCTCTTCGCCGCTGTTGGCACAAGCGTAGATGCTTGTTCTGGTTGCTGGCACCAATGTCGATGCATGGTCCAAGACTCGCGTTGGCATTCCTACAGGATAGCGTTAGTCAACCTTAAGGCACTTGTGCAATTTCTAGGACTCACCTTGCTGCAATATTTGGTTCGCCGACAACGTCTGCACTTTGCGAATTGTCTGGTGTATTCTTCCCATTTGCCGCATTGGTAGTTGGCACATTGGCGGATGCCCCCGCGAGCATCATCTTTCCTGCACAGATTCCGCATTACGACACTAGCCCAATACCGCATGTCTTGAAAGTGATGTCGAACGGTAAACTTCTCGACCAACGGGAAGATATTATAGTCGTCAGGCTGGAGAAACTCCTCCTCTTCGTCTTCGGTGGGTTCCGGGAGCAAAGAGCCTTTAGGACCCGGGCCATAAATACGCTCCACTTCTCGGTCGATTCTCAGGCGAGGCACGAGATGCGTGCTTTGGAAATAGTGCCGCAAGTAACAGTACTTTGAGATGTATGCAAGCAACTGCAGGCCCATGAGGACATCTTCCTCGCGAAGCTGCAACGCCGTGGTCGAGACCGGGGATGTAGGATTTCTCAGGAGAAGGTTTGGGTACGCATTGAGTGGGATGGCTGGAGATGCCGCTGTCGCTGGAGCACCGGCGTTGGGGGAGACGCCCACAGCCTCGTGGCCTGCGGTCATCAACGGATTGCCCATGCCAGCAACGATGGGGGTTTGCTGGGCAATGTCAACGTTGTCAATATCCTCGTTGCCTTGCACTGGAATTGTAAGTGTCAACGGTTGCCTTTCGTCCAGGTCTGGGTCATGAGGGCTTGGGTCCCGGGTGGGGACTCGACTTCGACCCTCGTTTGTGTCTGGGTCAACAATGCCTTCCTCATCTACTGTGACATCTTCCATGACTGCATCATCAGTATCACCACCTGTGGAGTTTTGGTGTCGTATAGAAGGTCGTCTCATCCTGCGTCCGATGGGCGACAAGAGACCTCGATGCGTCGGTGCGGATGGGGTGGTAGGAGAATCAGGGTGGGAGGTAACGCCTGTATTCAGCGCGGGTAGCATGGACGGTAGTCTGTCAATTTCACGAACAGGCCTCAGAGAGAAGCCGTCTGCGGTGTCCATCGACGGGACGGCGGTAGCCGGAGGTTGGATGTTGGAGGGTCTTTGAAACGAATGTCTGGTGTCATCGCTGCGATTACTATGCGAATGGGTTCGAGAAAATGCGGTGCGCTCAGGTGGGGAAGTCAGTACACGCGCAGGTGTCGCCGCCGACTCTCCAGTGTTGTTTTCTGCCCCGCTGAACGTTTGGGAAAATGGCTGCGGGATGTCTAGAGAAGGAGGAGGGGCCTGACGACGGGTGGAACGGTTGTCGACGGAGGCATGGAGGTGTTCGAAGAAGGAGGTTCGCGTGGACTCCTGATTGTTGTCTCGGGAGAGTCTGGAAGATCTGGAGCTGCCACAGGCATGAGAAATGTTCCTTTTGGCTTGTTCGGCGTCGGCCTTCTGTTTCTCTCTCTCGAACACCAGAATATAATCCCACAGAATGGTGGCAATAACAGGGACCATATCAGCCTCTACCACACGAGTCCTGACGAGTTCTGAGCCTCGCACACCAATATTGACAATGCACTGAAATGCCAGGTTCCATTTCCACATGTGCATTTCATCTTTGCTTCTGCCCTCTTTTAATATACATACCAAACGTTCAACGCCTCCATCGACTGTGAGAATATCTCTGATTCTTGCAGACGATGTTGTCAGGTAGGCCAAGTGGTTGAGGGAATTAATCAGGGGAAGCGTGGAGGTGCAGTCTAGGGCTCGGCGGTCATAGAGGGTGGTTGTTATATGAACAGAAGCCTTATTGACATTGGGAATGCTGAAGTTGACCTCTCTCATCGTGCTCCTAGAATCTCGAGATCCCAATCGAGCATGTAAATCAAGGATTCAGGTTGTGATTGTTTGTGCGTCCGTGGATGGGTGTTGGATCTTGGACGCGACCTTAGGCCTTGGGCCTGGCTGCTTTGCAAGAAGGGCGGCCAACTCGAGTTGTGGAAGGTCGGACGATGACTCGAAAATAGGTGCAGTGGTTCGAAGAGGATGATCAGCGGTCGTGGGATGAAAGGATTTGCGATGGAGGGTCGAGGGAAAGATGAAGAAAATGACTTCTAAGAGCCGGGGGCAACGGCAGAAGGGTGTGAAGGGCCTACTCCATGCAGGTCTCGATCGTCACAGCTTGTGGTGGTGATGACAGTGATGAATGAGTGTTGGTATGGATGGTTAGATGCGAATTGAATTTGTAATATATATCAATGCAGGCAGGGAGTTGGATCGACCGATGGACGTGTGAGGGCGATGAAGGCAAGTTGTCGGACTCGACGATGTTGTAGCGCGGAAGGGGTCGACAGTGATTGAAGTGTGGGATTGATGACTCGAAGAGGGGATGGTGTCGGTAGAGTCGAGAGGATGGAATGAGGAGAGCAAGTCGGTGGCTGTACAACAGGTCGAGAAGGGGATGATGGCGGAGATGGATGGACAGAGGCCGGCAAGGATGATGAAGCGCAACAATGGCGTCGGTGCTGGCAGGGGACTGGTAGGGCGATTGTTAGCAGGCCCTCGGTTCACAGAAGTTCATTACCAACCCAAGCTACGGGTAATAAAATAGGTAGGAAAGGACAGTTGCAGCGCGGCGGGAGCGTTGCCACTGGCCAGGTCTTTGCAAATAATGGACTCCCACTCGACACCAGACACCAGCCTGCAGAATTATTGCCTGCGCCCTCTACTTAAAGACCGACTAGTTCGAGATTATCCACGACGGTTGAACGCTGCACTGCAGGATTGCATGCTGGCAACAATGCAATGCTTCTTGGACGCCAGTATGTCCCGAGTTCTTCAATCCATTTATGATGTATGCACTCTACATTATGTGTGTCTGATGGAATTCTGCCAGCCACAGTCATGCACCGGCTCACGAGCTTCTCGGCTCGTGGCAACGAGAGAATGCCATTGACAAACTCAACTTGACTTTAGCAGTCATATGCCCCTCTGGGCTACGGCCTACGGCCTGGGCAGGCCTTCGCCTGGCCACCAGTGCCACCTTTGGTTCCTCAGGGTGGTGTCAGGCAGTCTGTACCAATAATTTCCACCTCCAGCAGCCTGGTGCCACCTGGCGTGCAGCATTCAGGCTCTAGGCTTTGCAATCTGAGGCTCCATTGGACACTCACAAGCTTGGCCATTTTCAAACCATGCTCACGCATTGGTCTTGCTTGTTGTTAAACAATGTTGGACCGAGCAAGGCTAACTCACGCCTGTGACCGTCTGTCAATTACCGCTTAGATTGCCGCTTTGTCTTTGATAGTTGCCGTTTGACAAAAGTGCACGAGGCCATGGCCAACAACTGTCATCCCGAGTCTCATCGAATATATCTCTGACATTTACCTTTAAGGCTTCTATTCAGTATAGACGCGTGTCTATGAGGATCTACTCCCTGGTGTAGATGCAAAGGATGGTCCACCCATGCAGGAGGTTGATCTACTTCAGTTTAGTATGCATCTTTAGACAGTAATAATGAAAATGTTCCGTGACCCGCACTTTGCCCTTCACACTTCAGGGGGACAGCTTCCATATGTCCCCGCTGCAATTTAGAACGGCGTCGCGCCCATCTCTGGTGTCGTCTGGTCTTTATTTCCGTGTCGTTCTTAATGTGTTCAAATAATTATCCAGGCATTTTGGCGAGGCTAGAAATCAATGCGGTCGCAGTTTGAGGGGCGTGGCGATCATCTCAAAGGCAATTACTAACAAAGTGGCATGCCAGCAGCTCTGGAACAAGGGCAAAGTTTACGACTGTGGTGTGGTGGGTGGAGTTCAGTCCTATTCGTTTGGTCGAGCCAGCTTCTACTCCATAAGTATGTGCTTTGTTCAGACAACCACGCTTCCCGCCTTCAATAATGATTCGCCTTGCACACTGTTGGCATGCTTTGAATTACCAGTCAAGGCTTCAATAATCTCGACAGCTTTATTTTGACAATTTTCTGATGGTTGCTTATAGCCGCGGAACTCCACCAGGATCCTGATTGCCGGAGAATTGGAATTGGGCACATGCCCTTCTGTTGTCCCCTTGGCTCTTGAGATGTCTTGACAGGCATGCGGCGGCTACTGGACCAATCCGCCACCCGCGGGGCTTGCAGATCAGCGATGGAGAAATGCTGCAACTCCTCACGAACGACATGGTACTATTTTCGGATGAGTTTGATGCAGCCAACTCCAAACAGATAATGTACAGATTATCGGCCATGGCTGGGCTTGCTCGGTTCTTGAATGTCATATTTGCCTTACGTTTGCTCCATATCAATGTAGAACCTCAAATCCGAGGTCGCGCGACATCCTGACTTGTGGTTTGCTAGATATTGCCTGTCACCTGATTTTCTACTATTTGACAGTCTCGTACTAGAAGATGAATGAGAGGAGAGCGTAGTGTACATGATGTTGACGACAGAATACTATCGAGTATCAATTTTCCCAGACCTCACAGTGCAATTCTCCCACGGCTACCAAATGCGAGAGCCAGCCATCCTGCGATTAGACATAGACCGCCGATCGGAGTGACAGGACCAAGATATTTGAAGCGTTGTGGATCAAGTACCAAAAGGTAAAGACTGCCACTGAACATGGTCATGCCTGCGATGAAAAGTCCACTGGCCCATCGGTTTTTGGGTGCAATCGAGTGTGCCAGAAGAAGAACACCGCTGTGGATGAGCTGTACGGAAAACATATCAGGCTGAAGTGTTTATTGCGATAGAGTAAAAGCAAGGCTACGTACCTGATATTGAGCTGCTGTCGACCAATTTGCAAGCTTTTGGGGATCAGATATTCTCTTCTTCAGTCCATGTGCTCCAAAAGCACCTAACGCGACTGCCGTTGCTCCGAAGATAGCCCCAACACGGAACACTACCATGATGACTGCTCAGGTGATAGCTTGATGTCTTGACAGGGTTTGTGTCTGGAAGAGCTCGATGATGGAGGGGTTAGCAGACAATGCCTAGGCTCTTCCTCTTACTTCGGGCTGGGAGACAGAGGTTTGACGTGACTCTCGATTTCCAAATAGCTTCGCTGGCGGTGTTCCTAGGCTTTTTCCATTCGCATAATGACACACCGCGACTGAGTTAACGATATGCGAGTTCTGCAGGTTCGCTGAAAAACAATGGCTTGTCATGTTTGCACTGTTTGCATTTGTGCCCAAGTCGGCGCCCGTTCGGCTCAACTGCCGCCTTCGGGTGCCCGGGGACGTTACGGAGGCTCCCGCAAGGAGCACAGGAGCACCTGTAATGGCGGTAGGCATGCCCATAATAATTCTCCTTCAGCTGGATGGAAGCAGCTGAAGCCATGGTCTATTGGACGTTCCCGCAGGTGGGGATAGACCTCTGACAAGCCCGCTGTCGATCATCGAGCCACAATTCTTGCCCCCAGCTCAAGCGCACAAAATCGACGCCACAATAATATAGACGAATGCCCACTTACCTACGGAGTACAGTAGTCATCTTGAAGCAGGGAAAGGCCGAGGAATCTAGCTGCCAGTAGCTTGCGCATTATACTCTGTAGTTTCTGTTTTGACGGTCCCCATGGTATTGATGTTCTTTGACTTTTGCCCAAAGTTTTGGGGCAAGTACTTCTGGAGGATGGGAGGGCGGAAATACGGCACGCCTATCGAGAGTTTTTGCCTCCGAGCGTATAAACGCAACCAACGCACCGCACCCACAACGCTGGTAAGAGGCCTAGAACAAACAGGGGCGTATCCCTCAAACTCAGACACGCCAGGCAACTCTGTGCACGGAGGTTCAGACTCAAACATTGGGCACGAACCAGCCTTGGCGTCCATCATGTCACAAAGACCAGTGTCCATGCGAGGAGAACAGACCACCATCTGAGATACCTGATGCCCACAGATGAGGCTCGTGAGTAATATCCATATTTCAATAATCGACTATAGTATCATATATTCATAGCATTTACGAAACCTTTGAAAGGAGCGGAAGACAGTAAGACAAAATTGGATCTCCACGTGCATGATCGACACAAGAAACTTCGCCTTGAGGTTGACGACTTTGTGGATTACAGTAATTCTGCACCTCTTGTTTGCCGATTCTCGTGTCCCGTATACGAGGAAGCTGATCACGGGCATGACGATCAGAACAGCATCAATCAAGCAAGCTAGACTCAAGGTCCCTGAGGTGAGACTTGTCGCATAGTCCCCAGACCTAGCTAGGATCATTATGGGAGGTTAATACTGGAAGATAATTTTGAAATTTTTTGGAAAAAGGGATTTCATAACAAGTCTATTTGAACAAGCCCTGCGGGAGTGCATATCCCTCAATCAATTTTGTTTGGTCAAAGGCTCTCTTTGTCTGCAAGTGTTCTCTCGTTTCGAGACGCGGATATCAATCGAATTTTACACGAGTCAGAATCCCAGTCATGGCGCTGGACACTCCTGCATCCTAGGCTTTTAGGCTCCTAACGCATTCATGCGGAGTATCTGCACTGTAGTCCATAGGGGAGATCGTTCTGTAATTTGGGGTGGCACCAATGTGTTGGGGGTACCACTCCTAGGCACGATCGTCCAATCTCTCTTCCGCCCCCAAGGTACGAACCAGCACTTTTAATGTTTCGCTTACTGAACTAAAGCCTGAATCTCAGTCTCGGACCCGCACCTCTGCATCTACGGAGTACTGCGAATCCGACCACCGCACGGATTACTAACAAGGCTGTAGACTGTCTCACGGCCGGAACACCACTATCATGATATTTTTAAAGTACTAGCTCCATTATCATCAGGGTTTTTCTGGTTCAAATAATTCGAGCTGAACTCGGTCTTGACATCATGTATTTAGTATACTGAACCGGGCTCCGACAGATGAGATAATTACAAAGAACGATTTGATGAAGTTGTACCATTGAGGACGCTGGTTTTTTAATCGATCAGATCTTTGACTTGAAGAAATGATAATGAGATAATTACGGTATCTAAGAACTATTCTTGAGACCGTTCACTTGGCGACTGGCTATTTGAATCCATTTCTGAAGCTGGATGACGATTCCAGGCAATTGGAAGGTTTGCAGGTCGAATGAGAAGGTACAAATCCGGAAGTGGCCGTACAGCCAGTGATTGACACCGTCTATCATGCAAAGCGGGTTGTTGCGTTGCGCGAACGCCGGGGGCCCACGGCAGTGGGGCACTCGGCCCCTCGGTCAACGTCCTTAACCTTTTGGGGGCACCTAAAGAATGAAGGTTTACTCCCGCCATCCTGGGCTCTTCGGGACCGTCCATTCCCAGTCGGCTCTGGTGATCAAACAGGCCTTGGGAGTGAGTCTCGTAGCTGCTAGGTACTAAGCTGCTAGCTGCAACTGCTACGTATTTCCATCCGCTCCACCACCACCGACTACTTGTGAACTGCACTTGTCAAAGGTGTCCCTACCCCGGGCCCCCTCGGCCATAACCCACTACTACTACCACCACCACCACTACCAATAACCCACTATCCACTGTGCAGTTGCCAACTTGCCAGTCAGCACCCACCCGTCCCTTCTGCTTCTCCAGTTGTGCCTGTGCTTTCCTCCTCAGGCATTGTACCTGTTTCTCGTTTCTCGTGCGGACTCGGACTTCGCCTTGATGCTCTGTGTCGCCCTCTACCTTCCCTAATCAATCTTTGCACTCAACCTTCATACCACATCATCAATCAAGATCCTCTGTTCTTCAGACCCCCTACCAGATAGTCACATCGTCTTCCACCCTCCATCCTCCATCCCCAGTTCCCAAGGTCTCGCCTCGACTGGACCTTGCTGCATCGCGCACCCAACTTCGGCAGCGTCTCCTGGGTGGATCGCGGCTATCTGCCCATCCCTGACACCTGCTCTGTTTCGAGCTCCTGCGCCCCGACAACGTCGTCCACGATCGTCCTCCATCGATCAGCTTACCACCCTTTGTGATCGCATCTGGTCCGCACTTGACCACTCCGCGATCATTCTCCTGCGTATCCATCATCTGGTCCGAAAAGGACCAGAATCACCATCATGTCTACCGACTTGACCGGAGAGCAGATGCAGGCCAAGATCACAGCTGCGAGACGAGAAGCCGAGGGACTGAAAGATAGGATCAAGCGCAAGAAGGATGATTTGGCTGACACAAGTTGTAAGTCGGACATCTTCTTCATGTTGTCTTGTCATGAACCAAACAATCGCTAATTAATCTTGGACAATAGTGCGACAAGTCGCCATTAATAACACAGAAGCTCTTCCGCGGATAGGCATGAAGCCCAGACGGAATCTCAAAGGTCATCTCGCAAAGATCTATGCCATGCACTGGTCGACAGATAGACGACACCTTGTGTCAGCTTCACAGGATGGCAAGCTGATCATCTGGGATGCCTACACCACCAACAAAGTTCACGCCATTCCTCTTCGCTCGTCCTGGGTCATGACCTGCGCATACGCCCCCAGCGGCAATTATGTTGCTTGCGGTGGTCTGGATAACATTTGCTCCATCTACAATTTGTCCACAAGAGAAGGTCCAACCCGTGTTGCTCGAGAACTGTCTGGTCACTCGGGCTATTTGTCATGCTGTCGTTTTGTCAATGACCGGAAAATCATCACCTCTTCTGGCGATATGACTTGCATGATGTGGGACATTGAGACTGGCTCAAAAATCACAGAGTTTGCAGACCACCTTGGAGATGTCATGAGCATCAGCATTAATCCGACCAACGCAAACATCTTTGTTTCCGGTGCCTGTGATGCATTTGCCAAGTTGTGGGATGTCCGGACAGGAAAGGCCGTTCAGACATTTGCTGGCCATGAATCAGATATTAACGCCATCCAATTCTTCCCAGATGGTAATGCTTTCGGCACAGGCTCCGATGATGCTTCGTGCAGGCTTTTCGACATTCGAGCTGATCGAGAGCTCATGTCCTATCAGGTATGCCGCGATCTCCCACATCTCATGGTCCCACGCTAACCAGTGGTCCCTTCAGAATGAGCAAGTGCTTTGCGGAATCACCTCGGTGGCATTCTCAGTATCGGGCCGTTTACTGTTTGCTGGCTATGATGATTTTGAATGCAAGGTCAGTACATTTATCCCCATCAATGCCTAGCGCCATACTGACAATGACAGGTTTGGGATACTCTACGTGGAGACAAGGTTGGATCGCTCAATGGACATGAAAACCGAGTCAGCTGCCTCGGTGTCAGCAATGATGGAATTAGCTTATGCACAGGTTCATGGGATTCTTTGGTAAGAACACTCTTCTGTCTGAATTTTGATGCCTTCGTAACTAACTCTCTCTACAGCTGAAAATCTGGGCATGGTAGCGCATACCCGTTGGAAGTACTTGTCCGGGGGTGGGAGCGACGTCAAGGAACAGCAGTGTAGCCGGCAACAGCCTGAGCGACTGACGGCGCCGATCTCCAAATTAAATCTGGACAGCACCCTAATGAGGCTCTCTGCAAGACTTGTGTGAGCAGTCTATTTCAACGGTCATAAAGGAGAGGCGTTGGCCATGTCATCCTAACACCATCATCTCCGTCATTCTCCCTCTTCTCGCGGCCCCTAAAAAAGCTCCTCCTGGATAGGCCATGGTGTTCGTGCGTCTTGTGTCGTTTTCGCGCGTATGGGACAGAAACATGGAAAAGGGGAAAATCGGGTTTCTTTTTGTAACGCTCAGGGGACCAGCCGTCCCCTCGAGACCTCGGCTTGTTCAGGTGTCAGGGCTTATGCGGTCAGCTCAGCGTCTCAGACGAGATGTCCTCTCTGAACACCACATCAGCTTTGCCAGGAGAAGAAGCAAGATTTTTTATTTCAACTACAATACTTTGTGCGACAAGCCAAAAAAATGCGTATTTTGAGCCCTGGCACGACTCATGATGATGTGACCGCCGGCAGCAGGGCAGAGTGGTTCTATGATTTTGGCGTTTTTGTTCCATTGAATGACAAGTTGATTGCTGTGAATAATTCACCCATGTTTGCCACCTACCTATCTTGCCTGTGAAGTCCATATCTGCAACGGGCACCAGGAAAATAGAATGGGTCTGCGATGATGGATCGCTGCTTGTGCGCCGACTTGCGCTACATATGTTGGGGATATCTTCTCGTGTCTCCTAAAAGTCCTATAAAACCAATGTAGTAATGTGGTTTGTATTCTGTATCTGTACAAAAGAAGACAATGTTGACCGCTAGCATAGTTGCGCCTTAAAACTCCAATGGAAACGCAATGGTAATCGTCTGCGTCTCAAACAAAGTATGATTGTTCCAAAGGTCGTCCGAGGACGAGGATGGATTATAGAGACAAGTAATCTCCAAGGGTATGCCAATCTTGAACGGCGAGGTTCCCTCCTGGCCGGTCGAATGCCGCAGTAGTGCGCCGACGCCGACAGGATTATCATCATCTTGTGATCAGCAAGCAAGCAAGCCATCAAACTCACTCAACAAGCGCAGCCATCCCTTTCCTGATCCAAGTTGATGTTAATCGGATCGGAGAAATCGCCACTATATTCCTCACTTTCTTCCTGTAGCAGGGCCTGTCTGGCAATGACCTCAAAAGCCTGTTCGACATTGATGCTCTCCTTAGCACTGGTCTCGAAATACGGCATCTGTCCGCGGGACTGGCAATAGGCGTGTGCTCTCTTCTGAGTAATCATCCTTCGATCCTCGCCCACGTCAATCTTGTTCCCTAGTACAACGAACGGGAAGCTTTCTGGATCACGCGGACTCGCTTGGACAAGGAATTCGTCGCGCCACGAATCGAGGCTTTCAAACGACTTTGTCGAGTTGACATCATAAACCAATACGCAACAGTCGGCGCCTCGGTAGAATGCGACGCCTAGTGATTGAAAGCGTTCTTGTCCGGCTGTGTCCCAGAGCTGGAGTGTTACGATGCGGTCGCCGACGGTCACTTCCTTGGTGAGGAAATCGGCACCGATGGTGGCTTTGTATGAGGTGGAGAATTTCTTGTTGACCTATTGTAGAGGGGACTTGTTAGGGTCTGGACAGATAAATAGGTTTGGATGTGGTCGTTGTTGTTGGGGTGTATGCATACATATTGGTTCATCAAACTCGTCTTTCCTACGCCACTGTCGCCAAGGATAATGACCTGCATGATGCGTGAGAAGAGATGGCGATGAGGGGGAGATGGAAACATACCTTCAATAGAACCTTTTTTCTTGAGGACATGTTTGTAGGCCAATCTATCAGCTGGAGGGAGGTGGAAAGAGGTGAAGGGAGTTGAGGTCGGGAGCTCGAGGTGTGCAGGCAATGGCAGGCTTTATTTGTGGTGTTCTGGATGGATAGAGACGCTGGTGGGTGCGCAAGACACCGAAGAAAGATTCAAACTGTGTGATGGGATGGACGTGAAACTGGAATATGGTGATGATGGCAGAAGGAGGTACTGGAAGTTCGTTGAAAAGGAATACGAGAGATCAATTCGATGCAGTGGAGGATAAAGCCAGGTTGAATCATATTACAGCATGCAGGCATCATGATCCACCGCCACGAGGACAGAGTAGGCGACTACTCCAAGGGATGCTTCCAGCCACCGAGGCTCCCTGAGGGGCTGGATGGAGGTGGCCGAGGGGCTTATCGTGGGGGCGTTGGAGGGTTCTAGGCACGCTTTGGCATGGCATCAAATACTGTAAGTACCTAGTCGACGGGGGCCAAAGGAGCCTCGTCCTGTGTGGAGCAGTTGGAACTTTAGGCACCACGACTTGAGTGCTTTAAGTTGCCCACTATGACCTACCTAGTTAGGCACTAGGCAACCTTATCATATCAGAGCCGCAAAGGGAATCTTTGCCGACACATCGGGTTGTCCGTCGCTGTCACCCAAAACATACGAGTCTGAGGATGACCGTCTGATAATTCCTCGAGTTACACTTCACAGCCTGTGACTTGGAGAACAAGATCATAATGCATGTCCGCTGAATTCAATGTCTGGGTGGGTCGAGCAGTACCTCGACGCTTTACGAGCAAGAGACGAGAAGGAAAAGGCAGCCATTGATGTATACAGACAATGTAAGTGACACTTGGAAGCACAAGACTTAGGTGTTTCTCCTCTTATGGCCATCTAGGTACCAAGTTGCAGGACCAATGGGCTCAAGCACAACAAACACAGCGCAGGAGGGTAGCAGAAGATATACCGCAGCAAGCCAACCCCCCACCGCCATCGATCATGGGTAGAGGTTTAAGACGGGTGACCTCACCACCGCTTCCAACAGCATCAGAGTCTGCCAACCTGGCTCAATTGCGACAAGATCTCGCCAAATCTCAACAAGAAAGAGGGGAGATGAGCACCAAGCTGGAGGTCGCTCTGCGCGAATTGGACACTCTGAGAGGCAAGGCCAGAGTTGACGTCAAGCGGATCAATCAGCTCAACACCCAAGTGACTCAATTGGCGGTCAAGTTGAAAGACCGAGAGGAAGAGTTACGGGGCAAAGCCAAGTTGATTGAGAATGTTCAAGACGAGAATGTGACTCTCAACCTTCAGCTCAATATGGCGGATGAGCAGGCGGAGAAACTCAAGTCAGAGAACAAGGAACTCGTTGACCGATGGATGGCTAGAATGGGCAAGGAAGCTGATCAGATGAACGAACAGCATAAGTTTGGCTGAGACGATGTGTGTTGTGGAGGTATCTTCTACCTAGGTTGCTACAACTACTACGAATAGGCGTTTCAGCAATGCAGCGACGACTGAAGGGAGTCATGAACAGCACGGGGGTATTCTCGAAAATCAGACACGGATCAGGAACGGGTGATGAAAGCAATAGAGAATCATTACTTAGTATCGGGTTGTCATAGAGGTGAAAGCGCTGTCTCAAATGACTCCAGGTATTCTAAGGATGCCGATGGGTGGGTATAGACATCTTACCGTGGACTGAAGATGAAGCCAGGATCCAAGTAGTAAAGGTACCTAAAGGAGCACGTGTGGCTTCAGTTCAGGGGTTCAGTAATCCATAATACTCTGCTGTACGGAGTATTTACCTACCCACTTAGTAGTGCTTGGGTATGACGACGCGTGGGTAAGGGACTGCGGAAACAGGAACGGAGCGGCAGAGCAGTTACGTGGTTACCTAACAACAGGCGCTACCTACCTCATTATTATTCTTCCACCAAGGCAACCCCCAAGCCTTTGAGGTTCAGGTGTCCATTTCTTACCACATCACCATCCAATACATCGACCTGATCTATCTCGATGAAATTCGAAAGCCTGACCGTTGTCTTCAACTCTTCGATGCCATAGAACCTAGGCTGTCACTTGCAGTTCCCATCGTTCCTCGCTTCCCATCTCCTAGCGCAGGGCATCTGTTGACCTACGGCATGCGCTCTTGCCTATAATCCCAGATCAAACCATCCGCCTCATCAGCCTGCACCATTGTTGCCAGTCTCTCCCTCTTGGTTCCACGATCGCTCGAGCCCCTCTCGTCTCTCATTTACCGTCATCATGCGGCAATGGGCACCTTCCCTCGGCTTGCTTGCATATCTTGCAGCCGTCGTCGCAGGCAATGAAGTCAAACTGGTACGAACCCTCTCGAGTCCCCATAGTCCACAATACTGATCAGATTAGAAACAAGATAACGCCAACCGGCAGCGGTGCTCCGGCATGTATAGCAGGAAGGCCTGGGGTGGTGCGGTTGACCCCTTCATCCTCGTCAAATTTCTCCCCGACAACACCGAAGACGACTCCGATCCCATCACCAGTTTGATCGTTTTTGAATGGCAAGATGAGACCTTGATTGGGCGAGTGGCCCCCGGCGGAGACCCATATCGAGACCTTGAGACCATCTGCAGCACTGAAACTGTCAATGCTGGTCTATGTACGAATGAAGAAATCGGGTCATACATCCTTCAGCCCAATGCCACAGAGAACTCATTAAGTCCTATCATCAACGAGGCTATCCACCTCAAAGATCCCAAGGCCATTAATTATCCGATCCGTCGCACTGGCTACTACTGTGTCTCTTCCTACGCCTTTTCTGGCCATGAGTATGACGCAGTGGTCGAGTTCAGAAACGCCTACGGCGAGTTGCCAGCAGCACAGATTGCCAAACTCCCATTCTATGGTGGTCTCGCCATAGTTTACGCTGTCCTCGGCGTTTTCTGGGCTTTCCTCTACTTCCAAAATCGGTCCGACATCTTGCCTGTCCAAAATTACATTACAGCTACTGTGGTGTTCCTCATCATTGAACAACTCATGACATGGGGCTTCTATGACTATCAAAACCGCCATGGCAACAACGGCCTCAACAAAGCATTCATGATCCTCGTCTCCATTCTGAATGCTGCTCGAAATTCTCTCTCATTCTTCCTTCTACTGATAGTCTGCATGGGATACGGCGTTGTCAAGCCATCCCTGGGCAAGACAATGATCTACGTCCGTATCCTAGCAATTGCTCACTTCGTCTTCGGCGTCGCATATGCCATCGCTTCCATGGCTGTCACCCCAGAGTCTGTCGGTCCCTTGATTCTATTCGTCATCCTGCCTCTTGCTGGCACCCTCACCGCTTTCTACGTCTGGACACTGTCCTCTCTAAACCTCACCATCAAGGATCTAGTCGACAGAAGGCAAAAAACAAAGGCCATGATGTACAAGAAGTTGTCATGGTGTATCTTGGGCTCCATTCTGGTCATATTCGCTTTCTTCTTTGTTAATAGTTTCGCGTTTGCCGGCAGCTCCGAAGCAAATTTCGTTCCTGATCATTGGCAGACAAGATGGTTCGTCCTGGATGGTTGGTTAAATTTGGTCTATCTCTTCGACATTGCATTTGTGGCATATCTGTGGCGACCCACGGCTAACAACCGACGTTTCGCAATGAGCGATGAGGTAAGATTTCTGTTGACGATGAACAAATTCCATGGCACATGCTAAATTTTCTTCACAGCTTGCACAAGATGATGACGGATTCGAAATTCGAAGTATCGCAGACTCGCTGTCCGATGACGAGGAACAAGCGCGCAAAGATATCGACAGATCCGTCCCTCCTTCTGGGGGCGCGTCAACGTCCCTTGCAGACGCAATCAACACTGAACCAAACCGGCCACAAGCATCCAATAGCCTGCCACAGAATACCAGCAAAGCACCACAGCCACCTCCACAATCTACGCGACCCAGAGAATCACTCGATGGTGAAACCATTTTCGCCGTCGGTGATGATGGGATCGAGTGGAGTGAGGGTGAGGATGAAAGCGATGACGAGACACGAAAATTGAACCGGAAAGATGCAAAGTGAGCAGATTCCGCCGAGGATTGTTCTGGGAGAACATGGCGTCGACCACAAGTCATCTTGCCGCGAAGAACCAAAACCTTCGCACTGCCCTCCAAATCGACCATCAGCAACAATGTGGTCAGAGATTGTGTATACTATGATATCTTACTCATGGCGGACGCCACCGGCATGGGGCTTCGCTGAGTACGGCCTGCGATTGCGTAATGCTGAATGAAGAGAACGCCTACACGGCGGGTAGAGACTTATTTCAACAACTAAATCGGCATGGCTGATACAGACTACTTGTGACTGTCAAGCGACTGGTCTTGATATGGCCTCGATAGTAACTTCCGAGCGCTCGGCCAGTCGCCCTCGTTTCAATAACCATTGTCGGGCTACTTTATTCCATGTGGAAATCATTTGCCTTGTATCCCTCTGGAGTTAGGGCTGAGCCGCCCACCACCATACGCTTCCATAGCCTAATGGCAATGCTCGCCCAATTGTCGCCTTGTCTGGCCAGGCATCACACACAGGGGTCCAGCAATGCTGACACACAACCACTGCTCAGCACCCCTCCAATGGCCCTGGATACCGACTACTCCCCGAGGGCAGACAATACGATGCCTATGTCCAGCCTAGTCCATTCTCACCGCTCAACCCATGTGGATGCAGCCTGAGGGGAAGATATCATTGTGCCAACTTCCGTCCCATCCAACCAAAACAGGTCAGCTTGATAGACCATGTCATAATGACTCGATCACACCGTCCACGGGACCGTGGCGCCTTCGAGATTGCAATCATATGCGCCATTGAAGTGGAGAGCAATGCTGTGGAAGGAGTCTTTGATGAAGTCTGGGAAGGAGACAATGGCTTCGGTAAGGCTCGGGGAGATTACAACACGTATACGACAGGCAGGATTGGTTTGGCCAACGTGGTGTTGGTCTACATGCCGGGAATGGGCAAAGTGGAATCAGCGAGCGTGACTGCAGCATCTCTAGGCTCGTTCCCCAACATCAAGCTTGGGCTCGTTGTCGGCATCTGCGGAGCTGTCCCGATGCCACCGAACAGAAGAGCGATCTTTCTTGGAGACGTGATCATCAGCACAGGTGTCGAGCAGTACGACCTTGGGCGCAGATTCAGACATGGTTTGAGGACCAAGGACACCTTGGATGACAAACTCGGACGATCTACCCGCGAAATTCGATCTTTCTTGAAGAAACTCCGTGGTTTTCAGGGCGGCGAACGCTTGAGAATGGGTACGATTAGCAACCTGACTCAATTGTGGCAGGACAAAAACTTTGGTTCCTACACATACCCAGGTGCTGATGCTGACGTTTTGTTTTCACCCGATGTCCTTCACAAACATTCAGATCAGGACTGCGAGTGTGCTGAAGAGAAAGATGCTATTTGTGATCGAGCCAGGGAAATGAGTTGCAAGGAGCTCGATTGTGGCGAGGAGCTTCAGCCTGTGCGCCAGCGTTCGTTGTTGGTGGGCATTGACGACGAGGGTGTGACCCCTCCACCCCCGATGATTCACTTTGGTAAGATTGCCTCGGGGGATCAAGTGATCCTAGACGCTGTCTTCCGCGACCAATCCTGCCGACGGACTGGGGTGATCGCTTTTGAGATGGAAGGTGCTGGCGCTTGGGACAATTTTCCCACTATCATCATCAAGGGCGTCTGTGACTATGCCGACAGTCACAAGAATAAGAGCTGGCAGTCGTATGCCGCAGCAGTTGCAGCAGCCTCCATGAAGGCTTTCATGTCTCAGTGGGCGAGCTCAGACTCGTATAAACTAGACATGATGTCAACTACGCCAGCCGAGGAAGCTCATGTCAGCGACTTCGATATTCGCAGGCAGAGCACCGCATTACGAGGCGACGCCTTCCCTCACAAACTGTTTCGACCCAATTCTGAGTATGAAGACAATGAGGATCCTTATAACGCTAGAGCCAAGTCTCTTGAATTGCATGGGCTGCCCCATCGCCTTTCTTCACTGTTATGGTATCTTGGACACACGAGCTCGGCGAAATCCATGTTTACTATGGTACTGGTTTTGGCCGTGTTAGCTTTTGTGGCTTCGATCCGGATGCCGAAGATGAGCGGATCCTCTAAACATTCTGCGCAACATTGGGAAGAGGATATCAATTCTAATTACCCGATATTTGCAGTCATTGGCCTCACCGGAGTAGGAAAGAGTTCCTTTATCAGCCTACTCGGCGGAGTCAATGCATCAGATGCACCACCTGACATAAGCGCTGGATTGGAGCCTTGTAAGTTTTCCTGGTCTGTGGTGGGCGCCATATGGCAAGAACTGAGATTGCGACACAGGTACCAGCGACGTCGGACTTTACGAGGCCACGGTAGATGAAAGACCAGTATATTTTATGGATACGCCAGGATTTGACGACAACAAATTGTCAGACAAAGAAGTGCTGCAGCAAATCTACGAGAAGCTACAGATGCTCTCTCAGGGAGACAAGCTGATCAAAGGTATGATCTATTTGCATGACATGAGACAAACACAGATTGGCGGCCTCGCAAGGGTGAGTTTCCAAAGATCATGCTCAGGATAAGATGGAATAACGAGTGTGAAGCAATTCCGAGCCTTTGAGCAAATCCTAGGTGTTGGCCGATTCGAAAACTTTGTCTTTGTAACCACTCGGTGGCTGCAAAATCCAAATGAGACGGAAATTCAGCAGCAGTTAGAAAGGGAGGAAGAATTGAAAAGGAGATACTGGCAAAAGATGATTGGCCAAGGGTCTCAGGTGATGAGACACGACCACAGCAAGGAATCGGCAAGGCTCATTGTGATGAGTTTGATGTACAGGCCGAAGATCAACCTTTCGGGGAACTTTATTGAGAGGCTCAACACATTGTACGACGACCACGAGAATGAGGAGGAGGCCCCAAATAAGGGAGGCGATTCGATCGGTCAAGTACGTATGGCTTACGGATTAACGACTCTCGAGGAAATCGTCTGGACCCTTGACCTGACGATTTTTGCTGTGTGGGTGCTCTGCTTGACCTGGGATACCATGGCTTCACAGGACCCAGAGCCTAGAATGAAGCAGCTTATGATGGCGCTTTTGGCCGGGTTTTGCTCTGCCGCAATGTGCTACCGGTGGGGTATCTTGTCGGCCACTATCATTCTACTGGATTTGCTTGTCGTCGCAACGTGGTGCGTGTCTATATGGGGTTTCATATTTACAAGACCTGCAAGGCAGCCCAGGATGAACCTGGTCCTGCTCATGTGCTTCGTTTCGGCGTGGCTTATTTGGACGAGTTGGCAGACCTACCGTTACGGGCCCGATTCACTAGAGATATATTATGTGTTTCCATAGTGGCACGGCAGCAGTGTGGTGGAGTGGGAGAACCGTGGCAATGACAGGGAAGAGATCACCAGGGGTGGTCTAGATGGCTGACACCGGCTCACGCTGTTGAGGATGTGAGATCAAGTGAGTTCTTTGCAGATTAAATAGCTGTGCTGCGCTCATGAGGCTGGTGTGGCCGAGGACATTTATATTCGTCTGTCTACATACGATGAGATCCATCGCACGAAAGGGACGGCGGACCTTTTTAATTTTGGCGTGTTGATGCTTATTCAAATCAACAGAATCACCCGCCCAGCTTCTTTGCTCGGTCGGATGCAATGTCTGTCATTGCCTGTAGATGAACCAAGACGGGGATCATGTCAGTCGAAATGGACATCGGTGGTGGAAATGGAATGAAATGGAAAAGCAAAGGATACAAATGCTCCGACTTGACTGACCATGATAGCATCCTTCTTCTCCTGCTGAAGATTACTTGTGTCGATACGACGCTGCATATCTTCCATGATGACGGGACGACTTCGACCATTGACGAAAACACTGTGAATATCCAACAAACTTTAGTTCAGTTATCATTCCCAATAAATCATAAGGAAAGAAAGTGGCATACACATATCTCAACCCCGGAAACTTGTCTTCATAAACTTGATTCAAATTGGCCAACCTCTCAGCAATATCTTCACTTGCGGCACCGGCCGCACCATCAGCAGCATTCATCTTCGCTTGCTCAGCTCGACTCTGAGCACTTTCGACTTTTTTCTCGCCCAGACGAGGATGAGCTGCGAGAATTGAAACAAGCCATTTATCGTCACTTTCGAGATTTGAGTCATACAAGCTCATTAGTTGTTGTCCGACGGCGGCGATTAATTCGTCGTAGGATGTGAATGTCTTTTCGCGTAGGAGGCTGACGGATAAAGTGTGGAGTGGGGCACATTTTTCGAACAGTGTGTCGAGGATGGCGGCTCTTTCGTCGGTGGTGAGGCTAGGGATGGTGGTTATGGGTGGGAGTTGAGTGGTCATGGTGGATGTGGAACTTTGTACTCGTTGATGGTTGATGGCTGATGGATGATGGATATCTAAGATAGATAGATACGTACTGGAAATACTATGGGTTGGTTATGATTAGGCGTTGGAGTCAAGTCGAATCATAATATGATGAAAGGATAAGTCAATCCTATCTACAAAGATATAAATCTCAGATGGAGAAGAGATAGAATAGATATCTTTCTCAACCTATTTTACTATCTCGATCGATTTCTGTGGCAAAGCAAAGCTGCCCTGGTGGACGGCGACGTCCGATGACATGACATAGTTTGTACATGTGTGTAGATAGTGACATGAAGATTGCATTTAGTGACCAACTAGTCCATATATCGTTAGTCTGGATCTTGAATCTGGGCAGGTAGCTTCTTTCCTCTTTTGGAGGTCAGAATGGGTACTCGGGGGGCAAGTGCAACCCCTGAATTAAAAAAATAAAAACAATAACATAAATAATAAAATAATGAAAGGGGATAGTGGGAAAGACGTGGAGAGATGATCATCACATCATCACGTGGGTCTAGTCAGAACTTAGATGCCATGTCTTTCAGTTCAGTTCAGGATAGGGTAGGGTTGGATTGCAGAAGTACATACTCCGTGCATACAGTACATTCAGTATATGTGGATGGGTATGATCAATATGTAGCTGCTTCTCCTCCTGCCATCAATCAACACCAACCTACCGAGTATGAATATACGGAGTACTAGCCAGTGGCTTATGACGAATCAATACTCCGTACTCACATCCGCCAAAGGTATTTGTGGCGTCCTTGGGCGTTGACTATTCAAACCACCATACGGAGTACGAGAATCCATAAACGCCACGCCCACCACGCAGGAAATCTTTATTCTCCACGTGGTACTGTAAGATGGATCCGAATCACGAGATTCAATGAGTGTCATACATACTATTCTCTAAGCACCTCCACGGCCAGATGAAGAAAGCTGCTCTCATAGACTGCGTACTCATCTAGGTCAATCAACTCCAACAAATATCTGAGGATGGAATAAGCATGTCGCTAGTGACAGTCCATCGTTGTTTGCCGCCATTGACAGTAGTGACAGCGGACAGTGCACACTACTACTCCGTATATGTGAACGAACCAGCGGTGCAAACGATAGTGAGAGGGATCGGGACGGTAGGTGAATGCCGTCAAAAGTCAAATCCTCTTGGACTCTCTTGTCAGGGTGAGCGGCATTGCGGTTGCGGTTGCGGTTGCGGGGATATGACAGAATCTGAATGATGATTGACCCGCTTCCCACGGTAGGTGAGTGAACGGACCAGACCACAGGCCACAGACCACGCGGACCAACGTCGGTGCTGAAATCTCCATCTCCATCAAGAAGCCAAGTTCAACCTCAAGGCACTCACAAAAGGTTGACATGGGGTGGCACTGGTGGCCCTGTGGCCCTTTGACGACCACGACGGCACACACACAAGCGTTTAACTTTTGACAAGCGGCTCCATGAATATATCCACTTCATCCCAGGTCGGTCGATTTCAGACCCTTAGCGGGAGTGTGTAGCAGAGAGTGGTAGAGTGGTAGAATGGCCATCCTAACGGGCACGGGATCTTAGGATCTGCGGGCCTGGACACATGAATTCAGTTTGGCGTGGATTTTTTAGTGAGTTTTAGCGATGAGGTTCCAGCCAAAGGAAATTGGTCAGAAGGTTTGACAGTGGGAGACCTGGTCGACAGAGATAGTCTGGGTGTTTGACATGGAACAACGAGAACATCTTCATAGTTCAGTGTGTAATTCTTCTCATCCATACTGTTGTTCCTGTTCCCTCCACCCTTCACCTTTGCGGCGGCAGAGCCCCAGCGTCAGTAATGCAAGCCCTTTGACCGTCTGTTTCGGCCATCATCCATACTTCTGCGTCCCTGTATCCCTGCGTCTTCCAAGTCATGTTCGCGTCAAACTTGTCCCCACCATTTGCCCCAAACAGCTCAGGTCTTGACTTTGGTGGGAGTCCACATGCAGTTTGTAGCCTGCATGCCTCTAGAGTAACCCACCAACCTGACCGACCTTTACTTTTAGTTTCGATTTGGGCCTGCCAGGGGAGTGTGGTGACCCTGGTCTAGCGCCGCATTTTGAGCCTGGCAACTTTCGCTCCCTTCAACCACCCTGCCCATGTCCCCATTCTCCCCTGAATATGCAAATGCCCCTCGGCACGGAGCTTGATTGGCACACCTGCATGTGGATGCTCCTCGTTGGTGCGTCTCCAGACTTCTTTGTCTGAGACTTGCTTGCTGAGGACCACCCAGCACCGATGCGACCTGTGTGCCTGTGCATCTCGTCCTCCTTTGTATGACCTCCGCTCCTCCGCCTTGTTTGCGAATGCTGTTCATGCCATAGCATTCTCCAGAAATGCTGAGAGATGTCCTTGAATGGACTGGATGCGGCTGCGGTCGCTGAAGCGCACCAAGCGACGCTTGCTGAAGCTGGAGGATGGTATGTTTTGCTCGTCAACAAACATTGATCCTATCCCTCCACAACACTCGCTGACCGGCGCCTCTAGGTACCTCCTTCGATATACCAATCGCGACACCGTCGAATTGTTGAAAAGGGGATCTGGCGGCGTACAGGACGTTCGCGGTGTCATACAACAGTATGAAGAGAAATCGCCTTTGTATGGCCTGGTCCAGTACCGGCGCAAAAAGATCATCCTCAAGTATGTGCCAGACGGTACTTCGCGCTTGTTACAAGGTACGTTACGGAGTGACTGGTCGTGATCATTCCAGCCCATGCTGGCTTGAAAATTCACCGTATATCCGCCACCATCATCCTCCGCTCTCAATCTGCCAGACCTACCACTGACTCTCCTCATCAGTCCGTCTGACCGTCCAATTCAACACCGTCCTGGAAACGCTTGTCCCTCATGACACCGTCTTCTCCTTTACCAATGCCTCCGAATTGACCGAATCTGCCCTGGGCATGTGCACCATGTTACTCGCCTCAGCCGGTTCTCTAACATCATCGAGTTCCTCTCTACGAAAACGAAGACTGGATGGAATTTCAGAGGCGGTGGAAGAGACGGGCAGTTTACAGGCAGACCACGACGACCACCCAGCAAAAGTCAAGGAAGTCAGTGTGATCGAGTCGCAAGAGCCTGAAGTGAGGGTCTATGGCAGGCGTGAGTTGGATGAACTTCCTGCCAGTGCCGTCCTGGCAAAAGCTCTTCTGGCAAAGCGAAAAGAAGCAGCTGCCGACGCTGAGGCTGCCAACTTGAATGATACCGACCTGGTCGCTCCCGCCGTCAATGGACCCAACACATTGGCCGTCCCAGATCCGACTGCTCAGCCTCTACGCCTCGAGGGTTTGAATGGCCGTGGCCAGCCCTCCCCTCTGCCTGTCCCAGTCAGTCAAAACCTTCCGGCTACCCCCGATTCGACTCCTCCAACGACCAGCTACGGTGAAGCTCCTCGACCTTTGGACTACGAGACCACCAATAACATTCTGCTCGAGTCCTCAGCCGTTGATCACACCGAGTCACTCCCTGACACTCTCCCTCATACCCGCCATTTGTCCGCCGCCGAGTCGGATAGTATCACTCAGTGGAGCAGCAATGTTGCCTCCCTCACTTCTCATACCACCAAGAAGAAGTTAGGCCCAAGACCTCACATCGAACCGAGCCACCGGCCAAAGACCGCAGGCACCTCCAAGAGCTCGGTCAATGTTCGCCCAGTCGCGAATCTACCAGACAGCATCCGTGTCTCGAATCGATCCGTCGTAAGCCTATCGTTGATGCGCCCGACTTCCCGGCAGTCAACTCGCAGCGTTCCCAGTCGCTTTCCCCCATCCTCACATACCATCAATGCCCATCCTCCACTGCCGTCGGTACCACATCTCATACCGTTGTACAAAACGACAGAAAGCAGACCTGCTGCCTCTCGGCCAGGGTCCGTGGCCACAGAAGCATCGGCAACCGCCACGCCCGAGAAATTGAGACTCATGAAAGCTTTGCAGTTACGGAAAAGGAACATGTTGATGGCTCAAAGAGCGTCTGCTTTACCTCACCTACCTACAGGCAGCATTCAAGCCTCAACCCACTCCGAACCTCCTCCTGCTTTCCCTTCACCTGCTACATTTCCCTCGACTCTTCCAAATCACGACCTACTGTCAAATATCGATGAAGAGTCCAAAGTGGCACAGTCTTCGTCCGCCACATCACCCACGCTCATGACCAATCCATCCGAAGACCATTCTACGAAAGCCTCGTCGATCACCGACACTGACGACATTTCGAGAAAACGACGCTCATTATCATCTGCAACAAGTTCTTCTGTTACACCAAAGGCTGACCTCCATCATGTCCAGCCAACACCAAAAACCCCAGATTTAATACCTTCAGGTACTGCTACAGCTGTCGTGCCCCATGCCGAACTAGTGGGGCTGAACCAAGAACCATCATCGAATATCGAAGAGCACAAGGAACCTCCAATAAAGACTCTAGAGACGATCAAAGACGAGTCGCCACGAATTCCTTCATCCCAGCAACTCCTTCCTTTGGCGAGAACGCCTCGGGAGAGGAGTCCGCACCTTTCTGCTCCTTTTGCGGTGTCACCAGCTAGGTCGCGTCGTCCACCCGCATTGCAGCCTCTGAAACTTTCCTCTAGTCATGAATTACTAGGAGTCTCGGATGCCTCCGAAGATGAGGCTCTCATGGATGAGCTGCAGTATGCGACAGTACATGAAGCTACGCCTGTTTCAGTCGCACGGTCCCCGGTAACTCCAGTCTTGTCCAAGGGGAGCTCGGATCGTTTGCGAGAGATTGTCAACAAGACAGCCAACTCCAGCTTATATGCGCGCAGGAGTGCTTCAACAACTCCTGATCGAAATCGACCCGGCAGTGTCAGAAGTACTTCGACCGCATTACCTCAGTGGCCGCCGGTACAGGCAGAAACGGCACCTGTTCCTTTGACTAAAAAGCCGACGCTGGGTTCTGGAATTTCCAAACGCATCCGAGCATTAGAGGTTTTGACCACCAAAGACACCAACGTTAGCACTCCAGTTCCCCCACGAGAGCCCAGCCAGCCAAAGTCAGGCTTTTCCACGTTTTTGAAGCGATCCTCGCTTTCATCAAATCAACCCGCGCCCAACGCATCCACAGACATTTCTCCACCGAAGCGGCTACCCGAAGCCGTCTCTCAGTACGAAGGTAGTGTGAGCGGTTCCACACGGGGTCGTCGCCCTAATTTGGACGAGGCTCAAACCAGTGTTCACAAAGGCGAAAGCATTTCAGTCACTGCCAGGATCGTACGTGATCCGAACAAGAAGCATCCACCCATGTCCCCAAGTTCCAGCTATGCGGCGCCACTACAACTGTTTCGAAGTCCGCTCATCGTCGAACACGACAATGGCATGAACAAGATGAGTCAGGAACAATCGATGGCGTCGCTGGGATCTGTGACCAAAAGCCCGACCAAGTCTGAAAGAGGCCGGTTCTCGTTTTCGTCTCATCGATCAACATCTCAGACCAATCTTCTTCGGTCCGAGTCAAGCCACAGCAAGATATCACACGGAAACAACCCCCGGAAGAGTGCAGCTCGATCATTGAGTGATACAGCATCTTTAAATGATGAGAAGAAATCGTCCAGAACCAGTCGATTGATGAAGAGAGTGTCGAATTTGGCCTCGGCTCGCAAGCAGAACCAATCGTCGCCAAAGGAGATGATGCAAGCAAACACAATTCAGGAACAGAAGGAGCCTGATAGGCGCAATTCCGTTTCCGAGTCGCTTCTCCAAGTGGTGGACATTGGGGACGTCAATGTGCAATTCCCAGATTCCTTGCTGTGGAAACGGCGGTTCATGCGCGTGGACGACCAAGGATATCTGATCTTTTCACCGCCAGTCACGGATGCCAACATGAAGAGCATTAGTCGCAAGTACCATCTGAGTGACTTTCGAAAGCCGGCACTGCCTGACGCCGAGAGAGAGGAGATTGCTTGGAGTATCATACTGGATTTGAAAGATGGGCGGTGTGTGCAGTGTGCTTGTGAGAACAGACAGGCACAACGACAAGTGCTTCAACGTAAGTAACTGCGAATCCTCAAGTTCATTAGGATTACCACTAACCAAGTACAGTCCTCGTTGATGCTCACAGCGCCTATCATCAGTTATACGGCAATTCGTGATGGACAGGACTTTATGCAATATCACCAGGGTCACGAAGATTACGAAAGTACTGTCTTGGTCCATGGAGTCTAGAGGATTGGAGAATTTTGACGTCAAGGAAGATGGCAATGGTGCATGAAGCCAGAGGAAATTGGGGTCGGATCAAGGCCATAGTTGAGGGGACTTGGGATGTCCTCGATGTACACATATCCAACTTTAGTCCATATTGTAATCTTCATTCGTGGGTGATTAAGACGCTGAGAGCAGCTTCGGTGGAAATGATGTTGCAAGAAATGCATAACGAGTAGTACCTATCACCAGACATTTGATGCAGGTTCCAAAGATTGAATTGGGGGGTTCTTAGGGGCGTCAGAGCCCCTATGACAGGAGTGTTCGTCCCCCAGTGTTTAGGAGAGTTCAACGCCCCTAACGCCCCTCGGCCCCCTTGGCCTCTGGGCGGACCCCTTACCAAGCAAAAGCATTGGCTAAGCCTCAATCCAAAGTATAATGGCGGCAAGGAATTTGTGGTGATGACATCTGGCCTGAAGTCAGTCACTTACTCAGTCTGCGCCGCTGCTTAAAAATCCATTGACACAGGCACAGGCACATGCATCTGGTATAGATATTATTGTCACTCTCACTCTTGTATTCTCCTCCCTACCACCAAGAGCACCACTATTTTCTCATTTTGTGTCTCTCACCAACAAGATCAACCTCTAAACATACACCATCTCTCAAGACCCCTGCTGGCCAGTCAGTCATGGTACAACTCAACACCTTCCTCCCTCTCGCCGCACTGGCATTCCCCCTCCTCACCTCCGCCTCCGATGTCCTCAACCTGATCCCATCCAACTTCGACAAAGTCGTATTTCAATCCGGCAAGCCCGCACTAGTTGAATTCTTCGCCCCTTGGTGCGGTCATTGCAAGAACCTCGCTCCCGTCTATGAAGAACTCGCCACTGCATTCGCAGCTTCTGGAAACAAGGTATCCATCGCCAACGTCAATGCCGATGAGCATAAGAGTCTCGGAAAGAGATTTGGTGTTCAGGGATTTCCTACCCTGAAATGGTTCGACGGTACACCTAATGCAGAACCGCAAGATTATAATGGTGGACGAGATCTAGAGAGTTTGACGGCATTTGTTTCGGAAAAGTCTGGTGTCAAGGCAAAGGGACCTAAAAAGGCTCCTAGCCATGTGGAGATGTTGACCGATACGACGTTTCCTCAGGAGATTGGTGGGGATAAAGATGTTCTCGTGGCTTTTACTGCCCCATGGTGTGGTCGTAAGTGACTTATGCCCCTCTCTTCCCTTAGGACAGTGTTGTCTTCCAGGAGGCTTTGACTAACCCAACTGTTCTGTTCTGTTCCTATAGATTGCAAGAGCCTCGCACCAACCTGGGAAAAGGTCGCCGCGGACTTCGCTTCTGAACCACAAGTCCTGATCGCCAAAGTCGATGCCGAAGCCGAAAACTCCAAATCTCTCGCCCAAAGCCAAGGCATTACCGGCTACCCTACTATCAAATTCTTCCCCAAGGGAGCCACCGAACCAGAAACCTACAGCGGCGGTCGTAGTGAAGATGCTCTTGTCGACTTCATCAACAGCAAAGCCGGCACTTTCCGTGTCGCAGGCGGAGGATTGAACACCAAGGCCGGCACCGTCGAGGTCATTGACTCAGTGCTTTCTAAATACATCACAGCGAATGGAATCAAGGATGTGGAAAAGGCTACGGCCGAGATTAAAAAGGTGGCTGCTGATATCAAGGATAAGTCTGTGGAGTACTATCTCCGTGCATTGTCGAAATTGACTGGAAATCCTGAGTATGCTCTTAAGGAGCAGACGAGGTTGGCAGGGCTTTTGAAGAAGGGTGGTTTGGCGCCGGAGAAGATTGATGATTTGCAAAAGAGGAGTAACATCCTGGCGAAGTTTTTGGTCAAGGATCAGGCGAAGAGTGAATTGTAGGATTGGGAATCTTTGTTGGTGCAATGAAATTCCCACAACCAGGGGCTTCATCGGAATCCACCACGATCTCGGCCTTGTGTCATGTTCATGGCATGAAGGCTGTCTGAGTGATTGGATCTGCGCCCAACGACACACGCTGATGACAACCTGATAAGGTGAACAGGCGCTGTCATATATATACATCTGGAGGCGTTCCGAGACAGGATCAAAAAAAGAAAACCTTAAGCCTAACAGAATCGAGCTGATATTTGACTGCTCTTGTCTTGCCTTTTCCCAACTCCATGACCCAATGCATGCTAGAATACCTTATGTTACAATGTGTTCGCGGGAACAAACAATAACAAAGCACACAGCTGTCGATCCCTTATTCAATCCGCCGCCGAAATCGATCCCTTCATCCCTGCCGTCGATCCAGACCCGGTATTATCTATTGAAGAAGCTTCCCGTAAAAGCATTTCCTGTTCTAATCGATCGCATCGTTCGGCCATATCGTCCACTGTATTTATCTGTCAGCAAGTGACAATGTCTCTTTCTCTCTGTCATATCATTCCACCATAAAATGCCATGCAATGCGTTGTACGTCGACTCACATTTCGTCAATATCTCATCACTTATCCCCTTGAATTTCTTTTCAATATCACCCAGAAAATCGTCTATTGCTTCTGCTAATCGACCGGCTGCTTCATTGGCGCCGGGATTGTCCATTGCTGTGGGTTTGGTATTTTTGCTCGATGGCGAGGAGCCGCTGTCGGAGGATGGTGCTTTCGGCGTGGGACTGGGAGAGGAGGATGGGATGGACTGTATTGGAATCGAAGAGGGTTAGATCAGATCAAGGAGGGACTATCGCAATGTGGCACTGTGGCTGCAGTGCAGGCCGGCGTCGCTAAAACAAACAGATTTTTCACAGGAAAGAGGGCAGTTTCTGTGGTGGCGCCATCATCGACTGCGGTGCAGGGAGTGATAGTGATACCAGGGGTTGTAGGCACTGTAAGGGAAGAATGGGAAGTGGGAGGTGGGCCATCACATCCATGTCGACTCACCATGTTGTTCGTGTTTCAATAGTGATTAATCCCTGAAAGTACAATCCGGGGTGTGTGAGAGAGATATTTATAGAGATTCAAGCCATACTCATACTCTCAATCATATGTGTAAGTAGAGTAGAGAACACTGTGGTCATCAAACAACCATGTTATTCACACATAGAAACAGAGACAGCCGTCGCAACTGTCACTCTCCAGGTAGTAGTGGAGATCAAAGTACCTACGGAGTACAGTAAACATGTGGGCATCCAAGCCAGCACCAGCCCGGAGGGTCCTAGGCCGTTAGGTTCAAGATCCAAGGCTCAAGGGTGACTCCGAGCCCCAATCCACAGCTCCCATCTCTTGTGTCTTGAGCCGCCTTGCCTGGTTTTGGGACACCAATCAACCTCGACTTCTAGGCGCGTTAAGCGACCACTTCCTGCGGTTCCTTTCCACCTTCTCCAACTCCAATTCTCTTTTCATCCCCGCGCTTAATTTTTTCGAGTAGTGGATCCAAATCCCAAAATTCGTCCACCGACAAAGCGAACATCGACGAGTGTGAGTTCTGTTTGACTCGACTCGACTACTGCTACGATACGACTTCCAAGGTGCTACTAGAGAAAAGATCAAGGTCTCAAACTCTGTGCACAGCTCACAGTTCTGCATGATCACCACCACAAAACCTTTCTTCCATTAACCAGTTTTACGACCCTCATCAATCCCGCAACGAAAGCCAATTCTACGAGAAACGACTTCTCCTCTTCCCAGAAATCAAAATGGTCAAGCGCAGTAAACTCCTTACGGCCCTTGATGCCCATAAGGGCCGAGACTACGCCGCCGAGAAAAGAAAATTACAAGTCAAGGCTGCGGAGAAGAGAAAGAGACAAAAAATCGAAAAAGCTTCTGCACAAGAGGGTGAGGACGAGAAACAAGTCAATGACGGTGAAGACGGTGTCCAAGAGGATGGAAGTTCAGACGATCAATTTGAATCTTTCGATGAGGAAGATGGTCAGAATGGCGATCAAGCTGGAGAAGTGAAAAATGGCGAACAAAACCCAGAGGACGAAGATGACGATGACGAAGAAGACGAGGATGAAGAATCAGACGTCGCCCTATCCGACCTCGACCCAGAAGACCTCGAAGATACCATCCCCCACCAACGCATGACCATAAACAACACATCCGCCTTGATCGCCGCCCGGAAACGTATCTCCCTAATCCAGTCACAAGACACGAAAATTCCCTTCCACACCCACAACAGCCTCATCTCAACCCTCGACGCCGCCTCCACCAGTATTCCCGACCCCAATGACGATTTAACAAGAGAACTAGAATTCTACCGCATTGCCCGCACGGCAACCCTAACGGCGCGGACTCTTTTCCTCAAGGAAAACATCCCCTTCACCCGTCCATCGGACTATTTCGCCGAAATGGTCAAGACAGACGAACATATGGGTCGGATCAAGAAGAAGATGTATGATGATGCAGCGGGCAAGAAGGCGAGTGCTGAAGCGAAGAAATTGCGTGATGCGAAGAAATTCGGCAAACAGGTTCAAGTAGCCAAGGAACAGGAGAGGGCCAAGTTGAAGAGGGAGACGTTGGATAAGATTAAGGATTTGAAGAGGAGTAAGTTCAAGTTCTCCCCCTTTTGGTCTTGTTTCTATTTCGCTTTTGCTTTCAACACTGTCCGTTCGAATTAACTAACCTCCCTTCCTTTCCTTGTAGAACGCAAAGGCAACGATCCCGGCAAAGTTCGAGAATCCGACCGTCCAGGCCGCGGCGGTGCCCATGACGACGACATTTTCGAATCCATCGCCGTTGAATCCGCACCAACTAAAGATCGATCCGGACGAGAACGTGGTGGCAGTAACGCCAACAATAACTTCAAACGACAGAAACGTGATCAGAAGTTCGGATTCGGTGGAAAGAAACGGTTTTCCAAGAGTGGTGATGCCATCAGTAGTGGTGATTTAGGTGGATTTTCGGTGGGGAGAATGAAGAATAAGAGTGGTGGTCGTGGGGGTAAGCAGCGACCAGGGAAGAGTAGAAGGGCGGCAGGGGCGAGGTGATGATGATAGGATGATGAACTAAATAGGTAGATGGGGATTGATTCTATGCGGCACTCATTGGGGGGAGGGGGAGGAAAGGAAAAATGGCGTTCCAGAGGAGAGAAAAAGATGATCAAGGGGGAAAGGAATAGAGGAATTGAAGAATCGATTCCAACAGCCAGCCAGCCATCTGAACAATGCCGCTATACACATTATTGGGTCAAAGCATTGCTTTTGAAGAAGGCTAATGCAAAAACAATCAAAAAAAGTTAATCACAGTCCAATCCTATCCACTCCAATCCAATCCAACCAAGGGGTATCACACACAACCAGACGCACACGCCATGCAAGGCAAGGCAAGGCAAGGCAGAACCAGACTCATGTCCAAGTCATCAATTCGCCTCCCCCACCACCACCATCATTCAGACATAGTTCTCGAAAGTTCCAAACAAGACACTGGAGGTCCTTTTATTAGCCAGATGTGAGAGTGCGTATCACACCACCCACTGCCCGAGAAACGCTTGAAGATGAGAAGTTTGATGTTGTCTCCCGACACGTTTGGCCTCTTGAGACACCAAATCAATCATCTCCTGAGCTTCAGGACCGGCCGACAAGCTAGGCAGTCCATCCATGCCCAGCAAACCATTCAGTTGCCGACTCGGACTGTCTTCTCGACTGCCTACGGAATCGTTCTCTGATTCCCGTAGTTTACTAGGAGGTTGCAATCCCTGACGTCGCGCAAGGGCAGACGAGACAGGCACATCACTCATGTCTTCATCTTCGTCCAACGAGTCTGGTGCGCCGCGGGCTCTCTTATGTGCCTTGTGAGCGCCACTGGGTCGGAGCACTGATTTCATGCGATGTTTTTGCTGTTGTTTGTTGTTCTTCCCAGCGGGTGTTCTCATGATATCTTTGGCGACTTCGTCGGCTAGAGTGGCTTCCAATTCGTCGTATATCCTTCGAGATGACCAGTTGAATTTTTTCTTCAACTTGGCTTCGTTCATTAGTCTGAGTAATGGTTCTGCCGACCGTTCAAATGCGGCGATGGCGTCCTTGTGCGAACCGGTAAATATAGGGAGTTTGTGTAATTCCATGGCTGCTTGTTCTACACCACATTCTCGCATGTCGAATTTGGCGGATTTGCGCAGGATGTTTAGCATGTCCCAAATTGGTTTGGTCCAGTCGACTGGCTCCGGCTCTACTTCGGATTCACTGTCCGAAGTCCCCTCCGATGTTGATGACGAGGCAGAATCTGATTGTTTCGAGGTATTTGATGCTTCGGTACTATCTGCAGCACTCTGGTCATCAGGAATGGCGGATTTCTGGTCTGATTCGTCTCGTTCTGATTCTGAAGTCTCTTCTGTCGAGTCCGAGGTGTCTGATTCTGAAGAGTCGATGATCGGGGATGGCGTCAGGCTGGCCTTTAACGAATCCAACTCGTCCGCATATGTTTCTGCTAAATGCTTCCATAAATGAGTCTGAGACCAGTCGATCCCTTCTCTTTCAGCCAGCATCTGCTGAAGGAGGAATTTATGATGTTTATGTATTGTTTCCATGGCCTCGTCATCGCCATCAATTCGATAATCCGTGTGCTTTTGATACCGGGTCAAGAAAGGGTCTATCATGAATCCGAGACGCTGTCTTTTTCTCGACAAACGTTTGTGTTGGTCGACCATAAAGTAGAAAAGGTCGATGGCTTCGACTGAGTCGTTGTAATGGGAGAGGTATCGATCGGAAGGAATGATTTCATACCATCCTGCTTTTCCGGCGGCCCATATGATGGGTGTGCCATCGTCATCTTGGCCAAAGGCTCGTCGGGTGACATTTTCAATCTTGACTCGGACGTGGAGAGGATTGTCCACCAAAACTATGGTCAATTTAGCGCAGTTGGCGGTCGAGCGATAGATGCAACCATACCCAAGTGTTCTTGATCGTCGTCTACTGGTTCAAGCTCTCCAATCACACACAGTGGGAAGTCGACAGATGCCTCGAGGAGATCTGCATACCGACTCTTGCCCTGAGGAAAGACTTTTGCATCGCGTAAAGTGAAGTCTGGCCAATCATTGACATCCTCGGGGACAGGATCTTGGATTTTCAGGACACGTTCTTCTGGAAAGGTTGACATGACCGAGAATGAGGTGTGAAATGCATAATTCGGTCAAAGGATGATCATGTCGCGTATATTGTCATTGTCATGGGTGGTGGAAGTGGGTCAAGGTGAGCCTGGAGTGAAGGCTCGGAGGAACAGGCTCGCGTGGGCGACGTGAGGTGTAGTCGGTAGAATAGAAAGGAGGCACGGCGAGATGGGGTGGTGCAATACTGTAGGATGGCAGGATGAAAGCTCGAGGCTGGAGAGATGTCATTTACAAGTGATATATTCGGAGGAGGATGGTGGGAGGCGGGATGCATAGTGCAGAAGGGCCGTGACATGAGTGTCAAGTTGTGGTTAGGTGGTTAGCTAACATGCTGGACTCCATCCCAGTGGCACGGGCTTGGAACGAGTATCCAGGTCCAGGGTGTGATTTGACGAATTGCAAGACGCCAATGGGTGAAAAGCACGGAACCTACAACGCGTCATTGTTGTGATTGGCGAACTGCACCATCGTGGAGCAACGAGAGGATGGGAAGATTGACAATTATGGTATCTTGGTGTCACGTGGCTGACTGGCATCGGGCGCAGTAGTCCGAATATAGAATGGGCCCGGCATATTATAGTTCCTTCTCCGAACATTCGATCGACTTTGATGTCTGTCTGCGCACAAGGCTGAATGAAAGGTTGGGGAAATTCTTGAGCCATCCATCAAGAATCCCTTGTACAATAACATCATTTCCATGCCTCGATCCTACCCCCGGACTCTTACATGACCCAGCGAATACTCTCCGCCATGGCGTCGGCACCCGCCAAAGTGCTAGAAGGCATCTTCGGTGAGGCCAATTCCTCTCCCAAGATGGTCCCATTCTCTGTTCTATACAAGATCCAATCCTAACCAAGCCGTGAGCCAATCTTAGCGATCAATAAACCCCAGTCCTTGTCCTCAGCACAAGTAATCCGTGACCTCCAAATCAAGTTCGCCGAGTCCAAAACATTCGCTCCCTTACTAGAAGAGACCAGAAATGCAGCCAGAGAGAATGGTTCCAAGAGACGAAGGGTCAGTAAGGAGAACGTCTTCAAAATCGGACATGGTGGTACTTTGGATCCATTAGCAACTGGAATTCTGATAATTGGCCTTGGAAGAGGAACAAAGCATCTCTCTGGGTTTCTGGAGTGTAAAAAGACATATGAAACGGTGGTGTTGTTCGGTAAAAGCACCACGACCTACGATGTTGCAGGCAAGGTCGTGGCCGAGGCACCGACATCGTCGATCACAAGGGCTGCAGTTGAGGAACAGTTGGTGAAGTTCCGGGGCAAATCCAAACAAATCCCTCCGATTTACAGTGCCATCAAGATAGACGGAATGAAGTTGTACGACTATGCAAGAACGGGCAAAGAACTTCCACGGGAATTGGAGAGTCGTGACATCGAGGTGTCGGATTGCACACTCCTGGATTTCTGGGAGGCCGGGGAACATGATTTCCGGTATCCAGCAGAGCAGGCCTCTGACGAAGAAAAGGCAACGACCAAGAAAATCATGGAAGGAGTCACCGCCACTAAGGAATCAATGGCAAAAAATCGGTCGGAAGCGAAAAGTGACATTTTGGCTGCCAAAGCGGGGGAAAATTCACTACCGCCAGCGCAAAAGGCAGCTTTACATACTCATCCACTACCAACGCAGGAATCCGAACCTGCCCAAGCACCCGCAGCTCGCATCCGATTGACAGTCAGTAGTGGATTCTACGTCCGTTCGTTTTGTCATGATCTAGGGATCAATTGTGGCTCGTGGGGGACAATGGCGGCATTGATTCGGAGTCAACAGTCTGATTTCACGACACTTGATCCAGCGCCTGAAGGATTTGTGACTGCTTTGACATACGAAGATCTCGACGCGGGAGAAGAAGTATGGGGACCAAAGATCAGGCCTGTGTTGGAGAAATGGCTCGATCAGCATCCTCCGGGGTCTCAACCGCCAGCACGTGAAGCTGGTGGAGTCGACAATCAAGGACGAAATAATGGCAAAAGTTTCAAGCGTGTAAAGGGGATCGGGGGACAAAAGAAAAGTTGGAACAACAAGGAGCGGGACTACTCTTCCCCACAGACAAGAAGACGCAATAGTTCATCTCCAGAAGCATGAGATGGACGCAAGTGTAACACCACTAGTAGCAGTATTGTACAAAGAGGGTCATTAGCAGGAGCAAATAAGATGAAAGACATGTTATACAGTGTGACAGGGTAGAATCAGAATGTTTGCTATCAGTGTCCTGACAGTGAATCCTTGTTGAACGGTAGCACTAGATTGGTGAGGCGTTGAAATGCAATTCAATGCCGTGCGTGGATCGCCGCCTCCCGCTGTCAGGTGCAGATTCTGGTGACGCCATAGAATGGTTGGGCGGGAGGTACCTCACTTAAGCGTGGGTGCATGGGTGCATGGGTGCGTGGGTGCCTAAGGCTGTGTGTATCACTGCCTAAGCAGGTATGGGCAAGGCGAGGTTACAGCCTTATTGCACCAGGCTGACTCTTGTCACCCGCTAAATGTCGCCACCAAGTACTCGTGTGTAGGTAGGCACGTACTCCGTAGTACTCCGTACTGTCAGGTTTTTTTAACCCTGGCATCCGCAGCCTGGCACCGCAAACCCCAGACAGAACCACAAATCACAGACTCCCCTCATTCATATATCTCTCTCCGTCTGCCTCTGCCTGGTCGCATTCCTCATATCCTCACATCCTCACATTTTGGACATTTTGTCATGGTCGTGTGATCTTCCAACTTCTACCTTCACTCGCTCATTGTTCACCACATCCCACTCTCTCTTTCCCACATTCTTCATGCCTCTGTCACTCTCATCTTGATCACAACATCTCACCCTCCCTCCCTCATCCTCACCACCCTCCCCACGAGACATGGGTCAAGACCGGCCGCTCTCTCTTGCGGCCTTGAAAGCCAGGAATGGTGCGCCAAAGATCATGACCAAGACTGTCACAGTCTCAAAAGCTCCTGTCCCTGTCCCAAAACCTCAATCTCGCCCCGCGAGTAACATACCTGCCTCTCCGCGGAAAGCAGTCGCAAATGGCCATGCACGCCCTACCAGCGCACCCCGCAATTCTACCACCCCTTCATCTCTTCCCTCCAGACAGTCAAGCAAGGAGCCTCTGGAACGACTGAAGCAGGAAAGACGCAACCGAGTCAAGCGACCCTCTCCCGCCCTCTCCACCCCTAACTTTACCAGTTCTGACGATGAAAGCGACGACGAACAACCCCGGAAGCGCGCTCGTATAACTCCAGAAGAAGAAATTGACAAAAATAGAAAGATTAGAGATCTGAAGTCGTTTTCTCAGCCGGAAGAAGATGCCTTGCCCATGGTTCATGCGTTCGACATTGCCAACAATGAGATCATTGAACTTTCCAGAGACAAATACCAACCTTTCTTCACTGCGCTGCGAGGAGACGAGGAGGAATGCCCCACGGTTGAACTGCAATATCCCAGCGCATGCCAGCGAGAAAAGTATCAACTGGTCAGACCGAGTGACTCGTCCGACTTCAAACCCCTCAGCGAGATTGAAGACAATATGAAGATCGTGGCCGGGTTTTACTTGGACGAAAAATCTGCCAGTCTGGTGACCAGCGAAGAAGACGGTTCAGGATTTGTTCAACAGCTCCACAGACAAGCCACTTTAGGACTGAAGGGTCGTGTGGGGGCACAGTCCCGTTATTGTGAAGTGGTGGACCGATACAACAAGCTCATCACTGAGAAGCAACAGGACGGGACGATTGCGAAGAAACTTGACGAAATGGTCCGAGTCGACATCAAACTAGTCGAACATATCATCAAAGATCAGGTCTACGCCCGCACCGTCTCCCCACAGGTTCATCTTGTCCGGGACTACGAAAGCTTCTCGGATAACGTTTACGGCGAGCTACTTCCCAAATTCCTCAGTCGCATCTTCAGGGAGACACACTTGAAATCCGATCAGGTCTTTGTCGACCTAGGCTCCGGTGTCGGCAACTGCGTGCTCCAAGCGGCACTGGAGATCGGCTGCGAGTCGTGGGGGTGCGAAATGATGGAGAATCCGAATACACTTGCCCAACTTCAGGCCACCGAATTCCCAGCGCGATGTCGACTTTGGGGCATCAAGCCAGGCAAGGTCCGGTTGATCCATGGCGACTTTCTTAAGAACGAAGACGTCAAGAAGATCCTTAAGCGCGCCGACGTCATCCTGGTTAACAATCAAGCCTTCACCGCCGAATTGAATGACAAACTCAAGTACGTTTTCCTGGACCTGAAGGAGGGAGCGCAGATTGTCAGTCTCAAGCCATTCCGCAGCCCCGCGCACAAAATCAAGGAGTCCAACGTCAATGACCCGATCAATGTGTTGGAGGTGGTGGAGAAGGAGCGTTGGAGCGGCATGGTCAGTTGGTCCGATGATCCAGGCAAATGGTACCATCAAACCAAAGACTCGAGGGCGCTGGAGAAGTTTTTCAAAAGGCTAGGACAAGGCACGTAAGGATTTGGAGCTACGACCAACATTACCAATAAGTGCTCCGAGAAGAATATTGGCCTTGACGGGGCGGTGATGATTCATGTGCCATTTTGGTTTACGGAACGAGATACCCAGCATGCATGGAACAAGTCAGAAAGGGTAGACCATGATTTTCTGCATAGCGAAGGGTCACGGGTTACGGGCCACGTTGCATGATGTGCGTCGCTGGGAGCATGACGCTGACACTAGTGGTAGTAATCTTGAAATAGACTCTCCTGGTTGGAAATGAGAATATCAAGATTGTACTATATCAACAATCTGTATCTCAGTCGGCCAACATTGCCTTGGACTTCCCGGGTTGGGAAAGGTCAGGTTGATTCGACCCGTTCTCCTCTCATCTCTCCTGCTTAATGCCTCTAATCTTCCCTTCTTTTGTGCCCCTTTCAAAGTCGAGGAAGAATGAGAACGTCAGTTACCTCTGTTCCAATCCAACATTTCGAGTTGCATGCACATCTTGACATCTGACACCAAGGATTTGGGTATCTCGCGAGATCATCCCCTAAGATTTTGTTGCCTCGGGAATGAAAACTTCCGAGTGCCACCTAGCAAGGCAAGGCAAAAGACCGATACTCCGAATCCAGACTCGTTTTGATGCAGTAGGGTAGTTCGCCATCTAGTGAAACCCCTGATCCGTGGTTTCAAGGGCTCTGACTCTGAATGGCGATGTGTTGACAGGTGTTCTTCAGGGCATTCCATGCCATACCAGCAAGAGATTCAATCACACACCCACTAGGCAATCCACCAGGCAATCCACTGTCGAATACTCGAAGACCTCACTATAATTTCTCCTCTAGAACACTTTTCGGTAGGATTTTCGTCTCAATACCACGGACGAATTTGTTGGTTTGTTCCGCCAGAGTCAAGGTAAGGATGGTATGAGGAAGGATTCGGGCGAGATGGGCAGTGAATCCCTTGTAGACGGACAAGATGCCTTCCGTAGAGATGGTTTTCCATAGACAGTCAAATATTCCACTGTAGAGGTTTCCATGTTGGTTGTAAAGTCGGGCCATGACGGTGTCCTATAGGAGAAGTAGGTTAGTGGGTCTGGTGATGCCCAAAAAAAACAAGAGAAGAAAAGAGAGGAGAGGGCGATCATAGAAACTTACAGGAGGATGCATAACACAACAAACCACAAACCCACTCGCCGTCGAACTGAGAAGATGCAAGGCCGGACCATCAGTCATACCAGCATGACGCATTAATCTCCTTTTCGCAAAGAAATAAGTCGGCAACTGCACCGAACTTCCCGCACCGGTTCTCACCATCGATGCCCCCATTCCACGATACAAACCTTTGATCCCTTCCGCCTTATAAATCTGCGCAAACCCATCCACCGCATTCTTATACGTATGTTGCGTCCCCACGGGTAAAAACGGTGAAAAAGACTGTAATCTCGTCTTGACCAGGAAAAACGGTGAACCTGCCATAGCTCCCAGGATTCCCGACGCAGCGCCAGAAAAGATATTCACACCGAGAGATTGCACGTTGGAGTCTTTGAAGATGAGTTTTGTGGAGGCGGCGCGGAGAGGTTCGTAGAATCCCAAACGGCAGCCGTTGAGGAGGACTTGGTAGACATAGGCGCATCCGATACCACGGTAGATTCCGCGGAGGCCTTCGTTGCGCACGATGACGTTGACGCCGTGGAATACACCGCGATATTTTTTCACCGCCACGTCGGCGGATTGTAGTTCGCCTTGCAGTTGGAGCCGAATTTTGACGGTTTCGAAGGGGTGGGTTGCCGTCACGGCGCCGCAGGCGGCAATGCCGCCGGCGATGAAGGCGCCGGTCGTTGTGGACATTGATGGTGTGTGTAGCTATGGGTTATTGGGATGAGAGAGATGGAAGGTGGTAGAGGGTGAAGGGTAGAGGGTAAGAGGGATGTCTGGTCGAGGTTTTCGTGGAGATGAGGTTCAATGCAACGACTTTTCGAGATGATTATGCAAAGGATGGTAGGATGGTAGTCGACTAGATCAACAATTCTGACCACAGATGAATAACATGCCAGAGAAAGGAAATAGGTCAGCAGTCGTGCTGATTGTAAACCTTACAACCGGATGACGGGAGACGGATGTAATGCGACTCGACTGAGAGGTAGAATTATTATCATATTACATTTTATTATTATCCGAGGGTGAGATGCCGCCAGGGACAAGCACGGCATACCCGAGCCACTTTTTTTATTACTATTGAAACTCGGAGATGGATACTTCGGGGCGGAGGAGGAGACTGGAGACTGGAGACAGACTGCCTACTCCTATGAGAGACTCATACAGATCAAAAGGATCGGCTTTCGGCACATCCCCGTCTTTCAAGTCAGAACCGCTTCTAACCGAGAAATCAGGAACAAGCCTGGTTGGATCCAAGATCTAGGATGTCGACATCTCTATTGTAATTGAACAATATACTGCATGTAATCTTTGTTGCAGTATCTTGTGGATCAATATTCAAATGTGGACATTACACAATTGATTTCTGTTTCTGTATGGATGTACTTGGGAAACTCATAGCGGCAGTCAAGGCTGAGACTGTAACCCCAGGCTTCAGGCTTCAGGCTTCAGGCTTCAAGTCCAGGGACCTCACCGCCTTAGGTACACAAAAGCATGCACTAAACACGAGTTGGAGATGCCTAAAGAACTGCCTGGGGTACCTTTACCCCTCCCATTTACACCCATACACATACCATCCACATCCATCTCAATTAGTGCCAAAAAAGATGTGAGGGGAATCCTGAATTATTCTCGTCGCATCCAAACTGCACGCGTCTCTACCTCGTCGTCGACAACATCATTCCTCAACAATCTTAGCCGCTGTCTACATCATGATACTAGGCATCTAGACCATACTAACTCTCTAGTCTATATTCATTTTCAGCCTACCATAACAACCACAGAATATCCTCTGCTCATGCCACAACTGCCTTCACTTCATCCCTCCTCCACATTACAGATTCCTCTCTACACGACCCCCCTTCCTCCGTCACTACCCCCTCTCGCCCTTGACCATGGCCACTGCTCAGCAAAAGGTCTCAGATGTCATTAAGCAGTACCGTCCTGCCAGGGTGAGTTCATACACCCTCTAACGCGATATCCACCAACTAACATAACCCCAACAGCAATTCCCTGGCTCAACCCGTTCAGATGGCGTCGAAAGCCGTGTCACCTCCCTCGATTTCGATGACCAAGGAGAATTCCTGGTCGCTGCCTCCGACGACGAGACTATGAACGTCTTTGACATTAAAGAAGGCAAAAAAACAAAAACCATCCCCAGCAAAAAGTATGGCATTCATCTCGCCCGCTTCACACATCATCCTCGAAATGTCCTCTTCGCCAGTACCAAGCAAGACGACTCCCTACGGTTGCTGGAATTGCACAATGAGAGTTTCGTCCGCTACTTCTCTGCCCACACCGCTCGAGTCACATGCATCGCCCTGTCTCCCGGAAGCGATCAATTCCTGTCCTGCGGTTCAGACGACACTGTCTGCTTGTGGGACTTGAATTCCAGGAGTCCTCAAGGCAAACTCAAGCTCGTCACTCCATATCTTGCCGCCTACGACCCTTCTGCCAACGTCATGGCCATCGCATCGCAGTCTACTTCTAGCATCCTTATGTATGATGTTCGGAACTATGACAAAGCCCCCTTCGAAACCTTTGACCTCGCCGCTCGAGAAGATACCTACACTCCAACCACAAAAGGACGCGCCTGGACTAAACTCGAGTTCTCCAACGATGGCAAGAGTCTCTTACTTGGCACAGACTATCATGGACACTTCCTTCTCGACTCGTTCACCGGCGTTCTCAAGTCCTTTTTGGTGGGAAAGTCTAGCGGGACCGGTCGAGCTGCTCCAGTCTCGACCTCTGGAAAGCCTCTTGGTCAAGGTGATGTTTCCTTCTCACAGGATGGGAGATATGTCGTTGGTGGGACGGGTGATCAGCCGGATCTTCTACTGTGGGATACATCACTGGCTACGGGTACTCGACAAGAGCCCACTACAAGATTAACCAGTCGTGGCATCAAATCCGCCGTGGTTCAGTTCAATCCTCGCCATAACATGCTCGCCACAGCAGATACAAAAGTATGCATGTGGCTACCATCCGACCAGATCAAACAGCCCGACCTGTGAAATGTTCCAACCCTGATCCTCGATGCCTCAGGAAATATCTCTTGGCGTGAAGTTGTTCCGCCAATTGGAATCTCCTCTTCTCCGCAGATTCACCACAACCCAACCCCAACTTCCATCATTCACACCTCCTTCACCAGCACTATCGACTGAAATGGTGTTCCCTGATCAAGCTTCGTGCACATAAAATGGTTGAATCTGTCGGCGAGAATGACCGTCACCTTCCATCTTCAACAACTTCGTTACTTGAGCTTTTAAATCACCTACAGCACCGAGCAGATGATCTTCTTCGAGAACTCGACATTTATCAAACAATTCTCAAATCTCACAACCAAGAAAACAATGTCGAGATTCGAGTCTTCAAGCGTGGCGTCGAATCCGAGGTCAAGGCACTCCATGCTGTCCAAGATTTCTTTCAGCACGAGTCGACCTCCGCCAGTGAGAATGATAACTCTCTCGAAAAAGAAGATCCCCTTCAAGCTCATGTTTTGAAAAGTTCAAACTTGCCATTTTACGAATCAGTGTGGAAGGCTGCCAAGAATTGTAATAGCATCACAGCCATGAGCAAGAAGATGTACTACAACTTGGATCCGAACCCCAAAACTCCCCATCCCAAAAATGGCACCAAGAATCCCCTGCAAGCCGACAAAAAAGGTGTGCTGGTTGATATAGTTGCGGACAACGGCCTCCAGTGGGTCAAAGTCTCAACAATGACTGAGAAACGACTTCTCTTTGAGATTGCCAAAGAAGGATGGGAACAATATGCTGATTATTCTGACGAGAGTGACGATGACTTAGGTCCAGCCTCAGACATGCCTGGTCAAAATACTCACCAGCTTGAATTGGTTCGCGTAGCTCATGACCTTCAAAAGGCATCAGCGTCGGCAAGAATCCACTTTCGTCATCCTCAAGTTCGATTTGTCCTCCCGAATATCCGGCGAGGTGTCAGTGAAGATGTGGACGCATTCATCGCCGACTTGGTATCTACAGGTGCATCAGTTGAATGTGCGTCCGATATTACCAAGGAACCGGTCAAGACGATCGACTCCGATTCCCTCAGTCATCTTTTGCCATCAGATGCCACGAAATTGACCTCTTCCCTCAACTTGGACTGCACCATCCTTCTTGCCATCATTTCAGACATCTCTCACGTTGAAAAGCGTCACATATCTCCCGCGTCACATTCACTCCACACCACATATCACAGAGCAATCATGCGACAAATCGAGTCTGAGGTATCGGAGCCCATGCTTCCAAATGAGATTTATCCTCTACTGGCTAGTCGTACCTTGCATTGCACCGCACATGCAGCTCAGCGAATGAGAGAGATTGTACTGTGTATGGGAACGACAACGGAGAGGTCTCGTGCAGAAATTGTGCTTGGAGAAGGACCTTATGCCGATCATGATCCTGCACAACTACGCATGGCGCTTTCACGTGAATCAACACATGCTGTTCCTAATGATCTCGTCCTCCCTATCAAAGTTGTCCAAGTCGATGTGAACGATAACTGCGACCCTAACCTTAGTTCCGACATTCTTCATCTATCGTTTCCCGCGATAATCGCCCAAAAGTCTGCTCTGAAAATGAAACTCTCACCCATTAACGCTTCTGTGTTTCTCTACGGGTGGATGCAACAAATGACAACTGTGACGAGCAATCGTGCTGTAGCGATGGGATTCATCAAGACGATCAACGACGTTTTAGACTGGCACGAGCACAAGCACGATGTCCAAGATTTGGAGCACCCCAAGACCGCGAACCGGCAATGCCAGAGAGATGGTCAGCTAGAAAAGGGCGAAGGGGATATGTTCGTGGGACCAGAGATCTATGTATGTGAGACAGCGCGAAGTCTGATTGGCAAGGCAAAACCGAGATGATCCAGCAGATGAGAGCCAAACCCTCGTCTCACGCTGCCATACACCAGGGGATAGACAAAACAATACACGATTCTCCAGAACTACCTACAAACCCGCGTGATACACGCAATGTCAAGAATAATCAATCCCACTCTTCACAATTCACTTCGTAATCTCCATCCCTACCCATGCCGGCACCTCTGGCCTCTTCTCCCACGACTCCCTCCATTGCCCCTTGTGGTGTTTTACTGTATTCGGCAGCGCAAAAACCGCCGTTCCAAGCCAAACACTCGAGCCCTCGGAGATGTAGTTTTCGCTAGAATTCGCCAGTGAAGGCAACACGGAGCGAGATTCCGTCAAGTTACTGTTAGCGTCTTCATCCAAGACTTTTCCTGTCCTAGGTGCGCATGCGGTTGCATGAGGTGTTGTTGAATCCAAGTCCTCAGATGTCCGGCCAAGATAGCTGGCGAGATCTAAATCCACAATCCCAGCGACACCACCACGAGAAATCGCCAGTGCCGAACCAGTAGATTCAAGACGACCTTCACACTGGCTCTCACCCTCTCCATAGACATCGTCGGAATCAAGTGAAGTAAGCACACCCAACTCCCTCCCATCCCTTCTCGCCACACCATTTAACGCAAACGCACCTTCACTCGTCCACAACCGTCTTTTCGTGGTGATCCGATGAAATCGCACATGCCAATTCATCGTCTCCTCACTCGGCGGCACCAACCACGTATCGACCGTAACGCCCGGCCATGGCATCCACGACGCGACCAAAACAGGAACAATCCCATCTTTATATTCAATTCTCGCATTGATCGGCTGTCGTCTCACTCGCCATGTTTCACCTGAATCATCCGATAAAGCCAGGGTATTGTCACCGCCAATACTCTCGAGTGAATACCCTCCCGTGGGTACCGAGTAGGGAAATGCAGAACTATAGGCGAATTTCCCGTATTTGGACTCTGATGCACGAACGGGATAGTGGCATGCTTGACCCGAATTGAGGAGGAAGGTATGTCCGCCGAAATGGCTGATGATGTGCATTGGATGGGGGAGGATGGCGAGCCCGGGTTGTAAGCCAGAGGCAGGGTAATCCAATTCTTCAGCTGTCCAAAACGGATGTGATTCCGGTACTGCGAGAGCGACGAAGCCCAACATGAACCAATAAGTCGAACCTGGAGAATTGTAATTCTCCGACAGAAATTGATTGGGATATCCATATCCAATAGTCAATAGACCAGAATGTGTGAGGATATCTTTCTGTCGGGACCAATACCGTAGGTTTCGCAATAGGAGGCCTTTAACTACACCCCAGGATAAAGGGGCGGGAAGCTCGAGGTCGGCGAATGCGACAGCCGACCAGAATCCAGCCATGGCGAAGCGATACGTCAAGGAACGGCCGAATGTGATGGGTTGACCTATAGAAGAGAAAGAAGAGGGGGTGGAGTGTTAGATGATTGATAACTGAGATAATGATATGATATAACATCCCCTTCAGGCGTGATGACGTGGAGGAAGTACTCACCATATTCATCCCAATAATGGACAAAATCCATTGCAAACAATCTTGCTCTTTCTCTATATTCATCCGCTCTCTTCGGATCATCCCCGCCATTAATCTTCACATATAGCAACTGTAACAACTGAATCGCAAACGACCCACTATAATAATCCATTTGACGATGCGAAGCCGGTCCATCATTCGACCACCCATCCCCACGATAAAACGTATCCAGATGATCAAGATCACTCACTAGTTTCTCCTCCGAATACACCGCTCCATTCTTCTTGAGTCCCAAGTTGGCAAAGACACGAAACCATAACCAATTCGTATTCGGCATTTCTCTATCATTGATGCTGCCAAGCCAAGTTTGGACGTTGAGGCGTTCTTCAGGGGTTAGAGGGTCCCAGAGATGGGTGGGCGCAACGCATAGTGCGAAGCCTAAAGGACACATTTCGACCGTTCTTTGGTCGAGGTCTGCGGCATAGCCCCAGAATTCAGGGTGGGATGGGTTCGTGCCGTTGCGGAGACCGGTGAGCCAGAGACTTGTATGCTTGGAGATGGAGGTGGAGGGGATTGGGGAGTTGGAGTCAGAGGAGGAGGACGCGAGGAGGGAGGCGAGGCCCCATAGAGGACGGGTGAAACCTTCGAGTTGAGCGCCCGTTTCGTCGTATCGGGTTGCTGTGGCGCCGAGGCGGAGGCGTGTGCGTCCAGGGGAGAAGAATGGGTGGAGTGGTTCGAGGAGGGACTGGCATGCTTGGATGATGTCGGAGCGGGATTGTAGAGGGCTGTTGAGGTGGGTGAAGAAGGGCGTTGGAGTTGGAAAGGTTGGAGTGGTCATGGTGATGGTAATGAGAGCTTGTCGATGGTGTGGTTGTTGGTGGTGGTCGTGATGGTGTTGATGCTGATATTCTCACATTGATATATAAAACCTACCGTCGAGGACACCAGCCTGCTTTGTCAAAGAGAGAAGAAGAAGAAGAAGAAGAAGAAGAAGAAGAAGAAGAAGAAGAAGAAGAAGAAGAAGAAGAAGAAGAAGAAGAAGAAGAAGAAGAAGAAGAAGAA